AACAGTCCAAGAACTTGTAGTACGGAGATAAACAAAAGCGCTATTTATGTGTGTTCGCCATGTTGCGGCCCATCATCCATGTGCTAGCGCTTATCGTCCATTTCCCATCCTTCTTCCGACTTCCTCAGTACTAGACTCATATACCTCGATGTACCTCCGTCCCAGCATCGCGTTGTGAAATTTGCTCACCGCGTCCCGGACATCAGACGCGTGGCGGAGCTTCACGTAGGCCTGGCCGGTGGCTCGGTTGCCGTTCTGTGATGATGTTGCGAGACGGTGGTTGTAAATTTCAATTTGTCATGCGAAACCAAAATGCCATGCATACGATGTCATGCGCATGCAGCAGAATGTACATCTACATTTTCATTTTTATGTTCTATACCTTTTCTATAATCACGTCCTTGTCCGCCTGGACTCCGTAGCCGAAGCTTTATCCTGTGCAAAAGTATCGCGCTCGTACTAATTGCGTTTATGCATTACAAATCTCTTTACTAAGGCGAATCCGCATCACAATTTGATTTGTAATGCTAAGTGAATTTGTAATGCAATTTATACTAGTAAGTACGATACTTTTGCAGTTCATAAGCTCAAAAACTCTGCCACGTCGTGCTCGGTAGACTCGAATGGCAACCCGCGGAGTCGTATCAAACGCAAAAATGTCTGGGTCTGGAAAATCATGCTGCATATTTCTCATGGCCCATGACGCCTGTAATGCTTGACCTAGCATCGCAGACCTCCTGATCGATGCACCTTCCGCATGAGAAATGGCCTGTCCGTGTAGCAAAAACTGCACCCCTCTTGTTGCTGGTCATGCAAAAATCCAAATTTTTTTAGAGTCCAAAAACAGCATGACAAGTTGCAATCTTCGAGACCCAGACATTTTTGCAGTTGATAAGTCGCAACCAACCGTAATTGTCTCCGCCACGCGATCGACTGTTGCCACGGGACCCTCGTGGGGCTGTTTTTGATTTTCATTTTTTTATGTTTATTTGCATTTCGCAAAAACTAACTTTACCACTGTGATTGTGCTTGAATGCATGACAAGCCGCGTAGTTCCACTTTTTTTGTTTGCAACACAAATCTTTCGCAAAATATTAACGAATTATACGTGATCTCCTCATATCGCGCTCGCGGCCGCCGTCTCGTCGCCCTCTGCCTTGCGTTACATCGATGTATCGCTCCTCCATGTGTTTTTTATGGAGGCACTTCACTGCATCAGCAGCATCGAGGTGACCTGATTTAGTGTTGGATATCCTGCATTCGTTCGAAAGTAGATATTCGTGGCCGCGGCCCCTTGCCATTAAGCTGCAAGCATTCCATTCACTCGAGCGGAATTTGCTGCATCAAGAATGTAGTAGAAGACAGACTGACATCACATCAAAGTCATGAGGATGTCGCACAGAGAAGAGCTAGAGCAAGGAAGGGCATCAACAAATATAATCAAAATCCATAGGTGTATCGTCGATCTAATACTCAGCATCTTCACTAGCGCACTTCCCGCTGGTCTTCCGTCCCGGCCCATTGTTATGTACACCTGCTGTGCCTCGATCATAAACTCTGGCTCGAAGAAATTCACCACGTCCCTCTTCGTCGATCTAAACGGAATCCCGTTCAGCTTCACCACCAGCGGATCGTCCTCTTCCGGTGTGTCGTGGGCGACGTTAGGGATCTGGTAACTTGATTGTCGGCTCCGGTCATCCCTCTCGTTACCCTTCTTCCCGCCCGCAGATCCGGAGTTGAAGGAGCTATAGCTGTCCTGTTGCCAATATGAATTGCAAAAGTATCGTATTCATCGTATAAATGCATTACAAACTTCCTCATTATGAGAGATAAAATTTGTAATGCTGATTTACCTTAAGAGATAGATTTGTAATGCATGATTGCAATACGAGTACGATACTTTTCCACAGGATAGCCAGCCCTTCTTGCCGAAGTCGCCTTTTCCTTTTTTCCCCTTGTCCTTGCCGTCCTTGCCCTTCTTTCCTTTTCCCTTCTTACCACCGCCCTCCGGCTCCCCAGTGCCCACCATGATGCCCTGGGCACCATAGTACTTGGAGAGTTCGTCGATGTCTTGTTGCGTGCCCTGGGGACGAGTTGATGTGTAGTGGAAGTTGAAAATGGTACTTCTAATTTGTTGAAGTTGGTACATCAATGCAAGGTCAAGGTTTCTAAAACTACCAAGGTGGTTGATCTGTCATGCGGGGAAAAGAAAAATGCAGAAAAAAAATCACTCCATGTACTAAAATACCTTGAACAGCTCCAAGTATCTCCCCCCGACAACTTCCCCGGCTTTCTCTGTGCAACACTGGTCGCGCGTTTCTTTATCATTCAAAAACATCCAACAGTTTCCGGATCTTTTCCCGCCCTTTTTACCGGACATGAAAACCTCAATCAGAATGTCGGCGGGTGTAACAGCTGTTGTAGTTTTTGACGATATTTGTCATGCGAACTCAGTGATTCATGATATTCATTCTTCCAGAAGCATTTCATGCTGGTTTGTAAAAATCCTTCTAGTACAGTGTTCTACTAAGTACTTTGAGTCACAGAATTCGTTTATAAAAGTCCATTTTACCGTATTCCGCGAAGATTGTCGCGATGTCCTCTTCCGACACGTTAAACGGCAACCCTCTCACTTTGATCACGTTTTCATTCGTGATGTTCATGCCATTCGGCAGGTTCAACACGCCCGACACCGGAATTGCGGTCAAGTACTCCAACACTTCAGGGGCGGTTTCCGAGGAAATTAACCTGTGCCTCAGTTTGTCCTTATGTGCGCCGTCGGAAGCCAGGACCTCGATGAACCGGTTGCCCATATACTTCTTGTGGTACGCCAGAAACTTGTTAAACTCGTTCTGTTGTGTGGTTTTTTGTTTCAAATTTTGAAGATGAATTGCGGCGTTTGATGCATGAACATGGAAACCTCAAATGGGTTCGCATCACAACAAGTCAATAAGAAAACACAAAGTGGAAACATGAAACAAGAGATGATGAAAAGTCTACTTATTCATCATCAACATTTTTCGCATGCCAAAAACTGTGAGCCAGAGGGAAATATTAGGTTGAAGGTTTTTAGCTTCGCCTGGTGCAGCTACGTGGCCCGATAGCCGCCCACACCCAAGAGCCTACCTTTCCACCTAGCCCACATGCTCCTTCCCAAACCATATCCGGAGCCAAACCATATAGAGTCGAAGCGATTTTCATTTCCACGATGTTGAGATGTTGAAGATGATTTTAGCCCTTAAGGCTCTTGTTTCCCGAGACGATCTCTTCACTTCTACCATTTCTCGTTTCTATTATCCCTGAAGATCCAGCGCACATGATAACCACCTCGCATAAGAAAGAACCCAGCATCATCTTTACCTCATCCACACAGTCGACATAGCACTCCCCCGCGTGTGGTTTGGTCCCTCCCGGACGATCAGCGAGAAAATGAATGGCCGCCTCGTCGACCTGACCGTCGAAGAAGTCGACAATCGAGACCGCGTTGGCCTCGAAAGGCAGGCCGCGGCAGCGGACGCAGAGCCGCTTGGGCATGTGGTCCACCATTTTGGCTGATGCTGGCGGAGGTAGTAGAAGTAGATGAGAGATCCCGTATAAATACTGCTCGTCGTGGTGCAGCTGGTGCTTGTAGCTGCGTCTTGACCCTCGTGCTGCCCGTCGAGTATTGAAAGCGGCCCAGTGTACTTCTAGAAAGCTTCCCTTCTTGTCCACCCAGAAATCCCGACAAACCTCCCAAGAACAGTTGTCTCCTGCCCGATGATTAGACTACTTATCCCGAAAGAGTCCCGCGAAAACCGTGTGATTTAGCCCCAGAGTGTTTTATCTCCCCTGGATGCAGTGGTCCAACAAGATTCGAAATCGAAAAGTCCCGAACCCGCCCGCAACCAAATTTGTTTGCTTTTCAATAATGTCCCAATTGCAAGCAGCTTGCTGTTTCAAGTCGAATTGCCCACAAATGAGTTGCAAATGTTGTAGAACCTACCGGTTTTTACCACCACCCTGAAAAGAAGTGCAAATATATCAGAAAACAAGCTTATAAATTGTGATCTTCGGCGCTTCTTCTAAAACGTCGAGCGGGTGCAATTTATATATTCCCTTCCTTCTTGCACTTGCACGGCCCTGGTTGCATTGAAATCAGGATAGGATTGGGAAACGAGAGTGTAAAAATATCAGAGGAACGCACGCGAGAATCGAGAAAACCTCCAGATCCCAACTACCCAGATTTTTTTTGTTCCGTGAGAGCGGACTGCATTTCAGTCCAGTGGTACAACCATCTCCATTTATTTGGGAGCTAGATTTCAACACTTTTGCCCTGATTGCATGTTGTTCATTGTCCCATCAACATGTTCTTGAAGAAGCCTCAGCCTGCCACCACTTTTGAAACCCAAGTCGTGGCGAAGCGGCTAGTCTAGTAGATTTTATTCTATCAATTGCCGCTTATGATGATCCCTGCGCTTGCAGCTCGCTAGAAAATTTGAAACTCTTGGTAGTGCTCGCCCAAAGTAACCTCCTGCTGTTGTATCTAATTCTAATCTACAGCCCGAAATAAAAATACCTCCCGGGGGGGATGCAAGCAGTCTTCAGACCCGGACATAATCAAGGAACATTTCCAGTTTGCCTTCGACATACTCGCAAAAATATGGTCAGACCGGGAAACATTTCGAACACGTGGATTTTTTCTGTTCTTGATCTCATTCATGAGAAAGAAAGAGAGCAGACGCCATGCTATCAGCCATGTTACGTCGCCTACTCTTCAAGGCACGCGAGGGCAGCTCGGTGCAGTCTTAGTTTGTTTTTATTGATTTTGTATTTGATGCGAATCAATTGCACTTTCAATGCGTCCAGATTGAAGCAATACTGATCACATCAAAGCAAAGGCAGTCGTTTATTATGTCGCTTGTTGAAGTTCTTCTGCTTGTTCAGAGGATCATTTTTTGGCGAGATGAAAATTGCTACGCAAAATATCCCTCCGTCGGGTCCTTGACCGATCTCAAAGGCATGGTTCCGTCGACACTTGCATCAAATGCAAAAGTGTCTGGGTCCGGGAGATTGCAAGACTTGTCATGCAGGTTTTCCATGACCCACGAGATCTGGAATGCGGGGCCTCCCATGACAGATTCTGTGGGGTCTCTATCATGCCTATCCTGCATGAGAAACTCCCTCTTAACTTGACCGAAAGTGGACAGCTTTTGGCACTCATGCAACATCATTTTTGCATGGTTCAGATTTAGCATGACAAATTGCATCTTTGCAGACCCAGACATATTTGCAATGCATAACTTGCGTCTTTCTGCGCCCCGGCTTGTGACATCAGGTACTGATTTATGAATGTGCACAACTCCCCCTCCCCTTCATTTGTCATGCAAAATGTCGAATCGAGGCTGTGCCGCTTAGCACTGTTTGCATGATAAGTTCTGACAGCCCAAATAGCAGCACTACAATCCTGGCACATCTGTCATGCTAAACATGCAGTCTCGCTGGCACTTGTATTGCCGTTCATGCTATAGCTATACAAATGAGGGGGAGGGGGAGTAGTTGTGCACTCTCATATGATTTAAAAAATATTTGGACTCCGTCCACCTCTGTGCGCACCGCCAGACACAGGTCTTCTGCGAGCTGGAGAGTTGTTTGGACGGGGCGCCGGGGTTGCACTGCTGGTAACACCTGGAAGAGAGCTTCAACATCTCTTTCTGCTCTTTCATCACTTCCGCAAGCTGGTTTGGGTATCCAAGAAAAAAAGTTCGTCACGATCACTCATGCGCATTCTTGCAATACAAAATTGCTTGTCATGCGTAAAAATGCATTACAGCCAAACTTCATTACGGATTTCCCTAGTGTTTCTGCAATACAAGGAAACTTTGTGATGCTGAGAAAATTTGTAATGCAAAACCTGCAAGTTAGATACTGTGACAAACTTTTTTCTCTCCATATTGAGGTTTTTTGATTTATTGGAATTGGTGAATCATGGTTATGGAGGGCTATCTACTTCAATTCGAATCGGGCGGGATGTGGTACTAGTACTGCATCACAGCAGGCTCAGCTAGTGAGCATCTACATCTCTTCATAGGTATGAACTACCAAAATTAAGAAGTAGAAAAATGACCTCTACTACCTGCAGCACTGCAAGCTGCTGCTGTTGCGCCGCTGTCAGATTTTGGTCCTGCATTTCGGTGGAACTCGCGGGACACGTTCCCTTGCAGCCGGCTGCTTACTGACGCCCGATAGTTTACTGCTTACCGTGCTATCTACTCCCGTATACAACTCTGGCTTGCGAAAAGAATGCAGTGGAGGTGGACATGGGTCGTTCTTTCTCTAGTCTCGAATTCGAAATGCTACTAGACGCAAGAAGTGAAGATGGTTTCATCGGTTTTGAACATGTTGAAGAATATGAAATAATCAACTGGGATAGCAAATTACCTTTTTTACAGCATTTTGAAGAACGTCAACTTCATGCTGCGCCTGCATCTGCATGGTTAGATAGATACAAACCTCGACCTGTGGTCGCTGAAGCATCATCGATTTACTGAGTGGAAAATTTCACAAATACAAATATCTGCAAAAATTGGCCTTTAGAGGGTTCAGGGCTGCTGGGAGGGGGTCCAGGGTCTGCGAAACGCAACGCCGGCGAGTCGAACAGCAGCACAGCAACAGTGCGCGGCGTTCTTCTGTCCGGCAAGGTCCGGAGGGTTTGGCGTCGCTGGAGGCCATACCGGACGACCACGAGCATGCATGTACTTCAACAACAAAATCAGAAGGCTGCTTCCTTTCCTTTTCGTCGAATCCGCCGATGCGGTTTGTCGTTTAGCTCGTGATTGGAGCAAAAAAACGCTATTCCCACTCGGTAACTTTCCACAAATGAACAGACCCGACCCCTCCGGAGACCCCAAGATCTGGGGCCCTTCGGAACAACCAAACTCCCAATTCCCGCTTGGTAACTTTCCACAAATGAAAAGGCAGGGGGGTCCGGCGACCCCTGCCGGAGAGGTCGCCCGCGAGCATTTTTCTGCGTCATTTTGATGCGATTTTCCCCTTTCGGCGATTCGCCGCGACCTATTACTGCCTCCGCATGCGCCGCATGGCGCCGGAGTTCCGGGCACCATGGCGCGGCCCCAAGAGCCCTAGTGCCGCCCTGCTAGGCGGCCCGCGCTGGTGCGACTTTGGTCGGGTTAAATGGCGACCGCCTGAGATGAATGCTCTGGCGCCCCTCCCAAGGATGCCCGACAGGGCCTGAATTGCTGAAAAGCATAAAACTGGGCGCCTGCTTCTCTGCAGTTTTGTCCTTTAAACATCAACTTTTGCAGATCTTTGTATTTGTGAAATTTTCCCCTTAGTACGATTGAGAACTTACTTACTAGCAGTTATCTGGAGCAACTCAGGGAGACTCAGCGACGATCCAATCTTGCGGCCAAACGGCAAACCATGGATCTTCCTCGCTGCAGCAGGAGCACAACTACACTGAGTGTACTTCTCGAGGAGCGCTTTTACTGGACAGGAGAAAAAAAAATTAGCGTGATCTTCCGGTCGTCACCGTCAGGAGATTAGTAGAACAACGCGCTTCAACAACTACTCCAGCACCTTCAGAACAGCACCACGCTCCGGCTCGGTCGGACTTGTTATTTCAGTTCTTTCACATACGAGATTGCTGTGTCAGTCCTGTGCGTGCAAAAATGAGTACAGTAAACAAAAAGCGCGTCGCTCGGTTTTTTCGGTTTTTTGTTCATCTTCAGCTTTCATACAACAGTAATTCCAGGCTCTAGCTCGTAAGTCGTAGCGCGGAATAAACAAGACTTCTTTGAAGGTTTTTTGGTAATCAATGGTATTGGTTAGAGGCAAAAAGAAATCATTAATAAGTAGAAAATCTTCATCAACGATTCGTAGTAGATTGCTCCTGGAGCAGATCATTTTCAAACTAAAGAACTGGAAGATAGCGCCAGCAGTGGTGCCACCACTCCACGTTCATTATCATTAAAAGTCGCATGCAAAAAAAGCATCTGTTTCTACTTCATTTCTTTATTTATTCAGTGATTCATCTCTTCACTCATCCTTCTGCTTATCTTTATTCCCACCAGCAGCGCCAGCTACCTGCTTGTTTTTCTGAAGTTGCGATGTCTTGGTCGCAGCGTTCGCTTCCACGCGCCCAGCACTAGAACCTGCAGCTTCTTCCGTACCAGCCGCACCATCACCTCCACTATCCCCTTTCTTCTTCAAAAATCCCTTCACAGACCTGACCACCGCTTTCAGCAACACTAGCGACAACCAGACCACGAAAATCCAGCCAATCACGGTTCCGAGAATGCTAAGCCGCACAGCTGTCTCGATGGAGTTCTTGTTCTCGAGAAGGCGTTTCTGGAGGTGTTTTAACCGAAGTTTCGCGGTGGAGGCGTCCGGGTCTGTGTCTTTCGTGCTTTTAGTATTCTTCTTGTTGTTCTTCCCAATGGAGGCTTTGTTCGCCGAAGTTGAACCTTCTTCCTCATCCAGTCCAACCTCCTTTATCGCTTTCGCAACGTTGCAGTCCACCCCCTGGTACACCGCATTGAATAGATCACTCAAATTTGTTTCATTTTCTCCATCCTCGTCCCCGACTGCAAGCAGCATCATCAAGGTTGAGGGAGAGAAGATCCTCAGCATAACCACCGAACTCGGCTTGGAAGAGGCCACTTTCCAAGAGGCACTGGCCACATCCCGCTTTATCACGCAATGATCCAACACGGTGGACACCAGCTGCAAAACCAAACCCGCAATCGAAGTTGTGGCGTGCAAAAAGTTCGGCATGAGCAGTTCCTGGCCGTCTTCCCGCTCCTGCATCAGAAACTTCAACTGCCGGAAGAGGGAGTCGGGTATTAAGAGGAAAAATCCCCCCTCCCCGTATCGAAAAGGTATGTTTCCGGAAATTTGTGTTGCTGATTTGAGACCACAAATCACGTCTGTGTTGCAAGAAGGCAACTCCACAAGCTCCGCAGCATTGTGCGGGCGGTCTGTGATGCTGATGGGCCTACAGCACGGACGTTTCTCATGCTAGACGCCTAGGCCAGAACCTCTCTACTCAGGCTTAGTATGGGGCTGCATTCCTCTCCAGCAAGACAAATCTTATTTGTGTACGCAAATCCTGCATTAGAAACTTCGTTTTGATATGGGGAGGGGGGATTTTTCCTACTTTTGATATCGGGGAGTTCTTTCTTGCTGTATTTCGCCTTCAACTCGTTGCAGTAGACGATTCTCCATCCTGTGCAACGGTATCGCACTCGTACTAATTGCAGATATGCATGACAAATCCAACCTTCTACCACAAATAGCATGACAAATTGCATTTTTGTTCTTGCGAAAATTATTTGTAATGCAATTTATACTAGTACGATGCTTTTGCACAGCATATCCTCTTCGCGATCTCCGGGTCGAAATGCTCGGACGACGCAGGAGCTGGTTGGTTATGGTTTTCGCCTTCCTGCTCTTTTCCGTCTTGTTTAGAAGATTTCGAAGCAGCACGACCAGCAGATTCCGAAGACCCGGACTGTGATTCATCTCCTGAGTCTAGTGTGGCTTTATTTGATGTTCCTTTTCCGCCTTGATTTGTTTTTACATACTTCGATTTGTTCTTGTTCTTTTTCGCCAATTTCTTCAGTCGTTTCTCCTCTTCCTCAGCCTATTTATGACAGTGCACAACTCCCCCTCCCCCTCATTTGTATAGCATGAAGTAGATGAACGGCAATACAAGCATCAGGAAGAAAAAGAATGACGGTTTTGCATGACAAATTTGCACTGGAGTGTAGTGCAGCTATTTGGGCTACCAGAACTTGTCATGCAAACAGTGCCAAGAGGCAATGTGTGGATTGGGTGCGTTGCATGACAGATGAGGGGAGGGGGAGTTGTGCATTGTCATACCATTCCTCGACCTGTTCACAGTACAGCACCGCAGAGTGTCCGAACAGACCCGCCTTCTCGTAATTTTCCGCCGCTTTGTCCCGGTTCCCCGTCCGCAGCGCGAGTTGAGCGGCGCAGAGAAAGGGGGATTCGATGCAGGAGGCGGATTCGTGTTTGTAGATTTCCATTTCCTCGCTGGGAGTGGTTGTAATGGTCCCTGTGAACAAAGGCAGCTGCTGCACCTCCGGCGATAGCTGCTTGCCAAGCACAAGCTGGTCGTGTGCCGGAGTACTCGTTGTTGTCCCGTTCGCCACTAACTCAAACGTGATCGCCGATTGATCGCCCGCCACGTCCATGCTGTCGCAATTTTCGCTCAATTGGCAATACCCGGACTGGTAAAACGTCAGGAACCTACACACTTGCCGGTCCTTGCACTCCCGGACGCAGGACTGGAAATTGTGGTCGCCCTCGTTGTAAAGCCATTTTTGCTTGCCCTTTTTACAGTCGCCGGAAGGGCAGCAGAAAAAGTACCGGGAGAAGGGAAGGAGAAGCTTGTCGACGTCCACTTGCGAGGTCATGGATGAATCGACTTCACCGGCCTGCGTTAATACGGACGACGCTTCCGTATTGCTGGCACGACTACTGCTTCCCGAGTCTCCACCTCCGAGCGAAAGCATGGACTTGATCATGGAGCTTGCAGTCGATTTTATTGTTCCAAGATCATTCCCTCCCCCCGTTAAATACTGCTCGATATCACTTTTCGAGAATTTTGACAACAAATCCACCGCCGACCTGGCCGCCAATTCGTGCCCCGTTTCCGCTATCAACCCGTACACTAATGCCGCTCCGGGAGACACCCGGCTCGTCGACAGCCCCCGGGATTTTGAGAAGTAAATCTCCTGCGTCCTCGTCGCGATCGCGTACATTAGCCTCGACACGGGTTCCATATCGTACGCCGCGTTTAAGAGGTGCTTTAACATCGGGCAGAACAAAGCGGATTGTTTTTCTCTCAAATCCAACAACCGCACCACCATGTACTCGTACCTCTTTTCCGAGGCCATGGTTAACACCGCCAGCTGGTCACTCGCCTGCTGCGATTCCTGATAGGAGTGTAACAAAAGCAACGCCTTCCAGATATCGACAGGAAAAATCCCCCCTCCCCATATCAAAACGGAAATCTGTGATGCAGATTTGTGGTCACAAACCAGCTTTGTGATGCTAGAAGGCAAGAGATGCAGACTGCAGTGCTGTCTAGCGTGGGAAAGCCTTGCAGCTCCAGGATGACAGGAGGCAACTGGAAGTGTGAAACAGCATGACAGATTGCCTGCAATTTAGGCCGCAGCTTTGTCTCTTGGCCTTCTAGCAATACAAGTCGATTTGTGTACTCAAATACAGCATCACAAATTCGCGCATCTTCCGTTTCCGATATGGGGAGGGGGGATTTTTCGTTTCAATACCAGATTTTCACGTTCGCGGCAATCCGACCGTGGACTTGCACGGCCAGTTCTAATATCAAATGTAAAAATGTCTGGGTCTGGAAGAATCATGCTGTTTCTGCATGACACAGAAGGACTGGCATGGAAGCTCTAGCATCACAGGTTTCGAGAAGCTTCCGCAATGCCGAATCCGCATGACAAATCCTCCACTTTGGTGACAGAAGTGAGCAGCTTTTGCTGCCTATGCATCAGAGATTTTTGTGTGTTCTGAAATGCGCATCACAAGTTACATCCTTCCAGACCCAGACACTTTTACACTTGATATCTAAGTAGTAAAGCGCCTTCTCCAAGTCATAGGGTCTGATCCGCAGGACGTTTGCCAATTTTTGCTCGTCGGATTGTTTGTCCGCCGCGTGATTCTTATCGTTGCTCGGGGTGCTCCCCACCGCAACAACTTCCCGCATGTACTCATCCGCAAGCATCAAAGCCGCGTTTCCATCCCCAAGATCCGCGGCTACCTTCAAATATTCCCCCGCAGTCTGTCGCATGTGGGTATGACGTCGCGTCATGTCGTTTTTGTGGATCGGGTGGTAGTCGTTTTTGGACAAGTATTTGTCGATGAGTTTTTTGTCGTCGTATTTGGTCGCGAAGACGTAGAACTGGCACATCGCGTAGGTCGAAATCACCTCGATGTTGTCGGATAATTCGATGTTTTTCGGGATAAACCGCGCGACTTTTCGGTCTTCATTGGCCCAAACAGGTTTCGTCCACCCCGCGCGGGTTTTGAAGTCCGGCATCGGGACCCCGTGCTCTTTTTCATATGCGTCGCCGTACAATAGAGGTGCTTGTTGCTCCACGATCGTGGCGCGGACGTCTTCTAATTCTTCGTCGGTCACGTCGAACTCCACATCCAACACGTTCTTCACCTCGGCCATCAAGTCCACCCCTTTCGTAACGTCCCCGGCTTGCACGGCGATTAGCGCGAGTTGGTAGGTATGCACTGCAAATATGTCTTGTCTGGGTCTGGAAGATTCCTAGATTTGTCATGCATATTAGACACGGCTCGAGACTCTGTGATGCATGGGCTGGAACAGGCCCTCTTACCTGTCGCGCAAAAACGCAGTCTGTCATGCGGAATACGCAGCAGGAGCAGCAGCACATATTTTTACCAGCCCATGCATTATTTTGTCATGCTTGGCTGCGTATTGCAGTGCGCATACCGTTCAGCTGTAGCATTACAACTTTCCAGACCCAGACACATTTGCAATGCATAGTAGGTCGCCTGCCACGACCCCTTGGTGGCGGCCTCCGCGAACAGCTCGATGCCTTTCTCCTGGTCTTGTCTCATGCGGATGTGCTCCTGGGAAAGGCTCAGGTTGAGAAAGAAGAGGAAAAGCACGAGGATAATTACGCAGATGACGGGGCAGTCCCGTTTTGTGAAGAGGGGTTTATTTGGTTGCTCGGCGCCGGTAGTGGGGCTTTGGCCGTCTGTAGTCTTGTTGATGCCGTCTTGGTCTTTCTCTTTATTCCCCGCACTACCTGCAGCAGTCTTCTTTTTGTCTTTATTCATGTCAGTCAGAACGAGTTTACTTTGTTCACCAGAGCTGCTACTTCCTACCGCAACAGCGTTTTTCCCGCCGTCTTCAGCAGAAGTTGCAGCAGCTCTCGGCGACTCTTTCGGGCTCGCGGTTTTGCTGTTCTTCCCAGAGGATCCCGTCGTCGATTCCTTCGATGTGGTTCTTCTGCTGTTCTTTTTCCCTTTCACTCCTGGCTCTGCACTGCTATCGGTTCCATCTTCTACTTTGTTCTTCGCCGATAAACCTCTCTTCCGACAAGCAAAACCGCAACAGCAGCAGAAGATTTTGCTACAACAACCTCGGCAGCAAACCCCGCGAAACAGTAAAGTGCAGAGAACAAGAAAAACGAGCAAAACCGCGCAGACGAAAGCGCCGCCGCCTAGAATTTCGTAATCGACCTGCAGTTGGGGCAACTGCCGGTCTCCGTAGAACAAAGCTTCCGCCGTTCGCTGCATGCCGTTCACGTCTCCCCGGAGCATCTGATCCCAATGGAAGATCGCCTCGTTGTTTTCCACAATGTTCTGCCACTCCATAAACTCCCGGGAAACCGGTTGCGGCACTGGGTTCTGCTCGTACTTCGACACCGCGTGCACAGCCGTAGAATGAACGAAATTCGACAAGGTGAAGGATCTCGCCTTGGCATCAAAGTTTTTGCTCGCCTCTTTTTCTTATCAAATGTAAAAATGTCTGGGGCTGGAAGAATGCAACTTGTAATGCGTATTTCAGAACACAGAAAAGTCTCTCATGCATACGTAGCAAAAGCTGCCCACTTTCTGTCAGCAAAATAGGGGACTTGTCATGCGGATTCGGCATTGCGGAAGCTTCTCGAAACCTGTGATGCTAGAGCTTCCATGCCAGACCTTCTGTGTCATGCAAAAACAGCATGACTCTTCCAGACCCAGACATTTTTACATTTGATATTTCTCGTTTCTGCATGTTTTCCTTCTCCTCCGCACGCATGGCCGCGAGCTGGTTCTGATGACCTGTTCAAGCGTTACAATCTCAAACAACGTTGCAATAGAATCTGGAAATCTGGGATGCAAGAACTGCATGACCTAGCCAAATCTCATAGGACTGCGCATGACAAGTTCCGGAGTCCCAAACCGCACTACAATCTGGCTAAATTTGTATTGCAGAAAGTGGAACGGTCTGCGAGTCTGTAATGCTCATGATGCAAGACCAATCCCAGACTCTATTGCAACGCTTGAGATTGTAACACCTGAGCGGGTTATAGTTCTTGATGTGGTTTTTCACGCTGTTTTGCGCTTCTGACTGCGGAAACCCGAAATGCTTGCAATTCTGCATCTTCTCCGGGTCGCGTTTGCTGTCGAAGAAACTGAAGTCTGGAGTAGTCTTGGAAGAAGTAGTACTGTCGGAGGACTGTGCCCATTTCGTCCCGTGTACTATCGTTTTGACCAAGTCTGTCGGCAACGCATCCCCCAAAGCGTGCTCATACGCCGAGCCAATCTGCAGCATCGCGTCGCCCTCGATCGACGGCCACTTCGTGATCTCCCCGTCGAGAATGATGTGTTTGCCCTTTTTAAATGGATTTGCTTTCTCATTGAGAAACTTCTCCTTCTGCTTCAGCGTTTGCCTTAATGGCTGCCCGAAGTGGATGTTGAGCAGGGTAGAAGTGGATTTATTGGGAAGTAGATCCTTGTAGTCCTCGTCGTCAGGGTTTGAAGATGTTGTGGTTCTTTTGTCCTCGCGAAAAATGTCGAAAATCGTACTCCGGAACTCCACACTTTGAGGTGTCGAAGATGTTTTTGCCTTCTTCGAAGACGAAGTTGTTGTGCCAGTACTACCACCTCCAGCAGCTTTCTTGAAGAACATCTTGGCGAACGCCGGTTTCGTTTCGAGCGACATAAACGCCAACCCGCCGAGGGACGAGTTTTCCATCATGGCAACGCCATAACCCGTTTGCTCAAGCACCGACACCCGTCCCTGCTGCGATAGCATTTTGGACAACAGGTCCGCGTCGCCAGATTCATCGTTTTCCCGGAGTTTAGTCGAAAGAACCCGGCGGGTCGAGTTCTTAGAGTTGGAATTTGTATTTATCATGCCAGTTTGTTCACTATCGAGCAAATTTTGCGGCATCTTCAACTTTTCCAAATACCCTTGCCGTTCCAACGCGGACAGGAGAAACAAGCAGTCGCCAAACACATTCTGCTTCTCCGCACTTCCCTGGCCCGTCAGGGCCGACCACACTTTCTCTGTGTAGTCCGACTTTGTCGCCTGGTACTCGGAGTCAGCCACGGATTTGGAATATTTGAAATTCTCTTTCACGCACAACTGCAACTCCTTCACCGCCTCATTAATGTGGTAATAAACCGAGTGCTGATTCACAAACCCGGAGCTGTATTTTGCCGAGGGACCAAACGCCGCTTTGGTCATTTTCTCCGTGAGCGATTCTTTAGCCAGACCCGTATGGAAGTGTCAGAATCGAAATTGACAAAGTCGAAAATTTTGTGATGCATAAAATGCAAGGCACGAAGCGACTGTCTTGCAGGGATTGCAAGTAAGGCCGATTGTGAGCCTGTTTCGGCTTTGGGATAGAGCTGCTAAAAAGCATAACAAACTGGATTATGATGACGCCCAAATTTGTCATGCGCCACTTAGAAATTGGGCTTCCAACTGGTATCGGATTTATGCATCACAAATTTTTCAACTCTTTGTCAATTTATTTTAATCCTGACACTTCCATAACCCGTCACCTCATCGTAATTGTCCAAGTAGTCTCGCTGCTTGGAGGTTTTCTTGTTCTCAACGGTATTCCCTGAAAATTAACCATCCCCATCCATTTTTTGCATGACAAACACAGAACTTCCTTCATTTTTTGCATGACAAATTTCTAGATGGGGATGGTTGATTTTCAGCGAATAAACGGATGAATCAGCTGTACTGTCAGAAGCAGCTGACGATTTTGACTTTGACCTTTTGTTCTTATCCACATGTGGCGGAATCAGGTCCAATACGCCGGACAAGTGGACCACTGCGCGCCAGAAGCGGTTGGTGATCGCGTTGAAATCAAAGGTGTCCGTTTCCGCACGGACGAAGGGAAGAAGTTGCTCCGGGACGAGGTCCCGGGACGTGTCTAGCTTGATGTTGGTCTCAATCACGACAGCGCCAAGCTGGTTGCCGCCGACTTCCACACTGTACTGTGGCATGGTTCGTTGGTTCTTGTGGAAGACTAAATGGACTTTTTTTATCTGAACAATGCTTCAGAAAGGGGGGTCGAAGATGTTGTAATTGATTCGGTCCTAGCTGTGTAACGATGTGATGTTCTAAAGTCGTAGGAAACTTGATATTATGCTGACAGCACAGGCGACATCAGCTGCTTCTTGGAAGCCAACAACAGACTAAGATTGCACTTTTTTTTGGTTGGAGTCAGGTGTAGTCCTAGTTCACTACTGCGCGTAGAACATACTAGCTAACGATCATGCAGCAGGTCCTACTTAGTTGTGGCAAACAAGAGCGGGAAGAACAAGGCCTTGCGTCAATAGAGAAATGAGGCTTAGCAAGTAGAACCACAGATGTTGATCAAGTTGAATCATGGGAGATCTCTGTTTTAGTCTTTCCCGTTGTCCTTCCGCGGGGGGAAAACAACATAAAAACCGGGGACGAGCAGCTTAAAAATGTAAATGGGGGGGAACTGGAAAAACAAAAAAGCACAACTTTAAAAAATCCGCAAAATTCAAATTGAAAAGTAGATGATCTACCTGGCGTTCCTTGTTGTCTCCTTGCGTAAAAAGATCTGCAAGCGATGAACAAACTATAGTGCGCGAGGACATCAACTGAAAAACAACAACGCTAATCATGATCCGCTGCACGACGTCCTGTTCGTTGCAAGATCCACGCTTTTTTTTCTTTCTCTATTCACCAAGAAGCTACGCAAGAATTCTCTTTATTCATCTCTCCAACCTCAAGAAGGTCGCATGGGACCGACTACTGCTCGTTAGTATCTCATTCCACAGCTCGAGCTCTCATCTCTCGACGAACGTGCTAAAAGTAAAACTTCTCTACTAAAGGACCTAAATCAAAAAGAGCGAGGTAACAAAATAAAACAAGAGGGCCTCGGGGGACCTCTTGTCCGCCCGGCCGGGTGGACAAGAGGTCCCCCCCTTTCGCTGCCGGAGCGGCTGGCTCGCAGAAGTCCCCCCCCGCGTCGCCGCGTCGGCTCCCACCGCCGCCGTCGTCGTATCGGCCCCCGCTACTACCGCGGTACTCATCTACACTTGTGGAAAGCATATAGCCGCCACCCAGCGAGCGGCGGACGACGACGGCGGCGGTGGGAGCCGACGCGGCGACGCGGGGGGGGACTTCTGCGAGCCAGCCGCTCCGGCAGCGACAGGGGGGGACCTCTTGTCCACCCGGCCGGGCGGACAAGAGGTCCCCCGAGGCCCTCTTGTTTTATTTTGTTACCTCGCTCAAATAAAAGCTAGTGAAAATAAGTCTCATGATTTTCCTTTCTGTGCTGTTCTTTCAGCCTGTGACAGGGCTTGTTGCTTAGTAGTAGGTAGGGTCCTTTTGTTAAAAGATCACAGCACTGATGAGAGATTCAAATGATCAGCTACTAGTGCCGCAGGGGGAGCTGCCAAATTGTAGATCTTCAAGTACAGTGTCAATAACAATAGCTGAAGATGCTTCACGAAAATAGATTGGAGTTCCTCGAAGTAAACTGTGTACTAGTCCTCTAAAAAGGATAAACACCAAAGACTCCAGAACAACATTCCATGTAATCATGCGCACCTTCGACGATATTTATTCCTCTACTAAAGCTTCTCACTTTTCCATCACCGACACCGGCGGCGCCGGCCCACAAAACGTTTCGTACAGCACTTCAAAGGTGGCAAAATGGATATCCGCCACATCTTTCACATCCATCGCGTAGCCCCCCGCCAAAACCACAGCGACCGGGATCTTCTGCTCCCTGCAGAATTCAAACACAAGTCTATCCCGTTTTTTCAGCCCCTGTTTCGTGATCTTCAGCCCACCCAGCGTATCTCGCTCGTACGGGTTCGCACCGGCGACGTAGACCAGCAGCGAGGGTCGTCCTCGCGGTTCATCTCCAGAAGAACTTCTACCAGCACCGTTGTTCTGTTGAGATGTTGACAAGGGCTGCTGCAACAAGGTCGCGGTCTTTCTTATCTGCCAGGGGAAGAGAGTGTTCGTTCGGATCTGGTGTTTCAATTCCGTGAGCTGGTTTTGGACAATTTTCAAGTATTCTTCGTCCTGCATGGATGTTCTTAGTTCCACATCCACAGTGCTGGGCGGGCGCCAGTGGGGAAAATTTTGGTTTTCGTGAAGGGAAATGGTCATCACGTAGGGGTTATGCAATGTAAATTTCCCGTACATGTACAAAATGCATGACAAATTTCGCTAACTTGCAGTGTGCAACTTGTCATGCTAGACTAGGATTGAAGGCAAGTTTTGTCATGCAGAGACTGCATTTGTACGTGTACGGGAAATATACTGTGGATAGGGGTGGTCGATGACGTCCACCGGCAAATTTTCGTCGTACATCCACTGGGAAAGGAGCGGATTCTTGTGTTATGCAAGAAAAAAACTGTGTAAGTGTAAATTTGTGTTGCAGAACATGCAACAGAGTTGCGCCTGTCATGCCAGACAGCCATGAAGTCCTCTTTTCATGTGTGTTTTCCCTTACAAGCCACGCATGACAGGTTTTCTCTGTCATGTAGAGCAAATTTGTGATGCTGTTTCTCAAAGAAAGTTACACTTACACACTCTTTTTCTTGGATATGTGTACCGGGGGCTTTAAGGAGATCACCTTCATATTAGCACCAATCGTCCTGGAGGGATCGTTCGAGTTCTTGTTCGCCGCTTTTTTCGTTTCTTGGAGTTGTTGCTCTTCTTGCTGCGTCGGATGAGGGGATCCGGCGACCAGAAACTCGTTCGGGGCTACTCCTACTTGGGCGATTTCAAGCCTTTGATACAGGTGGTCGATGACGAAATCATTTTCGTTGCTCGTCGTTGTTCCATCGGAGAAATTTGCCCAATTGTTCGCTGATAAGACTTCCCGGTATTTCACTCCGGTCTTGTCTTCATGATCCAAAACGCTGTACACGTAACCGTCCTTGTATTTTTTCCCCTGACTAGTTGTCATGCTGGTGCCGTCAAGATGATGACCGTTGTTGTTGTGCATCTTCATCTTCTTCGCTCCATGAAGATTTTCATTGCCAACCGCATTCCCCCCGCCAGGAGCAGCTGTGCCTGTAATATGATCGTGGAAAGCGAACTTCTGCCGGTAACAAGGTGGGAATATGAAAGCCTCAGGCTGGAAATCCTCAAAATGAAAATAATTTGTAATGCAAAAAAACGACTTCAGTTGGCGCACCATTTGCATTTCTAGTCGGCACATGACAAATTTCCCGGGCACTCAAAACGTGTCTGTCATGCTAGTTAGGCAAAGGAGTGCCCTTCTCTCATGCTAATCAGCAGCCCAATTCTGAACCCGTAGAGGCACAATAGCCGGCCTCCATTGCGTTCTCTGCAATGCAGTCTTTCTGGTGTCGCATTTCATGCGTCACAAATCATTTCCACTTTGAGGATTTCCATTCTGAGGGCGTCATAGGGAAAAAGGCGCTCGTCCCGTTTCCCTGGTGCACATCGCAATCGAAGACCACCGCTCCGTGCGGCAACTTCCCTTCGCTGCGCAGAATTTGTAACGCGATCGCCACGTCGTTTAGAACGCAGTACCCCTCGCCCCAAAACGGAGCCGCGTGGTGACTACCCCCGCCGATGTTGAAGCCGATAGCGGGTTTCATCGGCTTTTCCTCTTTGTCGTTTGGTGCATCGCCGCCAAAAATGGTAGTTCTTGCGTCGCCCGCGCAAAAGTAAGAATTCAGCGCATCCTCACAAGCCGCAAGCGTGCCGGCGCAGTCTTTCATCTCGTTTCGCCACACGGTCTCATCGCAGGGCACCTCGAACTCCTTCACTGCGGCGAGTGGGTCGGAAAAGTACTGCTTTTCCACCCGGTTGAGAAAGGTGCTTGTGTGCAAGTTTGGGATCGCTCTTTCCACCCTCTGGAGAAACGTGGAGGGACGTGTGGTCGTGGAAGCTGCGGGGCCTGGAACAAATTCTTGTGCTGTGCCTGTGGTCCCAGAACTTGAACTGCTGCTGGTGATTCTACTTGTTGTGTCCCCCACGGGGGCCCCAGCTAGTTGCATATAATCTTCGGAGGTGGCGGACGAGGACGACGAGGGGACAACTTCTACTGTCGGGTCCAGAATATCCACCAGGCTCGGACCGAGTCGAATAAGCGTATTTCTAGAAGTACCTGCGTCCTCGCTCCTTTCATCGGCCTTCTGCCTGCTCGTGGTCACACAACCATACTTCTCTTTGATCCAATCGTGCAATAAAACATGTTTGTTCATTATCGCAACAAAAAAGTGTTACAGTTACACATTGTGTTGCAGGCCAAGCAAGACAGACAAGCTCTGTCATACCGGATACGCCTAGAAGCCTCGTTTCAGAGGTGTTTTCCCGTAGGATTTCTGCATTAATACAAGTTTTCTCTCTCATGCAGACAAATTTGTGTTGCTGAATTGACTACAAATGTGTAACTGTAACACTTTTTACCTGTGATATTCATGTTGAATCGTTGCCCTTCCCAATAGTTTTCCGGCCGGGGGAAGTAGCGGACGGTGGGCTTCTTGATGTTGTGATCCATCTTTATTTCGTGCCGCATTTTATTTTCCTGCTCGCCGGCCCTGCGGTCGAAATTGTTCATGTTTTTGATGTAGTCCTGTTCCCTGGAGAAAATAAAGGGTAAAGGTTGCTCCTTGAGATGAATAAATACTGGGACGATGCTGGAGGTGGTCTTCTACTTGTAAAAAAGCTGTCATCACATACCAGTTGAACAAGAAATACTAGTTCCTCCTGAAGCTGACCTTGCTAAGTATTTTTCAAAAAATCCTCAGAAGCAGATTAATGTAGTGCACAGCAAGTGCAGTAATTCTATCACTATCTAAATCCTCACGCACGAATTATTTTTTCGTTCAGCTGTTCTCGACAGACACCACATTACACTAGCTGAACTTATTGGGTCTTAATGTTACTAGTGTGCCTGCTCTGCTAGAGATCCTCGCCATCGCCTTCCCCAACCAGGACGAAAAAAAATTGAAATACGATCATGTATAGGACGAGCGAATGGAGGTGTGCTCCCGCGTGTCGTGGATTTCCTTTTCCACTCTTGTTCTTTGAAACAAAAAAATAACCATGTAGAGAGCTGATCCGATCGCCGCGGCAACGCAACCACAGGAGCCAGATCCGTCGTTAGTACGTCCAAATGATATAGGACATACGTGGCTGTGTGTTCTGGTACAGCTGTAGATCAACATAGTAGATGTAGATCCTGATCCTGTGGTAGATCCGCCGCAATAACATCATGATCGTCCTCGTCATCCAATTGAGCGCTACCACTGAACCACAGGAACAAACACCCTGTCCCTTCCATTGGTTCGAGCGAGAGTCCAGCCTCGCATCTTCGCGGCCGCGTTTGCACTTGCTAGCTGATACTGATTTTATTTTCACTTTCATGGAAACCTTACAATTTCCTCTTTCATCAATATCATAAATTTCGGAAAAAAAAATGCGTATGAAGATCATCCGCATGGTGAAAGAGCGCGAGTTTGTTCATCTCAGGGTGAAACTAAGGGGAGACGGTGAATACGAAACTTTAACTTTCATTCTGCTTCACCATGCAATTCAAAAACTACATCGCGTGACTTTCTATTTCCGCAAGTAGAAGATGAGCATGCCGAACACGGTATGCAGTGCAAAAGTATCGCACTCGTATAAATTATGCATTACAATAAATTTCCTCAGCATGAGAAATAAAATTTGTAATGTTGATTTACCTTAGGGAAAAGATTTGTAATGCATGATTGCAATACGAGTATCAGATACTTTTGCACAGGATACACGGAAAAGAACAGCGCCCAGCCGACGAGGAAAACCACCCAGCCGACGCCCGCGCGCATGTATGAGAGTGCACAACTCCACCCCCGCGCCCTCATTTGTAATGCAAAATACCAAATCCACACCTTGCTCGTAAGCACTGTTAGCATCATCATCATCATCATCATGTAGTGGACACCCGCACCCAGCGCCACAGGTCAAGGATCCCCTCCCCGGGGGGTGGGCGAGGAAGCACTTTCGGCGACCTCAACATACAAAAGCCGAGCGCTACCACGGCAAGTCGCCCCAATAAAAATACCAACCAGTCGGGAGCTACCCACCACACCTGATCAGTACAGCCCGGCCAGCTAGCCGAGCGCGACAGCCCAACATACAGAACGATCCAGGACCCGACCCATTTTACGCCTTAAGTTTCTGTTCTCACGGAAGAGACGACGTACCCCTTTGGGCTAAGGGGCGAGACTCTCCCTTAAGCCGCAACCCCACCCAGACAGGGGAGGCTGGACCATTTGTGCCTTACCTGCGGCACGGACGAAAAAGGCAAGTGCCGCGGACCGGAGATGTCAAACCATTGGCCAGTTGTTTGTCACTGCTGACAAATTTTGGAACCTCAAATTATAGTATATAGTATGACAATCCGCATGCAGATTTGTCATGCGAAAGCCCCTTTTGTGCTGTTGCTTGCGTTGCTGTTCATGCAATTATACAAATGCGGGCGAGGGGGAGTTTGCACTCTCGTAGCATGCCGTCCGACTGCAGAATGGTGAACGGCCAGTAGCTATGGATTGCAAAAGTGTCTGGGTCTGGAAGATTGCAACTTGTAATGCTGTCTTTGGATTCCAAAAAAATCTGTATTGCATGACCTTATTTACCCCTCAACCACTATACCCCCTTTACAACCACTACCTCAGGTAGGATCTCGGGGGGGAAGGGTCAAGCCCTAACGGGGGTCGGACCCGAGTGAAACCGTTAGAGTGGCTGCATGTCCTGGTCGAAACCGGAATTCCAAAAGCACGGTATCGTTTCCAGCGGTAAACCAGGCAACACACGACGAACAGACAAAGACGAGGGACTTGGGCAGAGCAAAGGGATAGCTGGGGTCTCCTGCAGCTGAAAAATAACGTCGCGATGCGACTGGACTGGGGTCTCCAGCAGTCCACCAAAAAGCCCTAATCTGTATTGCATGACCAGCAACAGGACTCCAGTTTGTGTTACGCGGAAAGGGCATTTCTCATGCGGAGTAGGCATTAGGAAGCCCTCTAAAAATCTGCGTTGCTAGATTCTGCATTAGAGGTCTCAATCACCATACAAAATATACATGACAAGTCTGCATTTTTCCAGACCCAGACATTTTTACATTTGATAGTACCCGGCGTCATCGTGGACAAAATTCTGCTCGTCAAAGTTGATCGCACGATCGCAGATTTTGCAGCGCATCACCGATTCCCCCTTATCGCACTTGGATTTCAAGTATGAGAGTGCACAAGACCTCCCTCGTCTCCCCCTCGTTTATATTGCATGATGAACAGCAATACAACCGTCGGCAAGAATACAGGTTTTGCTGCATGACAAACTTGGACAGGAGTGTAGTGCTATTTGGGCTCCTGCCAAGACTTCTCATGCAAACAGTGCCAAGCGGCAAGGCGTAAATTAGGTTTTTTGCATGACAAATGAGGGGCAGAGGGGAACAAGTTGTGCACTGACATATCAAGTTAAGCGGGACACCAACGCCCTTGTAGGATTCCGTTGCGTACTCGTACTCCGTGGCCGAGCACAGGTTCACGCGGGTTGCGTACCTAGTATAAGTGGGCGATTTAAACATATTCATTATTGCACTTTTTTTTTTTGAATGCGGGAGGGGATTTCGGCCGCTATGCACTTCAGATCTAATTATTAGCGCCGGGTGCAACATGATAAGTAATTCCGTCAGACATTGTTCTGATGCACAAAAAGATTGTTCTGCAGCAAAGCATTCAAGTCCTGCCAGCACGTAAGAAGTTTCATCAATCCGAATCCAGCACTTCTATTACCATGCACAATTCCGCTTCACGTCCACATTAGGGATGCTCTCACACAGCGCCTGGCAGTCCGGCGCATTGTGGTAGGTGAACTCGGCGCAGTCCGTCGTGCCCGGAGCTTATCCTGCGCAAAAGTATCGCACGGCACACGTATTGCAATCATGCATAAATTTTTTTCTTGAGGTAAATCAGCATCACAAATTTCATTTCTCATGCTGAGAAAATAATTTGTAATGCATTTGTACGAGTACGATACTTTTGCAATGCATAGAGCTTCCTTCCTCGCAAAGACCTTAACAAAGGTCGCCGTGGCTCGGCCGAAATAGGTGGAGCCGGCGAAGTTTGCGGCTTCATGGTTCGAGACCTTTTGATGTTTGGTACGAAGAACGTGGGAATTAGCAGCGGCTGTCAGTAGCTGCTTGTTATTGCAAAGACAGCTCAGTCATTTATTGGTCGAGCAATTGTTTCTTTTTGTTCCACAAGTAGAATGCTCCTAAATCTTTGCGAGTAGGACTACACTTCTACCTTCTCAGCTGCTTGCTTCTTGTCCTTAGCCGTCGCGACCGGTAAAGCTTTCGCAACATCCTCCGTCGAGGACACCCCACCAGCAGCTCCGGTGGACGATGACGGTTTCGGCGGCGCCACGGCACTGGCGCTTAGGGGAGCAAGTACCGATGAAGATGGCGGTTTGATATTCTTGAAGTCCAACGGAGCTCCCGCCGTGCTCGGAGAGCGGTCCGTAGTAGAAGCAGATTGAGACGCAGATACTTCAATAATTTAAGCAGATTGCCCGGCGCCAGAGAAGCTGCGGCTGCCTTGGCGAGGGCAGGGGAGAGTGCGTCGCCGATCCATCGCACAAGGCGGCCGGCGGCTTGTAAGAAAACCGGGCGCCACTACTGCAGAGTTAACTCCATCCAACGAAGGTCGACCCCTACACCGCCAGGGGCAAAAAGTTGCCGCGTGACCATGAGTTTTGATTTTCCAGAAACAACACAACGAAAAAAGGTAGGGCGAAACGTGGCGCGCCTCAAACAAAGACGCAGCCCGTTGGTTGGCTTTGTCGTGGCGCCGGTGTCCCATGCATGCTCATGCCCTTAGTCTCTCGCGAGTCGCCACCGAGCTCCGGAGCGGAATCCCATGCAGCGGCGCCTGCACGACAGGTGCTACCCTCGGACAAAAGGCCCGTAACAACGCACGCACCACGCTACATGCGCCTTAAGGTAGGAGCGCAGCCCCACGGCGCCAGTGCGCGCGCGCTATGCCGCATAAGGAAGGAACCAGACAACCGTGGCGCCCACCTCCTCAGGAATGGCTGAGGAGGTGGGCGCTGTCGTTGCTCTTGCTCCACACTGGGAAAACAAGAAATCCTCGCCTCCGCGCGGAGGCGTGGCCCACGACTTGCTTCCGAGGCCAATGCTGGATGCAACAAAAAAAAATTCTTCGGCGCGCTGCGCGCGCCGTTCCGAAAATAAGAAATCGACCCCTCCGCGCGGAGGGGTCGATTTCTTATTTTCGGTTTCTTCGTCCGCCGCTGGCGGCCCAGAAAGAAACAGACCCCTCCGCGCGGAGGGGGCGGTTTGTTTGATAGCCGGACCACTACCTTTTACCCAGAAAACAAGGATAGTTGGCACTTTCGGAACTTCCGGGTCCTAAAGAAACCGCCCCCTCCGGGCGGAGGGGCCGGTTTCTTTGTGGGCCGCTAGCGACGCAAGAAGAGGCCGAGCTTTCCTGTCGAACGAAACACGACAGCTCCACTCAACCCTCCACGCGGAGGGCCTAACTTATTGGCTTTGCGAATTGTTTCCGCGACCTGCGCGCGGAACATTTGTTCGCTTTTCATGCTTTCGCGAAGTGGCGCCGCGTCTCGTGCAGTGGCTCCTCGCCGCGGCCGCCAGCTGTTTTTTTTTTTATTCCCGGCCACCCTATGAAACGCGCAACACCCCTGCGCCGAAACCTTTGGCGCACGCGAGTAAAAACGTCGCGGCGGGCTGCTTTGCTTCCGCGGGGCCGCGTGTGCCTCTACGAATGTGCCGCAAAGACTGAAAACGCGACGCCAAATCGTTCGTAAAACAGGGCAAGGCAACGCAGGCGCACAAGGTGAGGCTGCATAGCGCAAAAATGAAGATGGAGCACCATCATGGTGAGGCTTAAGAATGCGCCTGCTCCAACAAAAATACTAGAAGCAGGTCGGAGGGCAACTGGGACAGCAAGACCGAATTTTGTTGGCTGGAGGGGCCGACCGCCCTTCTCAGTCGCCCTCTCTAATATCCCTATCGGCCCAAGCGAGTGCGTAACCCTCGCGCAAGCGGATTCAGCGGCAAGCTTCTCTAGCATGCAGCCAGGAAGTCATGGGGAGTGCCACCTGGACCTGCTACCTTGACGATCAACGCTTGACCTTCGTCCTCACAATGCCAAAATGATAAAAAGTGGCAACTTTTGGATCTGCTTAAATTTGCGAAGTATCTGCTACAATTTCCTTCTGGTGAGTACTCTTCAACTCCAACGAAGCTCCCGCCGTGCTCGGAGAGCGGCCCGTGGCTGCAGTCTTCTTGACACTCGCACTCTGCTTCAGCTTTCCCGTGGCTGCCTTCAGAGCTTGGTGCGGAGCAATGGGAGCAACAGCAGAAGCCAGCGAGGGCAACAAGACGAGCGAGCAGGGTACTATTAAACGGCCGGGCATCTTGATCTTGAATGGCGTGGTGGTTAAACGGAAATCAAATCTGCAAGAACTTGGCAAAACTTCCGGGAAAGAGGATCTCAATCGCCCACGATCTTCCTCTTCAATATTTCCGTAATATTTCCCACCGGGGCTACTTTCTGACCATCCGACTCCGAGCTTGATTTAGATTGTGAGACATTGGAACAAACACACTTGCAGCTGTGGTTGTTCTTGGTCCGGATAGAAATCGAGATCTATTTCGCGGCTAATATGTCCAAAAAGTAGAAGATCACGATCATGCACGTCCTGTTTCTCTGAACACAAATCTTCCTAGCGCCCCCAGTTTAGGAGGTCCACTTCCCCACGAAATGGCAAAGAAAGTCCTTGGTTGTGTTTTAGGGGCGCGCTAATATTGTAATCGCCAATCAGCAGCTGTATTAAAGACGAGCTGACGAAGATGTCTATGTCATCTTTTCGTATGACATGATGCACATTTAGCCACAAGAGCCATTTACCAAAAAAAACTTCGTGCAATCGAAACAAAACAAATTTTACAGTAAATGGCCTGCTTGCAGAGCATTTCTAACATGTGGAAAAAGCACGTGTGTACTTAAATCGGTTTGAAAACTTTATTTTGCAATCTTACAGAACTCACGACGACACCTGGCTGGCTTGAGTAAAATGTAATTTTTAACTTTATTTGATGAAAATTCTACAACCACCTGCGTCTCCTGTTGAAAAGACTGAACTCAGAGAATGAAATAAAAATTGAATAATGTACAACATCATGCAGAGTGCCAGTGCGGTTTTCTTGTGTCTATAGTTACAACTGCTAGAAGAGCTTTTCACTTTAAGTTTTTACTACAAGTACAGCAACGTCTTGGAGTAGCTGCGCGATAATGATTTTATATCTCCAAGAACACCGCACCGCTTCTCACGACCACCTTACATTGCCATGCTCTTCCTGGAAATCTCTCTCGCCGTATCGTTCATGCGATCGACCGCCTGGGGCACGGCGTCCACCAATCCCAGCGGTGGCTCGAGGAACCGGGAAGTACTATTCACGACCACCTCACTCCCCGCAGTGGCGAAGCGCACGGTCCTGGGAGAGGACTGCGGGGGCACAGCCGAATTATTTCCACCTCTCGGACTTTTATTGCCACTGCTGTTTCTCCTATTGCTTGCATTGCCCGCTGCCGATCTTGCTCTGTTGTCGCTAGAAGTACTGTTCATTACCGGCGCCAGGATGCTCCTGGGTGGCGAGAGCTGTCTTGGGCTACCCGCGGGGGCGTCGGATTTCGTGGATTTGGGCGGCTCGATGTAGGTGGTCAAACTGGGCACACGGGAGATCTTGTCCCGGCAAGTGGTAACCTGAATTGATTTATGAAGTGGAAACTCATTTTTGATCAACACCCGTTTATTTCAAATTCAAAAAATCACTATAGCAAAAACTTCTGGTGTATTCAACAGCATGCACAAGGTGTACCTGGTCCGCCAGATTCCTGGACAGATTCGACAATCTGAGCGACTCCCCAAAGTTCACCTGCGCGGTAGCCACGATTCGCCGGGTCTCTTCGTCCACGTTCCCGAAGTTTTTGTTCGCTTCCCACTCGAACAAGCTCGTCGGGGTTACGATTGGCAGCAGGAATTGGAATATGCCGTGCAAAAGTTAAAAACGCATCGAACTGGTTCTGGTTGTAGGAATTTTTGCATCACAATTATTCTTGTTATTGTTTTTCAATGTGAAAAAACAATTTTACGCTTGTCAACATGCTGGATCAGGCAGAAAAATGTTGATGTTGTTGCATGGTTCAACATAATTAAAAAACATGGTTCCCACTACGAGCACGATAAGCACTGCAACTTTTGCATCGAGGATATGGAAGTCCCAAATGTGGCTCCCCCAGTTTTCCTCCAACAGATTCTATGAACTGCAAAACAAGTATCGTACTCGTATAAATGCATGACAAATTTCCTCAGCATGAGAAATGCAATTTGTAATGCAAATTTACCTCAACAAAAGGATTTGTATTGCATGATTGCAATACGAGTACGATACGTTTGCACAGGATAGATTCTCTTTTCCGGTCACGATCAACGCGTCAGCGCCCGTTTTGCTCGGAGAGTTCTGTAGTTTCGAGCCAGCTCCACCGGCCCTCGGAGAGGAGCATATGCAATACAAATTTCCCGTACATGTACAAGATGCATTCCAAATTCCACCAATTTGAAGCGTAAAACTTGTCATGCTAGACTAGGATCGAAGCCACTTTTTGTCATCCAAAGACGTCATGTGTACGTCTACGTGTACGGGAAATATACTGTGGATAGAGCAGTACACTGGTTTACTGGTTCCCACCGGCGAGGTATCAAATGCAAAAATGTCTGGGTCTGGAAACTTGTGATGCTGGGTGGAGTATCATGAGGAGGCCACAAGTGCTACCTCAGCATGACAAGTCTCTAAGCTTCTAGGTGTTGCCTATTCTGCATGACAAACTGCGTTTCTGCATGACAGAAAAGTGGCACTCTGCGGTAACGTGCATGACAGATTTGAGAGTCATGCCAGACAAGCATGACAAACATGCACTCTTCCAGACCCAGACATTTTTACAGTTGATACGAGGCTACTGTGCGGATCGCGGCAGTATCCACTTCCCGATAAAAGTTGGGCGGGGGGGGCGAGGAGGTGAGAAGTGTTTTATTGTTTTTACTACCAGCTTATCAAAAGTAAAAATGTCTGGGTCTGGAAACTTGTGATGCTGGGTTTCGCTCATGATGAGGCTACAAATGCTGGCTCAGCATGACAAGTTTTTGAGCTCCTAGGTGTTGCCTGTTCTGCATGACAAACTGCGCTTCTGCATCACAGAAAAACGAAGCTCTTGGGTAACGTGCATGACAGATTTAAGAGTCATGCCAGACAAGCATGACAAACATGAATTCTTCCAGACCCAGACATTTTTACAGTTGATACAGCTGCACCTCCTCCGGTTGTTGTAGCTCCGACTCCGCGTGCGGAAGTTGTGGTCTCCGGGGAACTCGGCGCCGCGTTGTTTTGCTGTTCCTCGTATGCAGTGCAAAAGTACACAATTGCGTTTTATACATTTCAAATCTTTTTGTTAAGGCAAATCCGCATCACAGATGTACTATGTAATGCTAAGTCAGTCTCAATTCGTAATGCATTTTTACGAGTGCGATACTTTTGCAATTCATACCTCGATGGTTTTGGCCCTGCCCTTGTTCATCTTCGGAGTTGTGTCTGCGTTCTCGTCGGTCGTGTGATCCACCACAAGCGGAATTTTCTCCGCGGTAGCGTCATCGAGATTGTTTGCTGGGGAGCCGCTCTTCTTATCGCCCGAAGCTGCAGCACTGCCACTCGGGGTGGCCGCACTGTCCTGCTTGCTGCCGCCGCAACCCATCTTCAGTCGTGACGAAGGCTCGTTAGTGGAGGTTCTTGCTGTACTTGTTCTAATTACAGGAGTTTCCTTATTCACGAGCGGAGCAATTAGAAGTTCTAAATGTTGGTGGCGGCCCTTTCTTGTTGTATGTCATCTTTACTGAAGGTGATGCAACAAGAAGTAGGAGCAAGATTAATGGTGGTACAACTTGCTAATATGCAACAGTTCAAGTTTTTGTAATCTCGGAATGACACTTGCCTCCCGACGCCCCACAGTTGTTGTTTGTAATTGTATCCTCCCGGGATACGGATATATGGTGCCAGAGCCAGTTGCAGTTCTACTTCTCCTTAGGGACAGAATAGTAAGTGATAAGTGAAGTTTGCGTGGTCAAGAAGACCACGAGGTGATGTAAGTAAGTACCTAGTTCTGCTGGGCTGTGCTTTTCGTTTTTTGGGTGGTGCCCCCTCACGACATCGAAGAATGTTCACCGATTTGCGAATCGCTGAGCAGGTAGAAAAAAACAGGAACGTCTAGTACAGGAGCAATAACGTACACCTACAGCTCCTTGTTGATGTTGGTAAATATTAAAATCACTTGACTACTAGAAGAGGGGGGAAAACTAACAAATCGGGTTCTTGTGGTCTGCATGTGGTTGCTGGTACAAGAAGTGCTTCATTTTCCACGCTTATTTTCGCTCGGGATTTCGATTTACATTTAGTTGTACGAAAAAAACTTGGTTTGCTGTTGGACGTGATTATTCTGCACGAAACAACGACTTCCTTCTGTACGGACACTACACAAATATAATTGAGGGAATAAACCGAACGTTGACGATAACATCACGCGCCTTTTCTTGAGCAGCATCTGAACAAGACTGGATACCGCGTCGATTCATTCTGTTCTTGCTAGTGCGCACGACTTGCTCTACTCGACCTGCTCTTTCGACCTGCTCTTTGCTAGCTTCCGACATGTCTACAGAAATTTTCGCGCTGGTGTGGCCACACCGGGGTAGAAACTTCTGTAGGGCTGCTCAAAATTACTGCGCGGGGTAGCTAACCGTCGCAGGTAGGACGAGCGTCAAGAGCGACAGAATTTTGCTGATCGGGCAAAATTGTATCTATCCGAACGGCTACGCCTACAAATTTCAATCGATCCCCATAAGCCGGAGCAAGGGGATAAGACTCAAGGAATTCGGCCACTGGGCCCCAGTCTCGGCCACTCTCCTTTACTTTCTTATCTTGCACGCTACTAGTACCTGGTCGATACCTCTCGCAAATTCTTAGCGAGGCAGGGAAGGTCGTCACAAAATTCGGTTTTCATCCCGAATGCTTACACTCCCAACACAGAAATATCCCGACGGCAGTAGTTGCGCGGGAAACAGCGGAAACCGATTGCGATGCTCCCATCGCATTGAAGAGCGGGAATTTTATCTATCAGCAGAGGGGGCGGATGGTTTCACCATCAGCATCTTCAAGCTGAATATGTAGCCAGGCTCGACACCTTGGAGCAATCCAGGTCGCCTGATCCGGGCTGAGCCTTTTCGTGCCTTCTTTCAAAGCCTAGCACCAGCAGAGGCAACATCTTGCACAGCGGTGCTGATGTCCTTCACGCTGGGCGTGTTTGGTTCAACTTTTACAACAGATTCGAGACCGACAAATCTGGTTCGAAAACAGAGCGCGCTACTTCTGACACTTTTCTTGCGTCAGAATTCTTCATCAATCTCAGAGCCTCAGCTGCGAGTCTGGTTGCTGCGCAATAACTGGAGACCGCGTCGATTCATTCTGTTCTTGCTAGTGCGCACGACTTGCTCTACTCGACCTGCTCTTCTTGTTCTTTTTTCACGCAAGGTCGAATTTGACTTGGAGGAACACTTGTTCTGGATAAATGGCAGGGCGCAAAATGGCAGGGCGCAGCCCAGAGTCAGGTCTCGAGACGATGAAGATAGTTGTATGCACAACATAATATCAGTGACTTTCTAGTAAGTACATCGGTTCAACAGCTGCAGCCTAGGCGTACGCGTTCCGGTGTACTAGTAACCGGACAAATAAGGAGCGCCACCTGCTGCTGTCCGAGTTCGTTCTTGCATCTGGGTAACTAGAACTACGTGTGTACCAATTATCTCGTGCTTCTATGATTACGGACGTGGTAGATTCAGTGAAAACTTCTCCTTCATCAGTTTTGTCCTAATCAAAACAGCCTTTGTATCACAAGAAAAAGCGTACACGTACACGGTTTTGCCTTTTTCCGAACAAAAATTTTTTGTGTGCTCCCTCGAGGCGTTCACTTGTGTCAGTGAAAGCATTCGCTACGAAGTTCGCTAGATTGGGAGCCTGGCACAGCTGGCGCACCTAGAGCACACGGTCCGAAGGTCATAGCGAAGGTCCAGCAGAAAGGGGAAAGAAGCAACCGAGTCAGCTGCCCAACGCTCCTGGTCTCGTCTCAGGGCGGCGCAAAAAAGGCCGAGAAGGCCAGGAGCTGTCGTTCTAGCGCCTAGAGGCGGGCCGCCGGTGGCTCCTGCAACCTGCGACCCAGGTTCTCCCTTCGCCGAGGATCAAAGCCACCCAACAAACCGCCGCCACCATCAAAACAGGTGACGGGCCTCCTTTTGGAGAGGTAAACGGGCCATGCCATGCAGTCTGGAGATGATGTACACGGTTTTTCTTGGGGTCAAGAAAATCCGCAGAAAAAGAGGCAAATTTATCTGAATTTTGAGTGTGAAATCGCGCACCATCAAAAAACCCTGTACATCGCATCCAACCTGCGTGGTATGATGGATGTGCACGGTCTGCGAAGTGGTCGGGTCCGGAGACAGACGCTCTGAACCGTGTACATCGGCCATACCATGCAGTCTAGATGCGATGTACACGGTTTTTGTGGGCCCTTTTCGAATTTTGTCGCAAGTTTACCACTTTTGAAACCGTGTACATGGACCATAGCATGGTAGTTAGGTTCCATGTACACGGTTTTTGGCCAATCTGAAAAATTTGGCCTTGGAGGTATGCAAAAAATTGCGTTTTTCCGGACATCCGAAATTTGGAAACTTTCCCAGATCTCGGAACACAACACAGCCAGACGAACCTGCCGAGAAATCTGAAGCAGTTCGGCTCCCGCCCAAACAATATTCCGCAGCCCCCATCAATGTTTCCGACCCCAAACACAGCCTGGCGGGTGGGGGTGGAGTGTTCATGGCGGTGGGACACTGTCGGGCATTGGAGGTAGATTCAGTGAAAACTTCTCCTTCATCAGTTTTGTCCTAATCAAAACAGCCTTTGCTTCCATTTTGCCCAGCAGTCTGGTTGCATATATATATATAGTAATTCCTTCGGCCCCTAGTAAGGTATGGATTGCAAAAATGTCTGGGTCTGGAAAGATGCCAGGTTTGGCGTGCTCTGCTAGCATGACTGTCAAGTCTGTCACGCAAGGTGCCCGAAAGCGCCACTTTTGTGTCATGCAAAAACCCAGTTTCTCATGCAGAATAGGCAACACCTAGCGACTCAAAAACCTGTCATGCTGAGCCGTCAACATTTCTGGCGTTCTCTTGATTCGCCAACCAGCATCACAAGTTTCCAGACCCAGACATTTTCGCAGCTGATATAAGGGTGGCCAATACAACCATCCAGGAGGATTCCGATTGTTTTCGTTTTTCAAAATGATCTCACAAAACCTGCCACCTCTAGATGTTGTCGTTTGTTCAGGATGGTCACACGGAACCGCTTCCATCTTGAAAGGTGTTCTCTCATCTCATGCGTCTAGCGCTATTTCAGTAAAAAAGGAAAACTTGGCGAAGCATCTTTGGCTCCCACCTTAGAAAAATCAACTGCTGCCGAGAACGAGAAAAAATTTTATTTGATAGGAAGACTAAGACAGAGCCTGCTACTGGACAAAAATAAAATAGTTGCTACTGAAGTTTTCAAAAGGTTGCGCGTACTAGTAAAGCTGTTGCTGACGGTAAAAAGTGTAGTCTTTTAAAATCTATCGGGTTACAAGGGTGAAAAACATACTCGCTTTCAAAATTCAAATTTTTTTGAAGCCCCCTTGCAGCATCCGGCCCGACTGTCCTCATCCGCGTCACCCGGCTCAGTGGCCCCACAAGCGGCTCCGGATTCTCCGACCTATCAATTCCTTTTTTTTGAGATGTAGTCTGATAGTGATGAATGAGAATGCGAGTGAAAGTATGTAGCTTGTCGCGGTGATAGCTAGTGTAAAGTAGATAGCATTTGAGACGTTTTGTGACAGATGTCGGCAGCAGGTAGACGCTCATCAGCGACAGGAGCCTCCCAGCAATGCCATCCGGTCTGGGCACCAGACTGGTGCCCAAAATGCCGCTCAAGGCGATACACAGCTCCGGACCAGCAGCACTCCGGGCAATGGACTATGCAAAAAAACGTCTTCAAATGCGAGCGCAAATTTACACTACCTATCACCGCGACAAGCTAGCCTGCTAGATAATAAGACTACTCAAGTGACATCATCAACATACTCCAGCAATTCAGGTAACGAAAAAAGGTCCCGCGACTCACCTGCCCGACGCCTTCCAGTTCAACGAGGCCACCGACGGGGTCCTATCTGGACCCACCCTCAAGGGGGGCAGAAAAAAATTTGATTTTTGAAAGCGAATACGTTTTTCATCGCTGTACGGGTGCTCGCTTCTTTAGGCGAGCGAGTAACTGTTTAAACGTACTATCTATGTTCCTGCTTGCAAATGGCTGCTGAATAGTGTTTCAACTTATCACCGCCGGAGCTCGAAGAAACAAAACCCTTCTTAGCTGTGAACCAACGAGCTCGGGGAGTTGCCTGAGAGAAGGAAAGCCGAAGCCTTCAATCAGCCCTGGCTTCAGAAAGGCGCAATACTACCTCCTCATCCGTACTGCACCGATCAACCTCCGCACAGCCACAAGGTCCAAAGCAAGCCGCCTCTGCTTGCCCTTCCTTGCGTCAGAACAGGCGCCATAGAAATGACAGGTCCTAAGCAAGACTTCTCTTCTTGCCCTTACTGCCTACACCACTTGAGCCGAAACTCTAGTAGCGGTACGCAAACGCCACCGGGAAACACAGGAAAACACGGAGTTATGCCCTGCATCGCCCAGTTGCCTCCCTAAAACCCTTGACCCTACCCTGAAGCCCTTGCTCCCCCCCAACCGAAATTTAAAAAAAAAACCAAAAGCTATCGACCCTTTTTCCCTGCTCTCCCCCCCCAAATGATTTCCCTGAGCCGGCTCCAGAGCACAGAGCGGCTAGGGCAGAGATTGTTGTGGTTCTGTACGAGCAAAAGCGCTAACCTGACCTACTTGCTTCTCTCGAGTGCCTTGATCTTAGATGCTGACGAAGTGCATCTCTCAGCGATATAGAAAAATTAAGCTTTTCTATCTCTCAAGCGAAAGCAAAGATTTATATCGTGCTACTACGCTTGCACGGTTCACACGACAGAATTCTTGCTTGCGCGGAACACAGACCGAAAAAATCAAAAAAAACCGCCTCCCCACGGGTGAGGAGCGATTCAAACCTCAACACGACTCAAACAATGTAAATCCATACTTAAGTCATACACATCCAATCACAGCTCCAAAAATGGGCACTAAAATGCATCATCATACACGAACTGCTCCTCTTTATTTCTTGTTCCAAAACAAAACGAAAGCACAAGGCCTAAATAATCCGTACTGTATTTCTTTTTCTTGTTGGTTCTCAGTCTTTCCCTCCTTTTTCAAAACATCAATACTACGTCCGAAAAGTTTCACTTTGTGTCGTGTTTGCCAAAACTAGAACATTGCACAGCCTGCAGTTGCCAAAACTAGAATTTTGCACATTTGCCAAAACTAGAAGAACCGTTCTTGCCAAAAAATCAATTGGAGCGCAACTGATATATATTGTCTCTAGGGACCCAGTAGGTATGATCTAATGATCTTTGTAGTCTCGTCGAGCGAAAGTTGATTGATCGAGATTCAGGTCCTCGCGGAACAAACACACAAGGAGAGACTTGTGCTTTCCGGAAATCAAAACGTCGCCGCCGCGGTTTGCGTTTGGTTTTATTCTTTCACAAGGTTTTGTAACTCCAAATGAGTATTCAATAATAGTGGCTTGAGCCACGAATGCACAATTCACGCGAGAGAGTTTGGGTTCGCAATGGGTTGATGGTTGAATTGAGAAGCAAAAGAATCAAAACGAAGAAAAGCAAAGCGCTTTGTTCGCGCTCGGTAGAACGAATGCAAACATGAAACAAAGTCCGAATTTGCTTTGGCACAAATAAACTTTAATCCGAGTTTTCATTCTTCTCCCGTTCGCTCAAGAATCTCTCACTTCTTATTTTCAATCTCTCCGACACTTGAAACAGAGCATCTAGCTCAGATATTCACAATATCTTTTTCAACGGGGGTTTTTCTTTTTTCAACCAGGGGTTTTTCTTTAGTTGTCTTTTTTCAACCAGGGGTTTTTCTTGAAGTAGCGCTAGAAGAAAAAGGTGAGTAAACGCGTTTCCACCTTCACGCATAAACACAAACAAACAAACATCTTTTTCAACGGGTGAAAAAATCAATAGCGAAGCTCAGAAAAAATCTAAAACTTGAATCTGAGAGATTTGTTGCTGCAAAAGTGTAAAGCTTGAAGCTTCTTGCAGTTGTCGAAAGGTTTGGGTTTGTTACGCACTTTGAGCTACTACCTTGGAAAAACTGATTTTTATTTTTGAAGCTTCGACGACGACGACGTACCTACTCTAGATCTTCGCGGCTTGACAATTATACATCAAAATGCTGGTATACAACTTACACGAGGACTGCTTTTCCTTTTTACATAAATCATACATATACAAAATGGCATCATACAATCTTACATGACTTTACATGTTTTATTCCGTCCTAAGTATCATAATGATACTTGCGACGACAATGCTAAATGCATATACAACATGTCGCGGCGCCCACTTCGGTCCTTCTCGGCGACCACAGCAAGTCATGTCACGCGACCACAGGTTGTCAATGTCCTAACCGGGGGGGCTGCGAGATGAACCCGTCCTCTACTGCTTGCACTTGCTGAAGCTCATCACGGATTCTTTGCAAGCTCGATTCTGCGCCTACCTGTCCTTGAAAAGCATCTAGATCGGCTTGGGCACGTCTGCGCATGCGCGCGATGTAGTCCCGTACGAGGCTGGGGTCCGCCGCGCGAAGCAATAAATCCTCGCCGAAACAACGAAAAAAAGGCATCGCTCTGCGTTGCATCCATAGATTTTCCCAGTCATCTATGGGATTCTCAATTGTTACACTCTCAACTGTTACACGAATTTGTGATGTAAGAATGGCAACAGGGAAAGGCCGGATCTTGCAACTCTTGCATTACAAATTCGGCACAGATTCCCATGCTGTTTAGCTCTTTCAAAATTTGTCATGCGAAGTAGCTTCACTGTGTGGACGTTGATGCTCATTCTGCATGACAAATTCATGTAACAGATGAGAATGTAACGTTTGAGAACGCCATATCATCATCGTTTTCGAAAATACTACGCAGAAACTCAGCGTCATTGCGGAGCTATCAACTGCAAAAATGTCTGGGTCTGGAAAGACGGAACTTGTGATGCGCATCTCACACCACACAAAAATCTCTTATGCATAGACAGCAACAAGGGTTGCCCACTTTTTCACCGAACAAATAGGCGACTTGTCATGCGGATTAGGCATCGACGCAGCTTCTCAAAACCTGTAATGCTAGACGTTGCTTGCCAGACCTCGCGGGTCATGAAAAAACAGCATGGCAAAAATCTGCATCCTTCCAGACCCAGACATTTTTGCATTTGATAGGAGCACTGGATCGACCAAGCAAAGGGGGTCCTCGCCCTCGTTGCTCCGGGGACTGTAGTTCCCGAAGCGTCTCATCGACGAGAGAACTTCGCGCATCCGTGTCGGATCACGAAGAAGTTCGGGGGGCGCGACGGCAAGATTGAACACGTTCTGGGTAACAGCGGCCTGAAGCAGGTCCCATGCCCCACCGTTCGCCATGTTGAATCTGACGGCTTCGGGAATCGAGGCATACATGCTTCGCGATGGGCCCCGAAAGCGACCGCCGGGCCGGGCTTCTGAATCAAAGGGGCGCTGCTCATTTGTCAGTAAAGCCTGCCACATAATGTCGTGATTGCTGAAGAAGTGCGGCAGTAAGCTGTCTCGCACAGCCACGGCCCAGTCTCCTTCTCCGTTGACTAGCGATCCGTTACTGGTGCTGCGAAGGTCTTCTTGTAGCATCCATCGGGCAAATTCCGGGTTTGCGCGCACGGAAACCTCCGCGATCTCGCGCAACACAAAAGCAGCATGATGTGGAATTTTTAGCAGAAGAGCTTTGATGAATTCCGCGTCTCCCCGAAGCGTGAAAGAACTCCTAGCCGTGCCCTCTTGCGCTTGTTGCGGACGAGAAGTTATGTTTCCCGCGAGCGCAACGAGGCCGGGACTGCCTCGAAAATAATACATGTGCTCGTCGTTTTCTGCCTGTTCTTCGCGAAGAGAACGGAGCATGGCCACACGCAGCATCACCTCTCTGCTATTCAAAACCTGCGGACCAGCAAAGAGCACGCACCCACGCAGGCTTTGTCTAGTGCTGTCGGCAAGGGGCCGCCCGTTGTCTGGCAATCTGAGGAAAAACTCCACACTATTCAACAGATCCGGACTCATCTCGCCCCGAAGAATATCGCGAGAAAAAACTGTCTCGGTCTCGACCTGTAAAAATGCGGAAGCTCTACAAAGAGACAGCTTCTTGGCATTCTTTCGGATGCGTTTTTTTTTGAAAAAAACCTCGCCGGGCGGGCACTCCTTCGAATTCTTGTGTCCGACGTATCGGTATCACAGGTTCTTCTTCTTTTCCGTTTCATGCTGTATTGCTAAGTCTGCAAAGATTCGAGACTGAGACAGTTTTTTCTCGGGATAAAAAACTTCCTCGGCGCAGTCGCCCACATCCTGTCGCCATTCCTTCAGAAGGGCGGAAATCTGCATTTTCCAGTGCGGAAGCGGAGGAGCGAGCACCAAAGTCCGGATCCGCGTAAGAATCTCAAAGGTAAGATACTCACGACCAAGCCTCTCGGCCCGCCGCGCTGCAGCAATGGCACTTTGCAAATCTCCCCTAAATTGCTCCTCGGGAGTGAACCCGAGCGCAGCGCGAGTCATCTTGTTGGCTTGAATCAGGCTGGCCATCGCGTTCGGAGACAGGAATGATCCCCTGATTGCGCGCGCGTCGGGTCCGACACTTTCTTGCAAAGCATCAATATACTTGCCCCTGGTGTCCTCTTGCGGCGGTGCACTGGAGACTGCGGCAAGAACAGAAGGAGAAGTAGTCGTACCAGCGTCCGCATTCGTGTAGTTCTGCTGGTGACCAGAAGCACGCGCCTCATCACGGGAGTCGGGAGACCGAGACCGCGATCCCAATCTCGACATCGATCTTGATCTTGTTTGGCTTTCAGACCTACGCGTACGCGACACCTTCCTGCTCGCGTGACAATAAATCGAAATTTCCTGGACGGCAGCGAATAGCAGAAACCACGCGGCCGCGACGAGAGGACGCGCCAACATGATATGGGACTTGTAGTTCATCTTCGTCCTGAAAAACATTTCTTTTGCGAACGAAACTGACGAGAAACCGAAAACTACTGCTGGAGGAGTGAAAGTAAAAACAAAAAGCTGCTGCTGCAGTACTAGATGTAGAACACGGAAAGCGGTGGTGTAGAAGCAAAACTGAAAAAAAAAGTCTGAACAAGTTCCAAAAAGATCTCGAGAGCTGTCTTACAAAAGATCTCGAGAGTTGTATGATAGTACTCAAAGTTCTTTACGTAGGTAGAAATAATATATAAAGTGTCGAGCAAGCTTAGTTTTTGGACGAAAGTTTTAGTTTCTGCAGAACGAAGTTCTGAATTGAGGTGATCTCAACTCGAACTGACCCTGTGGAGATTTTTACACAAAGAACATGAACAGATGAGCTCGATTTCGATCATGGAGAAGATCTCAGACATTATAATGCGGGACCAATATAGTATGATCTGATTAATGAAGATCATGATCAAGATCGTCCACTATAATCCACGGTGCGGTGATCCTCGTAAATTGTATAAATTTTTTTTCTCGTCGAGAGCAGTCGGCTCGGCTTTCGTGAAGATCATCGATCTACCTGATCTCTGTCATATGATCGCTTTACTATTTGTACACGTAGAACAGATCGTTTATAATGTCAGAAGTCGGCTTCGGGATCGTGAATAATCAGCCACAACAGATGAGTTCTACGCAGGAAGTAAAACAAACTGCGCGCACGTGGCCACGACTTTTCTTTTTCAGGATGTTGATATTAAAGGTGCACTACTGATGTGTATGAAGCATCAGCGGAAGATGCGATGAATGCGATTATAGCTTTTTAATCCTGATCATGCTGATTCAATACATTGACATTCCGTCAGAAGGAGACTGCTCCCTCCTGTTGTATCTACTTGTTAAGTACATCATTTCTTCAGTTGTTCCTTTTCTCGGCCAGCAACTGCATCTCCTGCCGGACGTACTTATCCTGAGCAAAAACGGCCACACCTCCCTAGCGCCAAGATGGGAAAACTGCTACACTTTGGCTGTCGCGCTCGCGCATAACAAGCTTGGGCTCGCAATAAGGCCCTCGTGTAGTTCACAAGCTAGCGCAGGAGCATCACAAATTCAAATTGAGCGCTTCATGCGGATATAAGCATGACAAATTCCATTTCCAAAACACCACTAAAAATGCTTTTCCTTGGGCTGCCGCTGCGCATGAAAAGCTATAGAATGTAGGACTAGGAGTAGTTTTATGGATGTTGCAGGAGGAGCTTCGCATGACAACAACTATCGGGACGAGGTGGAGGTGGGGCCGCCCCCGTCGTTTCTACTGGGGATAGTACTCCCAAATTATCAAGGCCGCGGACACGTGCACATTCAGACTCCGAATGATTCCCCTATGAAGGCCTCAGGTTGGAAATCCTCAAAGCGGAAATAGTTTGCAATGCAAAAAACCACTCCTGTTGGAGCGCCACTTCTAGGCGGCGCATGACAAATTTCCCGAGCACTCAAAGCATGCCTGTCATGCTGGTTAACGCAAACGGGTGCCCTTCTCTCGTGCTAATCAGCACTCCACCAATCCTGAACCCGTAGAAGGACAGTAATCGGCCTCCATTGCGTCCTCTGCAATACAGTCTTTTTTGCGTCGCATTTCATGCAACGCAAATTATTTCCACTTTGAGGATTTCCATTCTGAGGCTTTCGTATCCCCTCTGCGGAATCTCCACGCACTGGTCGCACATGTGGATCTATCAAATGCAAATATGTCTGGGTCTGGAAACCTGTAATGCTGCATGGCCCTGAGTAACTGCGCCTGTCAGAGCAGTGTAGCGTGACAAATTGTAATTGTTCAGACGCTTTCTCATCGTCCTTAGTGCGCATTACAATAAACTGCGCTTTTGCGTGACGAAATTGCAGCGCTTTTGTTGCTTTTATGCAACACAGATTTTTCTGGAATCCTGGACACACAATACAAGTTCCACTTTTCCAGACCCAGACATATTTGCAATGCATAGGATCAATTCCGCGGGCAGACCTTCCTTTTCCGCACCGAGAAGAAGGATGACGCCCTGCTGTTCATCTACCTGTGCAACTTGCTGATCACGAGAACGACCAGTTGACGGCTTTGTTCTGTTCTTGTCCCGGAGTTCTTTATTTTCGGGAAAAAACTTGAATTCCGAGAGGCAAACGCTCGTGTGTGTTATGAGGGTGCACAACTACTCCCCCCTCATCACATTTGTATGGCATCAACCGCATTACAAACACCAGTACGGGTTGAGGACCCTGTGCATGACAAGGAGTTCATGCGCCGAGTGCAGTACTGTTTGGATTTCTGGAATTTGCCATGCACATCACGGCGCCACAAGGTAGCAACTGGACTTGGGTTTTTGCATGACAAATGAGGGGGAGGGGGAGTTGTGCACTGTCATATGGGTCTGCTCCACGCCGATGATTCGGTACTCTTTCAGCTCGGCATGTAGTTGGAGAAATTGCTTCAAATTTTCCGGCTTCACCTCCAGCAAATTGATCCACTTTTCCGCTGTCACGGACACCGACTGAAATCCGGGATCCTTGATGATGTCTTTGTTTCCGACCACCAGCGCTTCCGCGTTGAAAATCTCGCAGGTACGCGCCAGCCCGGCGAGGTTCGGCGTATGCAATACAAATTTCCCGTACATGAACAAGATGCATCACAAATTTCACCACTTTGGAGTGTAACACTTGTCATGCCAAACTAGGATCGAAGCCCAATTTTGTCATGCAGAGACCGCATTTGTACGTGTACGGAAAATTTACTGTGGATACGGCGCCTTGTCGATCAACGAGGCGACTACGATCAGCTTCGACCGCTATCCAGAGGAAAAACCTCCCAGCCCCAGAGTCAACAAGATGGCGACTTTGCTACACAAATCAACAAGATTTGGCTGTTTCGCATGACAAGTTTGGACTCGTAGTGTAGGGCGGTTGGAGATGGAGGTAGTGCAGACGCATGACAAATCGACTCTCTTATCCTGATCCCAGCATGATCACAAACCTCCAGATTGATAGCATTCGAAAATGGCTCTAAAGGGGCTGCGCACGAGAAACATGATGGGCTTGGGCATGCCACTTTGCATGACAAGTCTGGGGTGGGGGCGTTTTTACAAATGATAACCGCGTTTGTTTCTTCTTTGCGCCGGCCAGCTGCTGTGCGAAGAAGAGGTCCTCGATTTGGGACATGGAGGTTGCGGCTCCTGTGTCGTCACTTATGCAATACAAATTTTCCGTACATTGAGCTGGGCGCCCTCAGATGGCACCCCCGTCCCGAATTTCTCTCGATTTTTTAAGATTTTTTTTTCAAAAAAAAATTTTTGATGGGCAGTCGTCGCCGGGAGCCAACGTTCGACGGCCAGCCGCGAAGCTCCGCTGCACTATTTTATTAGACCTCTCTTGTTCTAGTACTGCTTTTTTTTGCAGCTTCTCCGCATTGCAAGCTGCTTCTTTCTTGTCTACTTCCAGCGATCTTTTTCGGTATCCTCTAGAAAGGCCGACGCTTCCTCACAAAAAGTGCTCACTTTTGATGGCCAAAAGTGAACTCCAAAAAAGTCATCCTTTCCCATTTTTACCTCAAAAAAAAAGTCTCTCGATTTTCTGGAAGGTGAAACCGAAAAAGACCGGCAATAATTGAGAACATAATGGGGAGAGGAGACTTTTTTCTAGACTTTTTTTTTGGGTCTGCAAGGTCGGAAGGCGAAATCGAGGAGGAAAAGCGAGAGACTTTTTTGGAAGCTCAAAAGTGATCATTTTTGGCTTCCAAAAGTGAGCACTTTTTGTGCGGAAAAGTTGACGCTTGCTTTGGTAAGTGTTTGATGAGTCCACCATACCACTTGGAATAGCATCGATGCGGCATACCATGCAGCTTCGACTCAACAAAGGAGGCGGGAAGGCGCAGCCGCCTTAGAAACTCACCTGACGACGTGAGTCGCAAACTTTTTCCCAATGCAAAGTAAAACGAAAAGCCCCAAAATTTTTTAAAAAAAAAAATCTCAAAAAATTGGGAGAAATTTGGAAGACTTTTTTGATCTGAGGCGCCCAGCTCAACGTACATGTACAAGATGCATCACAAACTTCACCAATTTGGACGAGTGTAACACTTATCATGCTAGACTAGGATCGGAGCCAAGTTTTGTCATGCAGAGACCGCATTTTTACGTCGTGTACGGGAAATTTACTGTGGATATCACTGTAGTTCAACGCATTCATGTTTCCGCCATTTTCTTGATCTCTCGCTGCGTGCTCCGTACTAGCTCCTGCAGCTGCAGTTCCCCCAGAAGTAGTACCGCCACCGGTAAACGGGTTAAACTTTCTCTGCAGCGCCACGTCGGGCAAAGATCCAGTGCCAGTAGTAGAAGTTGATGTTATTTGGTGCACCTTTGCCGCCTCCTGCACCTTGTCCTTCAACTGAGACAGCAACTGCTCGCCCTCATCCACCCAGATGTAGCCCATCTATCCAGGAAAAAAACTGTGTAAGTGTAAGTTTCTTGGAGGAATAGCATCACAAGTTTGCTCTGCATGACACAGAAAACCTGTCATGCGTAGCTCGTACGTGAAAACACTCACGAAAATTGCCTCTGATGCATGTCCAGCATGACAAGTGTAACAGTTTTGCACTTTCTGCAACACAGAGTTACACTTACACAGTTTTTTTCTTGCATACCATCGGACCCACCTTCATAGACTCGTCCAGTTCCGTGTGTTTGTGCCAGAGAGACTGCATCTCTATGGATTGCAAAAGCATCGTACTCGTATAAATGCATTACAAATTAGCCCAGCATTACAAATTAGATTTGTAATGCTGATTTGCCTTGAGAAAGAGATTTGTAATGCATAAATGCAATTGGAATTACTACGAGTACGATACTTTTGCACAGGATAATCTCCTGGTCGATGCAACTTCGGATTTCCGACAGAAACATGTAGCTCGGGCGGTAGTCGTAGATCGCATCTTTGTTTTCGAAGACGAGCGCGATTTGGGACTGGAGCTTCGGGTTCCAGTGCTGCAAATTCTGCTCCAACCGCTTTCGCATTTTCACATTGTCTATCAAGTGCAAATATGTCTGGGTCTGGAAGAGTGCATGTTTGTCATGCTTGTCTGGCATGGCTCTTAAATCTGTCATGCACGTTACGCAAGAGCTCCATTTTTCTGTGATGCAGGGACGCAGTTTGTCATGCAGAATAAGCAACACCTAGAAGCTCAGAAACTTGTCATGCTGAGCCAGCACTTGTGGCCTCATCATGAGACGCCACCCAGCATCACAAGTTTCCAGACCCAGACATTTTTGCATTTGATATGGTCCTTGTGCTCGGTCAGCATCCGGAGCAGCTGAGAGGTGTAGTGCCGGTTGTTTTGATGATGTTCATCCACGATGCCTGAAACACGTGGACCTGCTAAAGCAGGAGCAGCTCCTTGGTTCTCCTGTCGTGCTGGTGGCCCACCGTTATTTTGCATCGTAAACAAGTCACCAGCACTGGTCGTTCCACCAAGCACCTCCCCGGTTTCCACACTGTCCACGTCAGAAATGTTAAATTGGTGTCCGCTCGCGCCGGCCATTGCAGCGTGCAACCTATAATACACCAGCTGTGCGGTCCCGCGGACCAATGCCACGTTGCTGGTCAAATACGGTAACAACAGGGAGTTCAGCAGCATATCAAATGCAAAAGTGTCTGGGTCTGGAGGGTGGTAACTTGTGATGCTGTCTTTTGATTCCAAAAAAATCTGTATTGCATGAGCAGCAAAGGGAGTGCAATTTTCGCTACGGGAAGAGGGCATTTGTCATGCGCAATAGGCATCCAGAAGCCCTTAAAAAAATCACTGATGCTAGGGCATGCATCACAGACATCACGGCTCATGCAAAACTTGCATGACAAGTCTCAGAATTTTCCAGACCCAGACATTTTTGCATTTGATACAGCAAGCCTTTCGACAACAGCTCCGTGTTCTCCGCCCAGTAGCCCGCCACCAAAATCGCGGAGGCCAGCACCTTATGGATTGCAAAAGTTAAAGTGTCTGGGTCTGGAAGAGTCATGTTGCTTTTGCATGACACAGAAGGTCTGCCATGGAAGCTCTAGCATCACAGGTTTCGAGAAGCGCTTGCAATGCCGGATCCGCATGAAAAATCCCCCACTTTGGTGACAGAAAATGGGAACTGTTGCTGCCTATGCATTAGAGATTTTTCTGTGCTCTGAAATGCGCATCACAAGTTTGTATTCTCCAGAAACAGACATATTTGCAGTTCATACACCTGCGGCGTGCCCGTCCCCACCTCGTTCAAAATCCGGACTAATTTATGCAAGAAAAAAACTGCGTAAGTGTAAATCTGTGATGCAGAAAATGCCAAACAGTTACACTTGTCATGCTCGACATGCATGACTGGCTCGCTTCCTATGTGTTTTCCCTTTATTGTATCTGCGCATAACAAGTTTGTCCTGTCATGTCAGACAAACTTGTGATGCTGTTTTTCCAAAAGACCTACATTACCACAGTTTTTTTCTTGGATATAATTCATTAGTGAAGTACTCCGACACGCGGCCCAAATCGCTGGGCGCGCCCGCGAACTTGAGGGATATTCGGTAGTCGTCTCGCACCTTCACGTTGTCGTCGCGTCGCTTCTGCTCTCGCTCCGCGAGGATACAGAGTGCGTACTCGATGTAGGACCGGACGTCGGGCAGCTGGGGCAAGCCAAAGTGGTACATGAGTCTCGGCACGAGGCTGGCGAGGTATTTCGGCTGCACCACGTTGATCAGCACCACAACTGCTTGCCACGCCCGTAGTTGCTCCCGGTGGTAGTCTATCCTCTGCAAAAGTATCGTGCTCGTAGTAATCGCAGTACTGCATTACAAATCTCAATCCCAAGGCAAAACAGCATGACAAACTCCATTTCTCAAGCTGAGTGAATTTGTCATGCGATTTCTACTAGTACGATACTTCTGCAATGCATACAGTCCGACAAGTGGTTCGGCACCAAAGGTTTCGCGTTTTTCGGCTCCAGCACGCGTTCCTGTTGCTCCTTGGACTTCGTTTTCCGCGCCACCCGCGCGCCGGACTTCAAAGCCTCCTCGTCGAGGAACTCAACCAGCGCAAACGCGACGGAAGACGCGAGGGCCGGGTGGCGCTCGAGAAAGCAGAGGGTCGTGATGCGGACGAAGGCGGATGATTGGGCGAGGTCTTGCTGGATTTTTTCTTCAGCGGATTTATTGTTATTCGCTTTTGATCTAGTACTTATTCCAGCAGCAGCCTTCCGCGATTTAATATCATTTGGTGCTGCTTGTCCTAATATCCCCTTGTTCAGCTTTGCAGAAACCTGCCCCGTTCCGGAGGCAAGCAGCGTGTTCACGTAGGAGGGAGAAGCACTAGCATCATTATCTTCATCCCCGCCTCCAAGAAGCTTGCTCATCTCGCGTTCCGTGGGAAACGGAGACGCAGCTTTATCCACAGAAACAAACCCATCCCCATCCATTTTTTGCATGACAAACACGGAAAATTATGCATGTTCTGCATGTGCATGACAAATTGGATGGGGATGGGTGTTTCTTCCTGGATAAGCTTCGCCCTCAGATACGCTGGACTCCACGTCGGTGGTTGAGGAATTATAGGGCCTGTCGCGCACGAACGCAGAGTCTGACTCGTCCTGACCCACCTTTATTCCTTGCTCCCGCGTAGATGAAATCTTCGGAACGACATCCGCCTCCGCCAGAGTTTTTGACCCGTCCCGCAACACCGCCTCGTTGTAAACCAGTAATTTCGCGATCAACTGACTATACCCCGGCGGCAGGTCCTGCATCAGGTTCAAACGACCCTGCTGGTACAGATTCGCGGCTTCACCTCCTTCATCTTCTGGCGACAAATCTTCAGATGGATAATTATCCGCGATCTCATTCGCCAAGAAGATCCGGTCCCGCAGGATTGCGTTGAGACTGCCGAGGAGCGGCAACACCGCCGCACGGGTCACGTTTACCTGGGTTTCCCCGGCGGTGAGGATGGTGGAGAGGAGTTTCAGTAGAGGAAAAGAGTTGTAATCGATGAGCTGCTTGTTTTTCGTGTAATTCGTCAGCGGAGATGGGGCGGGTGGGCGGCGCTTTGTTGATCTTGATGCTGTTCCGCGAGTTTCAGTAGACTTGGGTCGTGACCGTTCCGAGCTATGCTTTCTCTGTTCTGTCACCGGAGTCTTATTTGTCATCTTATTTCTCGTGGACCTCGACGTACTACTACTTCTCTTCCGCACAGCACCAGAAACCTGAACTTGTCTTGCGCGCAGCGCTAACGGCTTTTTGTTCATCCCTGCACCTGGAGAAGAAAAATCCGAGGAGGAGAGGGTTTTTGCGGTTGAGCCGCTAAGAGACGATGAACCTCCTCCAATTATGCCAGCGCCAGGACTTCTTCGCCCTCGTGGCGACGTTTCATCAACTACATGGTCAAAGTCTTCCACTTCGATTTCCCCGGACGAGTATTCTTCATTGGAGTCGTCCTCTTGCAGGTCTTGACCATCATCTTCCCCTTGGAGGTGCTCTAACTCCTCTGCCATCTCCATCTCCATTAATTCCAGTTCGGCCGAAAGGGTATTTACGTTGAAACAGGCGAATGCCGCTTCGGTATGGATGTGTCAGGATCGAATTCGACAAAATCGAAATAAATTTGCGATGCGTAAAATGTAGGGCACTGAAGGCCTGTATCGGGGAGCAGGCAAATGAGGCCGATAATTGTAAGCCTGTTTAGGGCGGGTATGCCATGCGCTGCCAGAGTAGCATGACAGGAGCAGTCTCCTTTGCCCAAGCAACATGACAGACCGGATTTGGGTGCAGCTCCCGAAATTTGTCATGCGCCATTTGAAAGCGTGAGGCTCCAACTGACATCGATTTTGTGCATCACAGATTTTTGATTTTGTCAATTTCGATTCTGACACCTCCATATTCGGACAGGATTGAGTAGTCGTACCCCGTGTTCGCCGGGTCTTTCAGCTATGAAATGCAAAAGTATCGCTGCACTGGTATGAATGCATTACAAATTTCCACGTCAGCATGAAAAATCAAATTTGTCATGCGGATTTACCTTAAGAAAAAGATTTGTAATCGTAATGCATGATTGTCATTACTACGAGTACGATACTTTTGCAGTTCATATCAGCAACCCGCCGACGATGGATGCGCACTTCTCCAGTAGCTCTCTGCTCCAGGGATTGGAGGCGGTGCTCTTGTTTATTGTCATACGAGAACCAGAACCGCTAGAAGTTGTAAAGGCACTAGTTTGTTGCTGGTACTCACCAATCATCTGAGCGATCCAGCCTGCCTCTGGTGGGGAAGAAACTTCAAACGCGTCAAGGAGGTCTTCGAGCTGAATGTTGACAGAAGGTAGCTGTAGTTGTTTGTCATGCACAACGCCAGTCCTCCTCCTCGTCGACGACGCGATCAAATTACTCTGATGCAGTGCGTACAAGGATCTCCACTTGTGCCACTCCAAACCGGTCCGCGCCGTCGTTTTGGAGAAATTTGGCAAATCAATCGGCAAACCCTCCAGCATCAACCGGTTTGTGTCCGTCGCGAGTCGCTCCGATTTGTTGCTGGCCTTCGCCTGCTCCAGGGACTCTTGAAAAAAGTGTTCCACTTTAAATTTGTGTTTCTCAACCGTTTTCTGCTGTTTAATATTTTGGTTGTCTGTTGGTTTTGGGAGATGGTCTGGGCGTTGCAGGTCGCGTTTTTGCGCTTCTACTAGCACCTCGCTCGTGCTAGAACCACTTTTGTCAACATCTGGCTGCACGGCGTATTTGGCGTAATACTCGGCTGCAAAATCGGAAACAACGACGGAAGACGACCGCAAAGTCGCTGAAGCTCGTTTTCTTTCTTTCTCCAATTTCTTCTGTTCATCGGAGCTCGTCGGGAGTTTGAACCCATTGAAATTCAGCGACTTCAAAACAAAGGGCTTCAGCGCAGAAGCGACTCTGCGTTGCAAATCGGCACGAGCTGTCGTGGACGAAGAAGATGTGGCTGCTGTCGTTCCATGATCTGCGTTATTTTCGTGATTCCCTCTCGGCATGAGAGATTTCAGCAGCACTCCGCTGAACGCGCAGCCCGGGAACACGAGCGTTGGATCGTCTTGAGGGTGGAAGGGCTTTTTGATCAAGTGCTGCGGAGGCGCAGTGGCGGTGTCGGCAGGACTAGGAACACCACCTCCGAGGGCCTCGACAGCAGCGGGTATGGTAGAAGCAGCAGTGACAGGCGGCGCTCCAGTGTTGGAAAAGATGGTTTGTGTTGAATCATCAAGCGTTGATGATGGCCCCCTTGCAGCTCCTGCCCCAGGGCGGGCTACCGAATTTGTCGTTGCAGCAACAACAGTCGTCGCCCCGAGCAAGCTCTTCTCAACCAGATCCGTCATCGGGGACAGGAGGCTCTCCGGTAAGAGTTCCGCTATTTGGTACAGTGCCGTCGCGAAAAGACTGAAATCCTCCCAGATACGGGATGTCGCTTTTGTATCGTTCTCTGTCAACGCCGCGGTTAGCGTCGTGTGGATATAGAAACACAGCGGGTCAGTGTCGACGGCGACGGCTGTACTGGAGGCTTGCTTGACGGAGACAGATCTTCCCGCTCGTACTCCTGTTGGGCCATGCATATTACCGTTCTTAACTCCGCCACTATAATAGCTGCTGCTACTGAAGCAGCTTAATAGTCCCTCCTTCTCCAAGTAGCTGAACATCAAAACTGCAGTTTGGACCAAAGCTTTCGGCAAGTACGACTTCCGGTAGAAATCTTCCAACACCTCCGCCAAACGCCGTAACGAGGACCGGATCAACTGTCGTTGCTGCGCCAAAATCCTATACCCCTGTCCGATCAACATCGTGCTCTTCATCGTCGCGTCTTGAATCGGTGCGAGCTCGTTCCGACCGGTGAGGCTGTTCTTCAGAAAATAGCTCGATTGGTCGAAGAGTAGTGTGAGTTTCGTCGTGTTTAACAGCATGATGCGGATTAAACCGAGGATCAAAGTTCTCGACTCGGGCATCGCCCGGCAGTTTACCTGTTTCGCAATCAAACGGTTCACCTCCTGTAGGCGTTTTCTTGATAAATTTCGCTGACTAGGGGAGAAATCAGCTTGATGTTCTGGATCTTTTTCTTGTGGTCCTGCGAATTGTTGGTCGTGCACATGATTGTCCATCACGAGGACGTCTTCTCCTTCGCCCAACCTTTTCAACGTCAGCGCGATCGTATCTTCGAAGCTGCTGATGGCGTGGAATTCGGAGTCTCTGGACAAAAAGTTCCTCTTCTCGTCTTCCTCCTGAAGTAGGAAAAACCAAAGAGACCGGCACACCTCGTCGAATTCGGCGAAGCACAGGGTACTCGACGTACTAGAAGCGGTTTTTAGTTGAGCAGCTCCTTCTTGCGACATGATTCTTTCGCTCGTATTAACCCTGTTCTCTATCACAACCTGCTGCAAATCGGAGGGAATGCCCGCGAAAAACCGTAGGAGCAGAAAGTGCCGCTGCAGAATCTCCGCAGCCTTTTCGTTTTCCTTGTGAATCCCGTCGCAGCTCTGGATGTCGAGAAAGTGCTTTTGTCTTGATGATGTTGTTCTTGTTGTCGCAGTAGAACTGTTTGAACGATTTATTGCATTTGCATTTGGAATTTCATCTTTGTTCCTTGTTTCGACATGATCCACCGCGGAAAACGCAACTCCAAGAATTTCCCGTTCCAAATTCGGGTCGAAATTGTTCACGAAGATCTTCAACAACAGTTCCAAGATCCTCGGTCTAGCGGTATGAACTGCAAAAGCATCGTACTAGTATGAATCGCATGACAAACATCCTCAGCATGAGAAATGAAATTTGTAATGCGGGTTCAACTTAACAGAGAAATTTGTAATGCATAAATGCGATTAGTACGAGTACGTCATTTTTGCAGTTCATAAGCGGCCCGCGGCATCGATTTCAGTGTTTTCTCCACGAGTAAGACCGCCTGGGAAAATTCGGCCGCAGTCCAAAACGGCTGGATCCGCTTCCCCTGCGAGATCAGCTCCATCTCCTGTTCGAGGAGCTTCCGCTGGGAGGGCGGTTTTTGGTTTTGTTCTTTCCTACTGGAATTTGCAAGACCTCGGGATGAAAATCCCGATCTCCTCCCACCTCCCGGGCTCACACTGCTCCTCCGCCTCACTCCTGATGAAGACGAGTTTGTGTCTTGCCGACGTCGTGGCTCACCCGCAACATCTCCTCCGCTCATCGTCGCTGCCAGAGCCGAATCCAAGCTTTCCAGCATGACCCGCAAGGGAACGAAGTACTGCACGTCGTTTCTCACCAGTGCCTGGAACAGCTTCCGGGGGTCCTTGGATTTGAAATATTCCTTCACGGCTTTTTCATTTTGCTCAGTCGTGTTATTCAGGTACCAGTTGTGCTGCGCCAGTTTCGGGAAGACCACCTGAAAAACAAACGCATCGGAGAAAGTGCGAGAGTGGAAGGAAGGAGGAACAGCTGACTTGTTCTTCGGAGTCTTCTTTGCGGAAGATGTAGTAGAGCCCGAATCTTTGTCTGCACTACTTCCACCAGGGGCAAAGCTGTTAACATCGGAGGTCGCCGCAAGAACAGAGCTCCCCGTGATCTGTTCCAGTGTGAACTTCGAAACCGATTCGTTCTCGTGGTTCACACAGAGGGTGAACAAATACTCCAAGTAGCTCGTCGGGACTTTCAACTGCTCAAACTTCTCCCAATTCTGCCGGACCCAGTGCGACGCGAATTCTTCCAACGAGTCGAGAATCGCGAAGAACGGCGTGAAAATTTGCTTGTACTTCGGGTTGATCACCCTTTGAACCAAAAAGATCGCCCGTTTTCTCGTGCGGGAATTGGACATCGCTTTCTTCAACAGGGGCCAGGAAGAGTGCAGGAGGGGCGTGGTGACCAGGAGGTGTTGAGCGCCGCTGTCTTGCGATGATGAAGTAGAGCCATTGCCTTTGTTTGTCATACTTGACATTCCACGCGCACCCTGAACCAGTGCCGACGATGTTGACGAAAATCGGTTTGTCTCCTGGTTTATCAAATGTAAAAATGTCTGGGTCTGGAAATATGCAAGATTTGTCATGCATCTTTCTCATGACCCATGATGCCTGTAATGCTTGAACTAGCATCGCAGACTTTTAGAGGGCTTCCTGATTCACCTTCCGCATGAGAAACGGCCTGTCTGTGTAGCAAAAACTGTACCCATTTTGCTGGTCATGCAATACATCTTTTTTTAGAGTCCAAAAACAGCATGACAAGTTGCAATCTTCCAAACCCAGACATTTTTACATTTGATATGGTTCGGTTGCTCTTGCGTGGGCGAGGAGTTGTAGAGAACTCCGTCGATAAGCTTGGTACTTCTGGCGGTTTTGGTTCGGGAATTCCTTTCGTCTCCTCCGTGCGACGACCCTGCAGCAGGAACGGGCTTTGCCTTTGCTGTCCTCCCGGCCGCATTGGGAATCAAAATTACATCGTCGTGTTCGAGATCAACATCACCCTCGGCAACTGGATCATTCTTCCGAAAGTCTTCCGGCCACAACTCCCCCTCGCAATCGTAGGCCTCGAAATGGTCGTAGCCAAGGACATCCACCGTCTGCTCCGGGTACAGAACCGCGATAGAGAGCGCATCCTCCCACGCATTTTGGTTCAGAACCAGCTCGGAAACCAGCTTCGCAAGAGTTGTGGTTGATGTAGTGCTTCCTAACGAGGATAAATCGAAATCTCCACCAGTAGTTGCAGATGATGATGAGTTATCTCGTCCCTGAAGATCTGGCTTGGTCATTTTCTTTTCCACAAAAACATGCAAGAATTCCCTCGCTAGCCGCAAGCGGAAGTTCCCGTCCTCTTTCGCTATGTCCGAGTGAAGCAACACTTCCAACAGCTCCTTCTTCGGGATTAAGAGGGATAGCAGGTCTTTTTCGGACGGCGCGGTTGAAGAGGCCTTGACCTTGTCGTCGCCAGGTCCTACTCCAAGCGGCTTCAGCTCCTCGTGGTGCACTGCAGTCTTGTTGTTTTCATCGTAGTGGTACCTACCGCCCCCATCGACAAAACTCCTGGCGGAGTGATACCTAGACTGCAGTCTCTCCGTGTAGGCGAGGGAAGTCCCCGGCAGGTGTCTCGTGTGGATTTCCACATCAACGTTATTTTGATCATGCTGCGGATCATCAACTGCGCCGGTTTTTAACCTTTCTACTTCTGCACGATTCCCCTCGTTAAATGCCTCCTGCAGCCCTTCCACAGCTTCCTTCAAATGTCCGACCTGCTCCACGCTACTCAAGGATTTCAACCCCTGTTTGAAAAAAGCGGAAAACCGGCTCGCACGGAGGTTCACTTCAAAGGCCCAGCCGAGCAGGGCGAACGTCTGCTTGAAGGTGAAGGTGCTTTTCTTGCTCGATTTAGTTCCAGCTGCGCTCGACGTGCTACTAGTAATATTTTTGCCGACCACAGCATTTCTATTTCCAGCCTGTGGATTTGCTCCTCGTCCATTGTCTGCGAAAGGAACGCAAATTTCGCTGAAAAGCGAGTGCGTGCTCGCCGCAGCCGCGTTTTTTTCCCAGCAAGCGGAGACGGTCCGGAGCCAGAGGTCCTCTAAAACGATGCGTGGTGCGACCTCGAGGCATTTCAGCGAGTTTTTTTCGCTGCACCCACGGAGAAAGCGGAGGTACCACAGGGAAAGGAGGAGACCTGGTGTTGTAGCAGTGGGGACAATGTCAATGAATTCGATTTAAGTACATATGCATTCGAATGCGCGCCGGCGGGGGCGGCGGCGGCGGCGCATGAGAAACAGAAACGAAATTTGAAGATGTTGTGAGAAAATATCATATAGGCGGGCTAGCGCTAGGGATAGCAAATACTCCTGGCATATTATAGTACGATTCGAATTCACATACCTATGGCTTGCTCAGATGTTACAATCTCAAACGTTACAATAGAATCTGAAATTTGTCTTGCATGACCAGCATGAGTACCATACAGAGACTTGGGCTTTTCACAATACAAATTTCGTCAGATTCTCATGGGGTTTGGGGCGCCGAAACTTGTCATGCGCGCTACTTTGGGAGTAGGCCAGATGTTGCGGATTTTGCAAGACAAGTTCCAAATTCTATTGTAACGTTTGAAATTGTAACACCTGAGCGGGTTATAATACCTTCCTCCCTTTTCTTTTCAATCTCCTCCGGCCTTTGGTTCTGCTCCTCTCCTCTTTTCAACAAGCATTTATCCACAGAAAAAAAAACCATCCACATCCAATCTGTCATGCAAAACACGTATCAAATCATGTGTTTGCCATGCAAAAAATGCATGTGGATGGGTTTTTTTCTGTGGATAGCATTCTATCCGGTAGTACACCGGAAGTTGGCAGTGCTTGCCCCAGGTCGGCTGCACCACTGTGTCAAGGAAGGTCTCGCCGCTGCTCAGGCTGTCGCAATTCAGCAGAAAGGACTCCACGATTTCGTACTTCATCATTTTTTTTTGCGCGAAGTTGTGCTAGAAGCAATTAGCAGGTAGGGGTACAGGTGGACAATCTAGCAATAGGAACAAACACTGCAAACGAAAAGAATGTACTTAACTATTAGCGATGCGTATGCGTACTAGTCGTGTTCGTGCCTGTGAAACTGCAACTGGCTCCGGCATAAAGTCGTTCGTACATGAAGTCGGTCGCTGCTGTCATGTCAAGTTCACAGGGAAAGCGAATGCTACGTCTAAGTTACTTGAGGTTAAGGCTAAGGATTAGGTTAAGACGGCGCTCACAAGCTGCATCGGTGTCGAGCTCTTTATCTTAACCTTTCTTCAAGAACATGATGACGAGCTGATCATGAAGAACAGAAAGTGTAGATCTTGCCTCCACGACCGAAGATCCTGACTGCTCAGTCGCAAAGGCGTGAAGATCATCCGGAAAAATCTGCATCCGTTCTGGTCTTTGCGGTACAGGAAACTCACCAAACAGCTTCAGGCACACCTTCATCAGCTCTGTGGAATAGAGAAAGAGATCGAGGAGATCCAGGTCTAGTTCCGGATCTTCAAGACTATAGGATCTCATCGGCAAGAACTCGATCACTGGCTCTTAACCGTAAGCTTATCCTTACACTGCTGTGCTGTAACTTTGTGTTCTACTGGGCAGAATAAATCAGGCCCAGATCGTTTGTTTCCGCATGAAGATTTCGATGATCAGAGAACTTGAAGCAGAAGTAGCACCACGTTAAGATCGAGTTGCTGTTGCAGCGAAGAACAAAAAATGGACTACACACGCACACAGAAAAAGGGCTGCTGCCTCTTTAGCTTATTCACATGAGGGAGACCCACTTTTCATCGTTCTCAATGATTGATACAAGAGCCACTGCATGTAAATTTTTGTACAAGTAGAGCCTGGCGCCGCCACGACCGGGGCTCTCGGAGGACGAAGTCTTTGTTGTTTAAACGTTCAACATCTTCGCGTTAACTGGTTCCTCAGCATTCGCATTCTCTTGGAAAGAACAAGTATATCTATGATACTAGGGGGTGCATAAGGAGGAGTTTCAATTTCATTTTGTACAAAGAGAAAGAAATCATGAAGCAGCTCCAGTCGAACCGTAATAAGGTTTTTCAACCCGATCCTCTACACTATCTTCATCCTTATTGTCATTGTCCCCAAGAACCCCAGCAACTTTTACATCAACATGTACACCGTCAGAATTGTCCCATCTCCCGAACAAATACAACGCCGCGCCGCTCAAACTAAACCCCAGCCCGAACATCTGGACGACTCTCAACTGCTTTTCCAACAGGTACAGACTCGTCCCAATCAGCAAGACCTTGTTTGCCGTCGCCTATCAAATGCAAATATGTCTGGGTCTGGAAGAGTGCATGTTTGTCATGCTTGTCTGGCGTGACTCTTAAATCTGTCACGCACGTTACCCAAGAGCCCCGCTGTGCTGTCATGCAGAAACGCAGTTTGTCATGGAGAATAGGCAACACCTAGAAGCTCAAAAGCTTGTCATGCTGAGCCAGCACCTGTGGCCTCCTCATGATACGCCACCCAGCATCACAAGTTTCCAGACCCGGACATTTTTACAATTCATATCGCCTGGACGGAAGCGAAAAACGAGCCCGCGTGATGGATCAGCATCGTGTCGGTTAGAAACCACATTTATGCTGTGCAAAAGTATCGCACTCGTAGTAATCGCAGCCATGCATTACAAATCTCGATCCCATTCCCAAGGCAAACCGGCATGACAAACTCCATTTCTCATGCTGAGTAAATTTGTCATGCGATTTCTACCAGTACGATACTTTTGCAATGCATAACATTGTGGTTGTGACAATTTTGATCAAGAAAGCGGTGAAAACCGGAAGCTGCGCAAATTTTTCGCCGATTATGTCCTGTAAGGGCTCATCCGAGGCGGAGGTAAATTGAATTTGCATGATCGCCGAGCCACTTTGAGTTTGTTGTAGTAGTGCAACTTCTCCAGATGTGGAAGTGGAAGTCGTTCCAGCTGCACTATTATCCCCACCGCCAACACCCTCGTTCCTATGTCCACCGCCGCGCAAAACCTTCGTCCCAAACTCCTCGAAAGGTGCGGTCCCCTCGAACAGCAGTGACAAAACCAACAAGCCGATCACGTTCAACGGACTCAACAGCCGGACAAGGAGAAAAGTCGTTTTCAGGTCCGCTTGTTCCTCCTTCCGGACCATTGCTTCTTCGGTGAAAAGCCGGACGGAAACCGCGAATATCACCGCGAAAACGGATAATGCTAGCCCGACCGCAGTGAAGGACATTTCTTCCGCCCCGTACCCGAACAGACAGCCGCCGACGGTGAGAGAGAGAGCCGCGATTGGAGCGGTTTTTGCGAGAACTTTCCCTTGGTAGAATTCCGCGAGGAGTAACTGCGGGATCACCTTTGTTATCCTGTGAAAAACAGTATCGCACTCGTATTAAAACTAATCGCGACACTGCATATACAAATCAGATTTTCTACCTGCGGCTGGTCCAGTTCTAGCATCACAAAAGATTGCAAATGCGATTTCTGCTATGTAGTGCGTCGATGCTTTTACAACCGTGCATATCGGTCATTTGGATCATGGAGTGGAGAGAGGGGACGAGGAATTTCAAAGCTCCGTTGTGCGTCGCCCCGGACCCGATGTTCAGGAAGCCGAGGGGCAGAATCTCTTTGTAGAAGTCGTAGTCTAATTCTTCCTCGTCCTTGTGCTGCTCGTCCCGAGCGGCCCCCGACGCTCTCTTGGTCTTGCTACGGTCTTGTTCACCAGCAGCGCTAGGATGAAGATCCTGCGCGTCGTGTTCATCTTCCGTACTGTGGTTCTCTGCATCACGCCCTGACTGCTCGTCTTTCCCGCCTTCATCATCCTCTACAGCTGTAACGCCATTCGGGTTATTTGACGGCGACCAAAACAACGCGACTAGAATCACCGCCAGGAAAACGACAAACGTTTGGTCGACGACGGTGAGAAAAACCGGGTAGGGGAAATCATATCTTGTGCAAAAAACCCGAAGGAGAAGGTGGTAAACGACGTAGCCGGTTGCGTTTGCGACGGATTCCGCGGCGATAGTAGCTACCGACGCACCGGAGGTAATGCGGCGTTCGAGGTGGTGGTTGGTCCTCGGCGTGATTAGTCCTGCTCTTGGATGAGGTTCAGGAGATTTTTGGTGCTCGGGATCTTCCACATCGATATGGTCGTCATCCTCCATTTTGTTCTTGGGTGTAAATAATATGAGTCGTGTGAAGCGATGATAATGATTCTTGTTCGAGCATAGTCAGAAAATGCTTGAGTTCTTCACAGCGACGATAACGTCATGCGCCTCACTCAATGTTGCGAAGATGAAATTGAGGGCAAACTGCAACCCAAGATGACTATTGCATCTACCACTTCGATGGATTATTTGGCGGCCGAGGTTGAATGCGGTTGCTAATGCTATTGTATGTCGTAGCTTGGCTTTCCTAATTCTTCTTGTCGAAGTAGTCAAATCCGATCATCATAATGATAATTTGCCAGACGATTCAACGAATCTACTGCGAAAGACGACAGCGATTTTTTTCCCCAAGCGAAACGATATACGAAAGCGAAGCCACCAAAACCTAATGTGGCACGACCAACACAACGACGAAAAAACTTCTCTCGCCCATCAACATCAAGAACTACCGCCCTCCAAGTGAGGGAGTGGCAGAGAACAGGCCTGTCGCTATGGCTTCTGCTTCAGCTTTCCTTGCTTCGGTTGCTGTGTTGTGATGACACTTTATCATGGTGTTGGTAGTTGTACCGCATCAATTTGATAAGCAGGAAGTCTTGATCTTGAAGAACTGAGTATATTACCATCTATGTGTGTGATTGTTTGAAACATAATTTTGGCGAAACATAACGTATAGTCAAGTGAGTCGTTGAATTTCAATTTCTCCTGTGGCGGTAAAAAATTCCTTGTACAGGTAGCGAATTAAGGCCCGCCAAGAAAAAATAATCACATGTAGTGCGCAGGAGCGATTTTCGACACAATAAGAAGGCCAGGTCCTGATAGATAAACTAGACAGCTTGAGCCGCTCTTTTCCAAGAGGGAAACGTGGATGGAAAGAAGTACTTCTACTTTCTCAAAGTCCACACTGACACAGAAATTGGTTTCGCTCCTACTAGGTTCCGCCGGGAAAATTTGCCAGAGAATCATAGAAACTTCTGTCGCCAAAAATCTACCGCGCGACAAAGCAACGAACTACAAGAACTCCTGTCCACCTCCACATGATGAAGCAGTTGCAAAAAGCAGGCCTCGAACTATGGCTTCCGTTGCCATTTTCGTTACTTCTGTTGCTGGGCGGTTGTGAAGATGACGCTTATTTTTTAGCGCGAAAGTACCCCTAACGAACAAATCGAAAACAAATTGCACCCATTTTCAAAAAAAATGAATTCAAAAAAGATGGTCGGGATCCTCCATTGTTCCATACAAGCAGCAGCGTTCCAGGCGGTTCACATGGTTTTCTCAGATAGAATAGGTTTGGTCTCAATTTTGCATAGCATTCGCCGAAACCGACGGTGGACATGTTTTTTCACAGCGACCGATATTGGAAACGTTAGAAGATTTGATCAAGATTTACCACAGCATCGGAATTTGGTTACTTCGCAGTGTTTTCCCTATCGCTACGAGAACTTGCAGGACTTAGAAAGCTGAAACGATTAGCGATGGCACCGAAGGGCTTCATGGCCCGGCTGAAGGCCGGGGAGAAACTCAGCGCAGCAGATTGGGCGACGCCACCACGCGGGGGGCATTCGGATTCAGCTCCAAAGGAAGGTCGCACCCTGCCGGCTAGGCAGTTTGATGTCCCGGACCTCGACACGAAAGTTGCATGTGTGGGCCAGAAGAGTGGAGAGGAGGAGAACCGGAGCAACTCCGTCGACGGCTTCTTCAAGCACCAGCCCGCGCCGGATAGTATGTTGATGGAAATTGTAGTCGCGCCAGCATTTGTGTTGCGAGGACAGCGTGATTGATGTACGTTCTCAATCACATCCTGCAACACAAATGCCGTCGCGCCTACGCATTTTCATCTTCATCTCGAAGTGGCACGCTCGGGCTTATTCGAAGATCGTCTTCCTCATCATGCAGTTCTACAAGGCGGCCATGGTTAAGCTGTGCAAGTCATTTACGCCCACCCACAAGCTAATTCGTATCGAAGCGGACGCAACACCGGTCGGGCATCGGGTACAACAGAGCTACGGGCAGACGATCGACCGCAGTGCCAAGGCGTTTTTAACCATCTGTGACGTCAGCTGGCTGCTTTCGGATGTTGAACCAGAAAAAGCCGACAGCGCAACTTGGATCACCTTTAATACGCCGTCGGAGGTGCGGCTGATTCAGAAGCAACACTACGACGACCAAACGGAGACAGATATGGTTTTCGATTTGTTAGCCTCCGTCCCGGGGCTCAAGGAGGCGGCCACCGGCGCGACCGGTGTGTTGGAAGTGAGTATCGTGGTGGACGCGGCGAAGTCGAACGTGAGCGCCCTGCACCTCTTCTGCCAGTGGGTGCACGATTTGAATCCGCAGGTCGTCTGCGTCGCCCGGTTTTGTAGTCTACATGCCGCCAGCCACTCGATGCAAGACGCCTGCAGCCTCGTTCTTTGCGACCTTCTCGGGAAAAACGTGAAGGCTTTGGAAAAGAGAATTTTTTTGGTCACCCGCCTCTACTCCGCACAGACCGCAACTATCCAGGACAACACACAAAAGATGATCGACCGGGGGCTGGTGACGGTGGAAGACGCTACAACAGAAGGGGATCCGCAGCGATCTGCTTTCCGCGAGTATTGCCAAATGATGGGGCTGGACAGCAAGCGGGTCGGGGATGACGTTGCCATTTTCGTTACTTCTGTTGCTGGGCGGTTGTGATGACGCTTATTTTATGATCTAGTCAACATCTTCTCCGACGGATAGATCATCCTATGGATGATCATCGTTGGATGTGCGCTCCGGGAGTCAGGAGGTGCAGGCGCCCGCGACCAAGCATGTGGAGAGCCTACCCCACCGGCGGAGACGCAACGCATCGACGCGACCCAAAGAACCCTACGGCACCAGCTGGAGATGAATTTGGGTACCGAACAGCCGCCCCACACGCAAGAGTGCGTGCGACGACACCGACTGAGATGCCAAAGACTGTCACACAGCATCCCAACAAGGCTCCAAAAGGGCGAAACAAAGCGCCTTCGCCCTGGCCCTTAGCAAAATCCTTGTCAACTACCGAAACCACAAGAGCAGCTAGTGGCAGAAGCGCTGCCCAAGAATCAGCGTAAGAACGTTTAATATAGGAAATAACTCCCCGGAAGCTCCGGCTTCACTTCGGATACGTAGTGCGCTTGACCACTCGCACACTGATGAAAGAGGTCTCAACCCTGACAACTCGGCCGGGATGCGGCCGGGGAAATGCTGGAAAGTCATCGAGCAACAAGAAGTACTCAGATCAAGAGCCCACGGGGATGAACGCGCCCCCAGGTCAAAGACCTGCATACCAAACAACTATCCAGGAAGGAACCTTCCAAAGCACAAGAGTAGACCTCGCGGCGGTGGCCACAACGCCCGCGCAAGCTGTGTGTCTCAAACGGAAATAATAACTTCGGCGCGGGATCCTTTCCGAAGACACTGCGTGCAAAGAAAACTCGGAGCCACCCGGCACCATGACACAGGGAAAGAGAGTCCGGAGCCCATGAAAAGATTGGAGCCGTCATCTGCGACACCCTTCCGGAGATGCGCGCGAACTCACTAAGACTGCCTCTGGAGCAGTAAGCCACCGTTTCCATTTTCGTTACTTCTGTTGCTGGGCGGTTGTGATGACGCTTATTTTTTTATGGTACCACATCAAGTTGATAAGGAAGTCTTGAAGAACTGGTATGTCTGAAACATGTTCAACTTCAACTTCAATCTTCTGGCGAAACTTTGCAGCTTAAGTAGGTAATCGAATCCTTGAATTTCAATTTCTTCTGTGGTAGTAAAAAATTCCTTGTACAGGTACGGAACCAAGGCCCGCCACGAAGAAATCTCGAAGAAGAATGCTCGATTGTGCGACTTCTGCGAATGTTGACGCACTGACAATAGCAATACAACAAGATACAATAAGCTTTGCAGCTTGCCGCTCTCTTGCAAGAGAGAATGGGAAACATGAATGGGTATAAAAATAAATATCAAAGCACCCACAATGATGAATCTATAATCTAAACAGCGTTCTTCAGAAAGATTTTGATGATCTTCGAGAAGATATGTTGACGTTTGCAAGTAGAAACACATCGATCACGTGCAGCCTAGATAAACTTCGTTGACTCATTTGCATTTCATATTCCAGATACATAGAATTAGAATTCCTCTAGTCAACCTTCTGCGCACCCAGCTGGCTCCCGCCAGCACCGGGATAAAGTATACAGCTTGCCGCTCTCTTTCAAGAGGGAAACGTGGATGGAAAGAAGTATTTTCTCAAAGTCCACACTGACGCTAAAATTGGTTTCGCTCCTACTAGGTTCCGCCGGGAAAATTTGCCAGAGAACAAGAGCGACGAAGGCTCTAGAAGTACTCCTGTGGGCAAATGAATCATGGCATCATGTGCAACCTAGAAGTAGTAGACCTTGAATTTTTTTTCTCTTTGTTCAAAAGAAAACTACTACAACCTCCTCACTGTTTATTTATTGTCCGGCGCCACCTGGTGCGCTCCCGGCTGACCGCTCCCCATGTTGATCCCCATCCCTGAATCACCACCAGCAGAATTGTCGATCGGCGGACTAGTCACAACGACTGTCACCGGTGGACCGACCAAATCCGCTTTTCCGGATGTCCGTGCGGTCTCATCGACGCCTGCTCCTGGGACTGCTGAGGACGACGAAGCTGCTGCTGCGCTATTTCCCATCGGCACCATCTGTGCGGTGGTCAACTGCGTCTGTTGTTGCTGCTGCATCTGTGGTGCTCCCTGCTCCATGTGGGATTTGGTGAATGTGTTGAAAATCTGTTCCAGACTCGTGGGGGAGATCGCGTACTCCTTGATCTTAAACTGGACCTTCACCGATTCCAATAGTCCGAACAACTGCCCAAGTTTCTTCTGGTCGGCGAAGATGCGAAAAGTGACCTGCTCACTACCGCCCTGCGAATCGGTGAGGAAAGCGCCGGGGAAGGTCTGCGCCACGTAGTCGGTCAGGGTCAAACGGTAGACGGATTGGGTTAACCTGATTTGTATTCATTTTATTTTGCGTTGCTAGTGCAAGACCAAGATGCTTGTCATGGAGGACAGGAGCGCGCTGTGAAGCTGGAAATGCTCTACTTGAATAGAATCCCTTTGTTCATGTTCTGACTTAGAATTATGAAAGCCGCCCGCAACCTAAAAAAGAAAATCGTATACCAGTGCAGAATCACTTTCGCCTTGCAGGTTGACGCTTGCATCTCCAGCAGCTCGTCGTTCCGGATCTTGTCCTATCAACTGTAAAAATGTCTGGGTCTGGAAACTTGTGATGCTGGGTGGCGTCTCATGATGAGGCCACAAATGCTGGCGCAGCATGACAAGTTTCTGAGCTCCTAGGTGTTGCCTATTCTGCATGACAAACTGCGTTTCTGCATCACAGAAAAGCGGAGCTCTTGGGTAACGTGCATGACAGATTTAAGAGTCATGCCAGACAAGCATGACAAGCCTGGGAATCTTCCAGACCCAGACATTTTTGCATTTGATATGTCCTGCGGTTTGCTGCTCAGCCGCGCCACGCTCGCATACGGACTCGCACGCGAGGCGCGAAGTAAGAATTGAATCCGCTGCTGCAGTGGCCAAACTGGGTCGTACTGGTGGAGCAGTTGGCACAGGTGGATCAGCATGATGTTACTGTTCATCGCATTCACATCATCCGGATTCAACATCGCATTGCTACCCAGAAACGTCGTCCATAGTTGTTTTTGCTCCGTGAAACTCGGGGACTCTAACTTCACGTACAAATCAAACCCGTTTCCGTACTGCGCCTTGATTTCTGGTATCGATTATGCAATACAAATTTCCCGTACATGTAAAAGATGCATCACAAATTTATTCCCCAATTTGCCGTGTGAAACTTGTCATGCTAAACTAGGATCGAAGCCAAATTTTACCATGCAGAGACCGCATTTGTACGTCGTGTACGCGAAATTTACTGTGGATATCGATCCAAAGCACCGCATCACTCCCTGCGTCATGATAGTCACCTTCGTACACAGCGCCTCGCACTCGTCCATGCTGTGTGTCGTTAAAATCACGGTGCTGTGCTTCTGCTTCGTCGCGATTCTTTGGATGATCGACCACATGTTCCGCCTCGCTTCTGGGTCCATGCCCGCGGAAGGCTCGTCCAAAAACAGCACCGGCGGGGCGCCGATCAAGGACATCGCGATGACTAACTTCCGTTTGTTCCCCCCGGACAATGTGCCGGCTTTTTTGTATGAGAGTGCACAACTCCCCCTGCCCCTCCCCCTCATTTGTATAGCATGAGCAGCAACAGAAGCAATGCCACAAATGTAGCTTTTGCATGACAAATCCGTAAGTGGAATGTAGTCCCATTTGGGGGTTCAAAACTTGTCATGCGCAGAGTGCTTAAAGGCAAGGTGTGGATTAGGTATTTTGCATGGCAAATGAGGGAAAGCGGGAGTTGTGAGCTGTCATAGTTTGTGCTTGTGAATCACAAGGTCCATGTCCTGGATCGTTTTGTCAATCGTCTCCTGGATATCAAATGCAAAAGTGTCTGGGTCTGGATGATTGCAAATTGTCATGCTAAATCCGAATCAGGCAAAAAACTGTCTTGCATGACAGCCAAAAGTTGTGCACTTTTGACTTAATCGCGATGCAGTTTCTCATGCAGGATACATAGGCATTGGAAACAAGGCCTCGCAGAATCTGTCATGCTATGTCCTACATACCAGACCTCATGGGTTATGAAAAACCTGCATGACAAATCTGGAAATCTTCCAGACCCAGACACTTTTGCAATCCATACTGGAAATACTCCGCCGGAACTCCCTTCACCAGGGCGTAAAACTCCAGTTGTATCCCAGAAAAAAAGTGTTACAGTTACACATTTGTTGTAGCTCCAGCATCACAAACTTGCTCGGCATGACAGACAAAAACAGAACTTGCTGCAATGCAGAGATCATAAGGAAAAACACACATGAAACTGGGCTCCTGTGCATACTCGGCATGACAGAGCAATGCTCTCTTGCTTAATCTGCAACACAAAGTGTAACTGTAACACTTTGTTCTCGCGATAAGGTGCTCAATCACCGTCATGCTGTCCCAAATCGGGTTGGCTTGGGACGTGTAGCCGATAATTTTCCTGCACTCGTCCCGTTCTGTGTACATCGAGTGTCCGCCGATTTTGATTTCGGTCTGTTCATGCCGCGCTGGAACCGTGATTCCGCACAACATGCCGATATGGCCTTCTCAACTCTTACACTCTCAGCGGTTACATGATTTCTCATGCAAAACGACCACGAGCCAGCAGACGATCAAGCTGCTTCGCATGACAAATTCTGGGAGGGCTAAATTAATAGCACTAGAATCCGCACCAAATCTTCTGTAAAAATGCAAGACGCGTAAGGTTCTCCCTCGTCTCGCCTGTGCTATTCTTGCATTACACATTCATGAAAAAGTTGAGAATGTAACGTTTGAGAACGCCATACCGGAAGGTTGTGGTCTTCCCCGCGCCGTTCGCACCTAGTAGACCCAAAACCTCGCCCTTCTTCAGAGCGAACGAAACGTCTCTGACCGCATTGATCGTCGTTTTGTTCTTACACCTATCGAACAGCGCCTTCACGAGACTCGGGCAACAGAGACAGCAGGAGGTCAAACAGGATTCGCAGCAGTTCTTGTCGCTATCCGTTCTCTCCCCCTCTGCGCCGACGATATCCGCGATTTGGAAGACTTTGTTCACGTTCTGGCACAAAACTCCGTACTGCTCTTTCACTGCTTCGTCGGAGATGTTTGACAAAGCAGTGGTTTCCTCGTTGAGGACCCCCTGGTCCCGGTACTGCCTTAGGTTCACCGGGTCATTTTTGTCGAAAGGAGCGACGGGCTCCATGTACTGCCGGTAGCGGACCTCCTGGGTCAAATAGTCCAACAAAACGACAATGCTGAAGTACAGGATGATCTCAATTCCCAAATACGTGATCGCCGGCCCCGCGCCGAACCGGTCGAAGATGTCCTGGCAGCACTCAAACGGCGCGACATTGTGCTCGTCGTACTCCTTCTCGCACTTTGCCCAGAACTATCCTGTGCAAAAGTATCGCACTCGTACTCGTAGTAATTGCAGTCATGCATAATTACAAATTTTCTTCGCAAGGTAAATCCGCATTACAAATCTTATGTGTCATGCTGACGGAATTTGTCATGCATTTATACAACGAGTACGATACTTTTGCAGTTCATAAGAACGCGTCCGGAACCGACTCTGGGGGCGTCCCCTGCCAGTAGTAGGATGTGAAGAAAATCCGGCGGACTCCTTCCCCCAAAGAGTACATGGGCCAGAGACGGAGTAACGGGTATCCAAGAAAAAAAGTGTTACAGTTACACATTTGTAGTGAATTCAGCATCGCAAATCTCTCAGCATGAGAGAGAAAACTTGTAATGCAGAAATCCTACGGGCAAACACCTATGAAAGGAGGCTCCTCTGCATATCCGGCATGCGCATGACAGAGCTTGTCTGTCTTGCTTGGCCTGCAACACAATGTGTAACTGTAACACTTTTTTCTTGCGATAACGGGTCGAAGGTCTTTAGTAAGGACCGGGTCGTGTCGAACCGGATTAATTCAAGGAGTAACCCGACCAGGAAAAGCACAAACCCGAAAATCACATTCAAAACGATAGACACACTCATCGCAGAATCTGCGGACTTGAACTGCGTCGCCACGATGTAGGAAAACATATCATATGTAAAAACGTCCCCACCCCATAGTCAAATTGGGAACCTAGCAAGACAAATCCGCAAGTTTTGGGAGCCACGCATGAGAAGTTGCAGTCCGTAGTGTAGTGCATGTTAGCAAGGACAACCACATCACAAATCCATCTGCTTATCCTGTTTACAGCATTACAAATTCCAAAACGCGATTGGAAATGCCTCTTATGTGGATGCGCATTACAAATCTTCCTATAATCGCAAATCTGCATGACAACTATGGGGTGGGGACGTTTTTACTCAGGATAAAACAGCGGCATGGCCGCCGCGAAGAAGATCAGTAAACAGATCGGCGTATGAACTGCAAAAGCATCGCACTCGTAGTAGTTGCAGTCACGCATTACAAAGCTTTTTCTTGAGGTAAATCCGCATCACAAATTTTATTTCCCATGCTGAGGGAATTTGCAATGCATTCATAGGAGTGCGAGGATGCTTTTGCATTTCATACGACGCGCCGATCGCCCGGCTGTTGGTGAAGAGAGTCAAATCAAACGCCTCGAAGAGGAGTAGAATTGTGAAGATCGGGAACAGATAGAGCGAAAAGTCGTAGATCAGGTTGCTCAGCCAGTACCGTGTGATCCCGTATGCATTTTTGTAAAAGCATCGCACTACGTATCAACCAGCCATGCTCCGGCTACCGCCGGAGCGCAAGGCTGTTTGGCCGGGTTTGAACTGCTTGCGGACCGGACCACAGCGACATGCATACTTATGCCCCCGCAGCACCGTCTGCGCGCTTCCCGCGCCTAAGGGCGCTCTGCGCAGGGAGGAGCTACCACGAGCATTGGGGCAGATGAACAGGAGGCACCTAGATGCCACACCACAGTCCGCTACGCATGCCTTTCGTTAATCAAGGTGAACCAAGAACCGACCCCGCCCCATTCCCCGGCGCCACTTTTTCAATGACTTCAGTGAGGGAGGGCGGCGCGAGAGGGTAGCGCGAGAGGGTGGCGCGAGAGGGTGCGCGAGAGGGTGGCGCGAGAGGGTGACGCGAGAGGGTGGCGCGAGAGGGCGGCGCGAGAGGGTGGCGCGAGAGGGTGGTGGGGGCAGGCGCCGAACAAAACAAGTCCGCGAAGGGCCTGCAATGCTACACATGGGGAATACCATGCGGATTCGCGCCCTCCACTTTGTGTCTTTACCCTCTCGCAGACCCCCCGCAGGCCCTCTCTTTTACCTCTTTTGGGGGTCCCCGCTAATAGTCCGGCTATACTCGCGGGTAGAGGTCGACAGAGGTGGCCCAGAGGTGGCCGAGAGGGTGCGCGAGAGGTTGGCCCTTATTCGCGCCACCTCTCTCGACCTCTGTCGACCTCTCGCGCCCCCTCTTTTTGACCTCTCTGCACCCTCTGAGGCACTTAGGCGCCGCCTTAAGGTGGGTCCTTCGGCGGGCTATACTCGCGCACCCTCTCGCCGACCCTCTCGAAAGGGGTCCCGCGCCACCTCTCCACCTCTGTCGACCTCTTTTTTACCTCTTTTGACCTCTTTTTGACCTCTCGACCACCTCTTGTTTGCCCTCTGTCTACCTCTTTTTTCGCATGAATATAATATATAGTAATTGCATTACAAATTTCCTCAGCATGAGAAATGTGGAATTTTTGATGCGGATTTACCTTAAGAAAAAGACTTGGAATGCATGACTGCAATACGAGTACGATACTTGTTTTGCAGTTCATATCCCGACGCCGTTGACAAATTGCTGCACTTTCACTTCCTTCTCCTTCTCTTCCACGATAAAGACCAACGCGAAGCACGAGACAATATCAAGTGTAAAAATGTCTGGGTCTGGAAGAGTCATGCTGTTTCTGCATGACGCGGAAGGTCTGGCATGGAAGCTCTAGCATCACAGGTTTCGAGAAGCATCCGCAATGCCGAATCCGCATCACAAATCCCTGACTTCTTTGGTGACAGAAAGTGGGAACTTTTGCTGCCTATGCATGAGAGATTTTTCTGTGTTCTGAAATGCGCATCACAAGCTTGTACTCTTCCAGACCCAGACAGTCTTACATTTGATAGACAAACCCGAAGGACAAAACGATCCCCATACCCAAAACAAACGCGGCGTCGTTCAACTCCGCCGTTCTTTCCGCGGCGGTTGTGGTATCAAATGCAAATTATGTCTGGGTCTGGAATCATGCGGGTTGTGCATGAGTCATGATGTCTGTGATGCGTGCCTTAGCATCACAGGTCTTTTGAGGGCGTCTCGATGCCTATTCCGCATGACAAATGCCCTCTCCGCGTAGCAAAAATCACATTCCCTTTGCTGCTCATGCAATACAGATTTTTTTGCAATCCAAATGCAGCATCACAAGTTGTATTCTTCCAGACCCAGACACTTTTGCAATTCATATGTGGGTAAAGGATGCAAGTACGGTATTCTTCTCCCGTGCTTCCCCGCATCCCTCGCCGCCGCGTTGTGGTACTGTTGCAGGAAAATCGCCGGGGCGTGAATTCCCGTTCCGTTCACTTTGATCACGACATTGTTCTTCTCACTTATCAAAAAAGCGCCGTACTTGGATTCCTCCTTCTTTGTCTGTTTCGTGTTATGCTCGAGCCAGTATGCATTGCAACTATGTCCGGGTCTGAAACACTAAAACTTCTCATGCTAAGTCTGGATCGTGCAAGAACTTTCTCATGCAGGATAGGAAGGCATGATAGGAATCGCAAAGAATCTGTCATGCCAGGTCCTGCATCGCAGACCCTTACCTCCCTGTGGGGCATGCAAAACACGCATGATAAGTCTTGTACTCTTCCAGACCCGCCAGACACATTTGCAATGGATAGCCAATAATCCAAGTGAATCATTTGCTGGAAAAATCCGTACCAGGCCGGCTGCGGCTGCGTATCAAATGCAAATATGTCTGGGTCTGGAAATTTGTGATGCTGTGTGGCATATCATGAGGAGGCCACAATTGCTGGCTCAGCATGACAAGTTTCTGAGCTTCTAGGTGTTGCCTATTCTGCATGACAAACTACGTTTCTGCATGACAGAAAAGTGGGGCTCTTTGGTAATGTGCATGACAGATTTAAGAGTCATGCCAGACAAGCATGACAAACTTGCATTTTTCCAGACCCAGACATTTTTACATTTGATACTGCGTGAGACTCGCCAACGGGCCGGCGAGAGGCGTCGAAGAACTCGCCTGTGCCTGTTGCGTAGTTGTACTGGAATAAACATGGCTGTCGTCGTAGTTTTTGCTCAAAGCCGCGACTAATTCGCCCTGCTTGGCCGTTTTATCCACTGCCTTACAGCCCCCGTACGGAGACATCGCACCCCACTGCGCGTCACCGGTTTTGTAGGTGAACTGCTCACAAGCATCCCAAGGGCAGGAGGACGCATACAGTGTATCATTCGCAATAAACGGCGCGTTGTGTAACCTCAATTCCGCCCCTAACCCGCTAGTTTCCAGCGCGGTGAAGCTCGCGGCTGGGTTGAAATCCTTCGCACTAACCGCCCCGGTAGCGGCTGCGACAGACCGTCTTTCGCTTTCGGATTCAATCTCCATGTTGTAGTGCGAGTCCGCGGTTAACTTCAGCCGATATGGGTGTGTCAGGATCGAAATCGTCAAAGTTGAAATAATTTGCAATGCAGAAAATGCATGACGCGAGGTACGTGTGTTGCAGAGCAGGCAAGCGAGGCCGATTGTAAGCCTGTTTGGGGTTAGAGCTCGAGCTGCTAAAGTAGCATGAGAAAATCAGTCTTCTTTGCCTAAACAGCATGACAAACTGGATTTAAGGACCACCAAAATTTGTCACGCGCCACTTGAAAACTGGGTCCCAACTGGCATCCATTTTATGCATGGCAAATCATTTCAACTTTGTCAATTTCAATCCAGACAGCTCCATAGCCTCGGCCAGTCGGACAAAGCGATCTTCGTGATGATAATGATGATCAACAAATACACCACTGGACAGGTTAATTGGCAAATCGTCGTGCCCCAGTACCGCTTCCCGTTGATGAACCTTTTTTGCAAAAGCCCGTAGAGCATCCGGGTGCTGCTGGGCTGGAGTTCCACGTAGCCCCAGGAACTGGATTTCCTGCCCGTACCCGGAACCGGGACGCCGACGGTTGTGTCGCTGTCCATGATCGCACCCAGGTTCTCCTTCGACCCGGTTTGGGTTCTTTCCAGTATTGTCTGCGCCAGCTTCTCTTCGCTATCTGCTTGATCCGACGCGACCTTCAAAAACACCTCCTCCAAATTGCAGACGAGTAGTTGGTAAGAGATGATCCCGAAGTCCTGCTTTCTCTGCTCTAACAGCTCAAACGCCTTTGGGAACTTGTGGCTCACTTCAAAGGGGACCAGAAACAGCATCTCGTTGCCCGCGGTCGTCATCAACTTGCATAAATGTCTGGGTCTGGAAGGGTGCAAGTTTGTCATGCTTGTCTGACATGACTCTGAAATCTGTCATGCACATTACCCAAGAGCCCCACTTTTCTGAGATGCAGAAACGCAGTTGTTCATACAGAACAGGCAACACCTAGAAGCTTAGACACTTGTCATGCTGAGCCAGCACTTGTGGCCTCCTCATGATACGCCAGCCAGCATCACAAGTTTCCAGACCCAGACATTTTCGCATTTGATAGTCGTCATCAACTTGCAATCATTCTTCGACTGAAACACCTCTTCGTCCAGGAAATTCGAGAATTTCTCCACAATTTCTATCGCCGGCTTATGGGATTCTCAAGCGTTACATTCTCAAGTGTTACGTGATTTGTCATGCAAAAGCACCTAAAGCCGGCAGATGATCAAGCTGCTTCGCATGACAAATTTGGGAAGGACTAAACAGCGCCTAAATGTAAATCTGCGCCAAACTTGTAATGCAAAAGGCGCAATCTTCCTCCTTTCACTTTTGCCAGTCTACTTGCATTACAAATTCATGTAACAGTTGAGAGTGTAACGTTTGAGAACGCCATACGGCTGCGTGCAGTTGAAGGAGAGGTTGTACCCGCAGCCGTAGGCTTGTTTGAGGAACTGCGTAGTCCCGACGCACTTCACATTACCGTGCGACATGATCGCCACTCGGTCGGCCAACACGTCCGCTTCGTCCATGTAGTGGGTTGTCAAAACAATCACGCGGCCGGATTTTCGGGTGCGGAGGAGGTCCCAGATCTCCCGCCGGGCGGAGGTGTCCATGCCTGATAAATTGCATAAGTAATTGTAAATGCATGCTGTGCAATGCCTGCGTAGTTTTATCCACCATAGCGAAATGGTGATCATAGAGTGATAATTCTTGAATGCATCAGTGGCACCACATGTAGTAGTGAGTAGCTGCCAGTGCTGGCGCAAACAAATGTGAATTCGCATCCGCAACAAGAAGTGGATGGCTTCTTACTTCATTTCCATAATCAAAAATACCGCTGCTCGGTTCATCCAGAAAGACCAAATTCGGGTTTCCCATGAACGCAATCGCCAGGGACAGTTTCCGCTGCATCCCTCCGGACAAAGTTTTCGCCAACGCGTTCTTCTTATCTTCCATCATCTGTTCGCGTAGCAACTCATCCGCTTGAATCAGCGCGTCGGATCGGCTCACGCCCTTGAAGTACGCGAATAAGAGCAAGTGCTCCAGCACTGTTAAATTTTCCCACAATACGGAATGTTGCGGACAAATCCCTACCTTCCCGCGGTTCGCGGAGAGTTGCTGTTTACTGCTCAATCCGAAAAAGGAGCAATCCCCCTTGGTCATCGGGATCAACCCGTACAGCATGGAGAAAGTGGTCGTTTTCCCCGCGCCGTTATGCCCCAGTAGAACGAAAATCTCATCCCGGTACATCGTCAAATTGATGTCATTCACCGCGACAAACGGCTTTCCGTCCGCGGTTGTGTTCGTGTGGAATTCCTTCCGCAAGTTCCTGATTTTCACGCAGTCATTCTGCTGGTGAAGCTGCTGCTGCTGGTACGTCGGTTTCTCGAAAAACTTGGACAGAGTTGTGTCGTCTTTGCTGAAATTCGATTCTTCCCCTTTGGATTGCTGCCGGGTCAGTTGCGGTTCTTGTGCTAAATCTGACGGATTCAGTGCTCCTTTATCTACTGCTCCTGCCTGCAGCTCACTGGTGCCTCTATCCGCGTCGGATTTCGCATCGAAGATGCCGAACACGTCCTCCTTCCAGAAAGTCTTCGTGAACGGAAAGTACCAAACCCGCGGGATGCCGTACTCACTTGGCGTTACTTGGTCAGCGTAGACGAAGAGGCACGTGTACCAAATGATTCCGACTATCGACATGAGAATACAGTCTAGGAAGGAAAAATCCGTCGTTTTACTCGTAATTCGTAGCCCCACCGTGTCAATCGTCACGCCATCAGTCCTATGGACTGCAAAAGTATCGTTACTCGTATATTAAATGCATTACAAATTTCCTCCGCATGAAAAATTAAAACTAAAATTTGTAATGCGGATTTACCTCAACAAAAAGATTTGTAATCCATGCATGACTGCAATACGAGTACGATACTTTTGCACAGGATAAGTCCGCATCTCCAGCTCGTACCAGACTCGCAGAGCATATGTCACAGTTGTCCCCGGACACCACATCACGATGAACCGGCGAAACGCGATCCGTATCCATTGCAAATATCTCTGGGTCTGGAAACTTGTGATGCAAGGAAGTGGGAACAGTCAGCACTTTGTAATGCGCTGCCAAGCATGACAAGTTTTTCCGTGGTTCTGAGTTGCGTATTCCGCATGAGAAACTTCGTTTTTGTATGACATGCAAGAGGAGCCCTTTGCGGTATCGCAACACAAATTGCAGAGTCATGCCATACTAGCATGACAAATCTCGCAACTTGCCAGTAGACCCAGATGACATATTTGCATTTGATAATCCGCCCGGCGGAGGTCCAGGACACGTCCAACGTCGGCAGCAACACGGAGAACAAACCCGACAAGCTTACGATCCCCGTGCACGCGATTTTTCCGAAGGTTGCGTTGCTGAAGAACGTGGTCAAGAACAGCGCGAACTGCGTGCAGTGCACGGAGGAGACCCAGAAAAACCAGAACAGCCACCCCCCACCGGAATACTTCTGCCAGTCCGGGAGAACGGCCCACACCAGCATCAGAATGCACGCAACGAAGAAGCCGAAAATCGTGTGAAAGATGCTGACCGCGAAGTAATAGGACAAGTCGTACAGGCCCATGATTTATGAACTGCAAAAGCATCGCACTCGTATAAATGCATTACAAATTTTCTCAGCATGAGAAATTTGTAATGCAAGACCTGCATTTATACGAGTACGATACTTTTGCACGGGATATGATTTTCATCCCCTCCCGGATCTTCAGCTCCTTCTCCCGTAAAATTCTTCTACGCAATGCAAAAGCATCGTACTCGTAGTAATTGCATTTATGCATTACAAATCTCTTTCTCGAGGCAAAGCAGCATTACAAACTCCATTTGTAATGCTGAGGAAATTTGTAATGCGATTTCTACTACTTAGTACGATGTTTTTGCATTTCCTATCTTCCGATCAATGGCAAAATCGGGATGCACAGTCCGAAAAAGACACTGTCCGCCATGTTATGCAATGTAAATTTCCCGTACATGTACAAAATGCATGACAAATTTCGCCAACTTGCAGTGTTCGACTTGTCATGCTAGAGTAGGATTGAAGGCAAGCTTTGTCATGCAGAGACTGCATTTGTACGTCGTGTACGGGAAATTTACTGTGGATACATGTCATCATTTTCGCCCAACACGGCTACCAACCTCGCGTTATTCCAGAATTTCGGAAGGCCGAAATTGATCAGAGCAATGTTGTCCACGTCCGGTTTCTTGCTCGGCGTTGTCACCGGGATCGTGAAGTGGTTCGTGCCGAGAAAGCAGTTCAGACTGTCGGAGGCACAGGAGAGAAAATCGTTGACCACGTTATAACTTGCTCAAGCGTTACAATCTCAAGCGTTCCAATAGAATACGGAAATCTGTGATGCAAGAAGTGCGTGAGCTACCCTACGTACTCTCACAGGATTGCGCATGACATGTTCTTTCGGAGCCCCAAACCGTCCTAGAGTCTGCCGAAATTTGTATTGCAGAAAGTGGAACAGGAACGCTTTGCGATTTTGTCATGCTCAGCATGCAAGACACAATCCGGATTCTAACGTAACGCTTGAGATTGTAACGTTTGAGCGGGTTTTACACATTCTGCAAACCGAGGAAACCCGATCGCGCGTACGTGCCGTATGGCGTTCTCAAATGTTACATTCGCGCCTGTAGTTGCATGAATTTGTAATGCAAGAACGGCAAAAATGAATGGGGGAAGCTTGCGCCTTTTGCATTACAGATTTGGCACAGATTTACATGCTGTTTAGCCCCTTCGGGGATTTGTCATGCGAAGCAGCTCAATGGTGGCGATCTTGGTGGCAAATTTGCATGACAAATCATTATCATGCAACAGTTGAGAATGTAACACTTGAGAACCCCATATCCCGAGGTAAAATTCCGACGCCCGCGGCGCGACTTTGTACTGTGGCGTGTAACCGAAATCCCGACCGTTGATGTCTTATGCATTGCAAAAGTATCGCACTCGTACTAATCGCAGTCATGCAAGACAAATTTATTTTTCAAGCTAAATCAGCATGATAAATTTTATTTCTCATGCTGAGCTAATTTGTACTATTGCAATACTACGAGCACGATGCTTTTGCAATTGATATGTCCGACTCGTTGGTTCGGATGTCGAATTGCAGCTGGGATTGGAGCCGTGCCTGCGCCAGGTTGATCGGCGCCGTACCGTCCCCGTCTTCCCCGTCGATGAAGGAAACAGCAGCGCAGAGCATCTCGGAAACCTGTTTGGAGACTTGGGTGCCGGAGGAGGCATCTAAGACTGTGATGACCTGGGAGTATATGAGAGTGCGCAACTTCCCCTGCCCCTCATTTGTATTGCATGATCAGCAATACAAACACTAGCACACGTGGTGGAGCCCGTGGCTGTGCATGAGAAATTCACCTACCTATTGTAGTACTGTTTGGGCTTCCGGAAAAATCTGTCATGCAAACAGTGCCACAGGGAAGCCCTTGGATTTGGGGTTTTGCATCACAAATGAGGGAGGAGGAGGAGTTGCGCACTCTCATAGGGTACTCGGAATGGTTGATCAAATCCTTCATGGCGTCTTCGTCCCGAAAGACCCGCACGTACGGCTTCAGCAACGGTAAAGCCGTCCCCATCCGGAGCCACAGAGACGTGCGACTGCAGGGGAAAACGGTCCCGTCCGAGGTGGTCTGCGTGTCGCACTCGAAACAACTGGTCTCCACCGCGACTTCCCCCTTCGCGCCACCGCGACTGTTCACCGCCTCGCGACAGGACCCTTCTCCGTCTCGGTCGGTCGACTGCGAAAACCAGCCGCAGTCCGGCCGCAACTTCGCGCAGTCGCAGGCGGAATTCGCGCTGTCGCAGTTGATCGCAAGACGCCGGAGCTGGTTGCTGGATTTCCGTACGGGTTTGTTGTTTTTCAGAAACCGCTCGGCGAAGAAAAGTTTTTCAAACGTCGCGGGGGAAAAGGGGTTCGCCTGCCGCAGCTGACGATGGACCCGTTCGGAGCGGGACAGGTCGGGTCGGAAGGAAGAGGAGGGAGAAGGTGATGTTGTTGTAACAGCCTTATTTATGCCTGGTGTAGTACTCCGGATGTCTCTATCCTCTTGTGCGCCGTGGTGGTAGACAAGATTGTTCTGACTCGTCTTTTGTTGCACACTTGTCGTTCTCATCTCCTCGTGCTGCAGCCACCGCTTCTGGTACACGTCCCTCACGTGATCTAATAGTTGCAATCCGGTCTGGAAGGACGGTTTTTGCCTGCGTTTGTTGTCCTTTGCAGCTCGCCTCGCAGCTGTCGCGAATAAACTAGACGCAGTGCTGCCACTTGATTTCGGCGACATCTGCAAGGTGCCGGAGGGTCCAAACGCTCCTTCGTCAGTATGATCTTCCAGATCCTCGTGGTCCACTGCAATGTCCAAGCCACTGCTTGATGTTTGTTCACGACCGCCGCTATTGGATGAAATACTGCTGCTCGACATCGCACTGCTGTCGTCGAACATCATCCTTCCAGCGGAAAAATCTCCTACACTCTCTTCTTCGCCCTGCGCTAACCTTCTCCCACTGTTCATGGCCGCGACCCGGACCGCGTTCTGCACCACAATCGCGTTCAGCTGGGCTGCAAAGGACTCCGCGACCGAGGCCGGGGGCACTGGCGCGACGTAGTTTGCGTCCGTAAAGTCCAAGGCGCTGTTCGCGTGCGTCCAGTAGGACACTTGGGTTTTGTTTTTCATGGTCACCCCGTTCGACACGTAGTCCGGTCCGATGGTAACATTCGCCGTGTTCGGCAGGACTGTTCTTCCCGGCAAGCTCGCGCCGTCCTGACAGAGGTTCAAACACGCCACGGGGTCGTTCTCCAGGCAGAAGCTGCTGGCCGTGGTGGGCGCGACCGCGCCGACGACCGCGGTGATGCCCGTTGGGAAGGCACTTGGTAAGCCGAAATTCGCGGTTAAATTCGCGAAAATCGTGTTGAAGCAGGAATCTTGCATCAAGTTGTACAGCGCGATGGTTAAATACATTTTGTCATCATACCGCTTGTACAAGTAGTTCGCAAACCGCCCCCCGAGCGTCATCGCGTCGTCCTGCACACCGGGGGACACGCCGAACGTCTGCACTCTTGGTGCCCACGCCGGTTGCTGCCGGGACTGCAGAATCATCTCCCGCCAGAAGGTATCAAATGTAAAAGTGCCTGGGTCTGGCAGATTGCCAGGGTTGTCATGCACATTCTGCATGACTCCTGATGTCTGTGATGCATGCCCTAGCATCACAGATTTTGTGAGGGCTTCCTGATGCCTATACCGCATGACAAATGCTCTTTCCGTGTAGCGAAACTTGGACTCTCTTTCCTGCTCATGCAATACAGATTTTTTTAGAATCCAAAATCAGCATGACAATTTGGATTCTTCCAGACCCAGACATTTTTACAGTTGATAGAAGGGCACGATGTCCGACATGGCGTCAATAAAACAGTCTATGCATTGCAAAAGTATCGTACTAGTATAAATTGCATATACAAATTTTTGCAAGAAGGAAAGTGGAATTTGTAATGCTGTTTTGCCTTAGGCAAAACATTTGTCATGCATATTTGCAATTAGTACGAGTACGATACTTTTGCACAGGATACAGTCGAACTTTGTGTCGTAGTTTTCCGGCAGCGGGTATGCAATACAAATTTCCCGTCAGATGTACAAGATGCATCACAAATTGCGCCAATTTGAAGTGTAACACTTCTTGTCATGCTAAACTAGTATCCCAGTCAAGTTTCGTCATGCAGGCACCGCATCTGTACGTCGTGTATGGGAAATAGAAATTTACTGTGGATAGCGGGACCTGCTGTTCGTCGCGCCAGCTCGCGATATCAAATGTAAAAATGTCTGGGTCTGGAAGAACGCAGCTTGTGATGCTGCATTTGGATTCCAGAAGAATCTGTATTGCATGAGTACCAAAAGGAGTGCAATTTTTGCTACTCCGAGAGGGCATTTGTCATGCGGAATAGGCATCAAGAAGCTCTCAAAAAATCTGTGATGCTAGGGCATGCATTACAGACATCAGGGCTCATGCAAAACGTGCATGACAAGTGTCAGAATCTTCTAGACCCAGACATTTTTACAGTTGATACGCGAAAGACTCCACGTATTCGCTGCTACCCAGCTCCTATCCTGAGAAAAAACTTTCTCAGTCCCAAACCTTTGCAGATGACTCAGCAACACAAATTTGCTTAGCATGACACGGAAAACCTGTGATGCGTCAGACTCAGACACAAGAAATGAACACACATAGAGATAAAGGCGACTTTCTTGCACGTCGAGCATGACAAAAAACTGTCTCAAGGAAATTGCGCATCACAAGTTGAGACTGAGACCGTTTTTTCTCACGATAACTCTCCGCACTGAGCCGGGAACGGGTCGAACGCGTAGTTTTGTTGGATTTGCTATGCAATACAAATTTTCCGTACATGTACAAGATGCATCACAAATTTCACCAGTGTGAAGCGTAAAACTTGTCATGCTAGAGTAGAATCGAAGCCAATTTTTGTCATGCAGAGACCGCATGTTTACGTGTACCGGAAATTTACTGTGGATATTTGCCGGGTTTTCACGTTCACGGTCTGGTACGGTTGTTCGAAGATCCGCTCATCGATGAAAAGAATGAAGAAGGTCGAGAAAAATAGCATGAAAGCCGGGCAGATCAACGCTCCCGTGATGGTGCAACAGGAACGCGAGGAGAGGAGGAAGTCCTTGATAAGCAAAGTCTTGATTTGGTCCAGGTAGAGAGAAAAATTGGAGGTTTTAGAGTTGTTGTAGTCAGGTTGTAGGGGTTGCTGCTGGGGGGCGGGCAGCGACTGCTGCTGCTGCGACATTGCAGCCGCGGGCGGCGCCGGGGGCTCTGTTGAAGCCATCTTACTTGATCTGGCGATGTCGGATAGTTTTTACTTTTAGAGTTTGTGAAGGTAACGAGGACAGACTACAAACGTGTAAAGAACAATCTGCTCCGCTCACCGATAGGACAAAGATTTCGCAATGCGTAGTATTTCAAAGTAGGTTTCAGGTCGTACAGGAGTAGTTGTAAGAGTAAGGGAAACTGACACTGAATCAGGAGCACTTAAGGCAATCTAATAGATACTTCTCACCCAAAGAGCGCACCCCCCGTGCTCGCTCTGTAGCTGCTGTCGCCTCGCACAAAAAGTGGGAGTTGGTAAAGAGAAAGACTCAGAAGCAGCAACACTCAGACACAGACTCGTCACTCTCTCGTGAAATAATTGCTTCGCTCTACAAGTTGTGCCCTCTGCTGAGAGTGGTGCTCCCTCGTCCAGGGCCTACTCGCCTTCCTTATCTTCATGAACACGACTTGGTGCGCTTCTCGTCATCCTTCACACAGACTAATAGTACTTGGGGAACTGCGTGCGTTTTAATGATGTGGCGCTTTATGAACACGTCCTGCGTTTGAACAAACTGAAAATAAATCATGTCAGCAGGAGAATGAAAATCATGATGGGGCAGGGAATTCGAAGAAGGGAGTGCATGATGGGGAAAAGGCAAAGTTTTGGTGTTGGTCTCATGAAGATCCAGCAATGAAGAATAGCCGCTGGTCTTTTATCACGAGAGGACCTACTCGGGTAGAGAATTTGTCTGTGCAAAAACAAAAAATTGATTGAAATATGTGTGCGTACAACAGGCTGGAATAAGAAATCAATCTCGATCTAGAACTAGCTTCAAGTAGTTCAGGGTAGAATAAAGGACTACTACAAGAAAACTCTAACGCACTGTAGCTGCTCTAAAGATGGAAAAGCGTTTTATCGTTTTCATCCCAAAAATCGCTTCAGAATAAATGAATCGTTCGACGAAAGCAACGAGCTGTCCTCCTTGCTAAGATAAGTCAAGCGACTCCGGGTGGACACCTTGCTCGGCGGCGTTGTAATTTTTACTCTGCTCCGCTGCCGTCATCCCGGAAGTAGACGATGAAAACCCGCCTGTTAAAAACGCGGAAATTTTTGCCGTGAAGCTGCTTCGTTGTTCCTCCTCTTGTGGAGAAACGCCAGCGCCCGCTTCTTGTTCACCCTCGTTCGTCGCCTTGTTATTTCGCCCGCCCAGGTGGGTGGTGTCCGCCTCTACTTCTTTCTCACTGTCGTCCAGAACGACCGGCACTACAGAGGGGGCTCTTGCTGTCGCTGCACTCCGTCTACTCTGTTTCCGTTTCACCGAAGAAGCGGCGAACTCCTCAGGTGTCATCCATTGTTTTTTGCTGTTCTTTTTCTTTGTTCCATTATCGTCGCTATCTGTAGTAAATCCACCCCGCGCGGCCGCCTTCGTCCTCTTCTTCTTAGTACCTCGTTCGTCCGTCGTAGTACCAGCAACTGCCTCGTTGCTGTCCCCCGCGGCTCTCTTGCCCGAAGTAGAAGATTCTTCGTGGCAGCTGCAGAGGAACCAGCCTAAACAAGCGGAAACTACAAGAACGCCGATAACAATAGTTAAAACCACCCCTACCATGGCCCAGCAGGGGTGCAGATAGCCACTGAAACACGGGATCAGGTACTTCTTCGAGTCGTCAAAAGTGCTCGCGCTCGTCGTGATGGTCGGCAGGACTGGTCGTGACACGGTTTTGTTTTCAAAAGTGATGTCGTGTTGTCGCTGCTGTTCATTTGAAGTGCCTGGTAAGTTTTCAACAGCACCACGACCAGGTACATCTTCGTTTCCAACTCCTGCGCCGACTCCAGGGGCCGGTCCTGGTTCTTGTGTCTTCGCGTCATAATTTTTGCCGTCTGTAGTGGAGGCAGTACTAGTCAAGTCGTTGTCTTCTGTCGTTCCAGGAGAGTTTGTAGATGAAGATGGTGTCGACGTCGTGGTCTCATCAACTACAACTCCAGGAGATGAACCGCTGTCAACTACTTCCACCAGCATGCTTCTCTCCAAAAATCTTGCAAACCCCGGCTCCATCCAGTCGTTATTCTTCGACGGCAGGTCCTCTTTCACAACGCTATCAGGTAGCGGCATTCGCAACAGCGCTTTTTCAGGAGAAGTGCCCTTCTCTGTATGCGCCTGCTCCTTGATGATCCTGGCCAGAGACCAGCACCAAAAACTGCCGTCCCACAGCGGATCCCCACCCTCCTTCCAATAGGGGTTCGATTTCGATTCAGAGAGGCAGTACCGGGGCTGATAATTGGGAGCGGTGGAAGCAGCAGCTGTAGTACTTGTTTCGCTGCAGTCTTTATCAAGTGCAAAAGTGTCGGGGTCTGGAAGATTCCGAGATTTGTCATGAATATTTCTCATGACCCATGATGCCTGTAATGCATGACCTAGCATCACAGACTTTTAAAGGGCTTTCTGATGCGCCTTTCGCATGAGAAATGCCGTGTCCGCGTAGCACAAACTAGACCCCTTTTGCTGGTCATGCAATACAAATTTTCCTAGAATCCAAAAACAGCATGACAAGTTGCAATCTTCCAGACCCAGACATTTTTGCAACCCATAGTCTTCGAAAACGTGGGTTTCGTCCCGGGCCATGCGGCCGTTCCAGTAGAAATGGGCGCGGAACTTGTTTTCTTCGTAGACTGTCATGTACTTATCCCAAAGATCTCTGATCCAGTCGAGCTTCTTTTCCCTAGACCACCTATGCAAGAAAAAAACTGTGTATGTAAGTGTAAATTCGTGTTGCAGAAGATGCAACAGAATTACAGCTGTCATGCCAGACAGCCATGAAGTCCTCTTTTCATGTGTGTTTTCCCTTACTCTTACAAACCATGCATGACAGGTTTTCTCTGTCATGTAGAGCAAATTTGTGATGCTGTTCCTCAAAGAAAGTTACACTTACACAGTTTTTTTCCTGGATACCACCCCGCCTTTCCGCACTGCCAGGCAGTTTTTATCAAACGGAAAAATCCCCCTTCCCCATATCGAAATGGAAATCTGTGATGCAAGATTTGAGGTACCAAATCGACTTGTCATGCTAGAAGGCCAAGAGCCGCAGTCGTGGTCTCGTTTGCAGGCAATTTGTGATGCTGTTTCCCACTCTCAGCCGCCTCCTATCATGCTGAAGATGCAAGGCTCTCCCACGCCACCCAGCACTACAGTCCGCATCTTTTCCCGTGTAGCATGACAAAGCTGATTTGTGACAACAAATCTGCATCACAGATTTCCGTTTTGATATGGGGCGGGGGAATTTTTCCTCTCAATAGTTTTGATCCTGTCATCAACCGCCCAAGCGCCGGCGGTGCTCCACTCCCCGGAAATGCTGTTTCCGAGTTCCCAGGTTCTCGACAATTTGTCGGTGACGAAGTTTTCCGGATCTGGGATAACCATCCAATTGACATAATTGTGGAAGTCGAAAATGGCAGATCCGGATCCCGCCTCGGACAGATGTTGCCCATTGTCATTGTGCGAAAAATCTTCTTCAATCGCGGGGGCCCTCTGCGTCGGGAAGCCGTCGTGCCATTCTCGAAGCGGCTCTGCGAAGTTTCCATTTTTGTACAGGTAATCCACGTTTTTCTTCCATGAACTGTCATGATCCTGCAGCACAAGCAACACCAGCTCGACGTCTGGGCTCAGATTCACCTCTGCCGCTTTTTTCCGGACCATCGGGTAGTAGTGGTGTATCCACAGTAAATATTTTCCTGTACATGTAGATGTACAAATAATGGGGTTTCTGCATGAAAAATGTTTTGTTTCATAATTTCCATTCAGCATGACATTGACAAGTGGCATGCTACAAGTTGGTGACATTATTTGTGATGCATTTCCGTTTCGTACATGTACAGAAAAGTTGTCAATTGCATATGGTGCAACAGAAATTCATCGACTTTTTCGTCCGGGTGTTGGTAGTCTTGACTTTGCGGTTCGTTTAACGCTTCATACATGACAATCAAACCGGGGTATTGCTCGTTCACTTTGTTGATCCATTTGAAATATCAAAGGCAAATAGAAGTATGTCTAGGTCGTCAACTGGAAGAGTGCAAAGTTTGCCGTGGTGCATCTCCTAGAATACAAAGTAGTTGGTCTGTATCTGTAATGCGCCCACAAGCATCACAGATTGATTGCACAGGAGCGCCTTTAATCATGCCTATCCCGTTTGAGAAAGTCAGCCTCTGTGTGGTTTGCCGTCCATGCAACACAGATTTTTGTCCTGTACTACTCCAGACTTGTAAATAGCATCACAGGTTGCAAATGCAATAGCAATATTCCAGACCCACTCAGACACATTTCCAATGCATATGAACGCTCGCTCCGTGATTTTTTCCATGTAGGTCAGCCACGAGCCGTAGGGTATCTTCGGAGGTTGTTGTCCGTATAATGCGTTTTCCTTTTCGAACGGGTTGCAATCCGTGTATCAAATGCAAAAGTGTCTGGGGGTCTGGAAATGTCATGCACATTTTGCATGACTCCTGATGTCTGCGATGTATGCCCTAGCATCACAGGTCTTGTGAGGGCTTTCTGATGCCTATACCGCAAGAGAAATGCCCTCTCGCCGTGGCCAAAACCAGACCTCTTTTATTGTTCATGCAATACAGATTTTTGGATAATGCAGACGCAGCATCACAAGTTGCATTCTTCCAGACGACCCAGACGTTTTTGCATTTGATACCGTGTAGAAGCACGCATTTCTTCCATCATCCGTCTTGGCCGTCTTGTAGCCCGTATCCTGTGCAAAAGTATCGTTCTCGTACTAATTGCGTTTATGCATTACAAACCTTTTCATCAAGGCAAATCCGCATTACAAATAATTCAATTTGTAATGCTAAGTGAATTTGTAATGCAATTCATACTAGTACGATACTTTTGCAATGCATACCCCGCGAACCCCTGGTCTTCGATGCCCACGCCCGCAATCGCGTGCATGTCGATAAAAACACGCATGCAGCGCTCGTAGAAGTAGGGCAGCAGGCTTTCCAAAACCGCTAGACTGGAACCCACCGCGAACCCCTCCTGGTTCCACCAGATGGGTGGTGGGAGCCGCGGGGAATTCATTTCTTGGTGCGTCGTACTGTTGTTTCCATTCTCATCAACAGCGGCAGCTGTAGCCGACGGTATGTCATACCCCTTATTCCAGGTTGGATGCGCTTCCTCATCGTTCCACTCGCTGAAAAGCCAGTAACCGATCGGGATTCTCAACACGTTCACCCCAATCGAGTGCAAGTCGTCTAGTAATTCTTCCGGCACGAAGTTTGCCCAGTGTGCGTGTAGCAGCGACAAAGCGTGTTGGCGCGCTTCGTGCTCCAGGTCTTCATCATGCTGTGGTAAAAGTGCTCCTGGATTCTCATTCTTCCCTTTTTGCAGTTTCGTTTCAAAATAAGGGATAAAGCGCTCGTGAATGATCTGCCACTCGGCCATTCCCCAGCAGTCCGTGTCCGTGTTGGCTCGGCCGACTATGGCGCTCTCAAGCGTTACATTCTCAACTGTTACATGAATCCGTCATGCAAAAACACCATCATCATCCTCACGATCAAGCTGCAGCTCCGCATTAGAAATTTGCGAGGGGCTTCTAAACCGCGCCTAGATCTGCGCGGAATTGGTAATGCTACAGGTGCAACCTTCCCCCTTTCACTTTTCCCATTCTTGCATCACAAGTTCATGTAACAGTTGAGAATGTAACGTTTGAGAACACCATACCGAAAGTGTCGTCATTGCCGCTGTCGTACACCCACCCACTGAACATCCAGCCCTCCATATCCAGGAAAAAAACTGAGTAAGTGTAAATTTGTGTTGCAGAAAATGCAAAACTGTTACACTTGTCATGCTGGACATGCATCAGAGGCAATTTTCGTTCGTGTTTTCACGTACTAGCGACGCATGACAGGTTTTCTGTGTCATGCAGAGCAAACTTGTGATGCTATTCCTCCAAAAAACTTACACTTACACAGTTTTTTTCCTGGATACTCCAGTACCAGCCAGGACCCCAGGTTCGCGCCAAGCGGGCCCCAGGGCCCGCATTGGGAAGGATCGGCCATGTTGGTCATAGTCGACGAGTGTGATTCTGATTGTGCTAGTTGTGCTCGTTGTTGCTCAACAAAAGCAAATCTTCCAGACGGAGGTGCCGTGGGTAATATGGAATGGCTCTCTGTTGTCTGTCCACCTGCTGGGCGTGTTTTTTGTTTTTCATTTTCATCTCTTCTCGTAGAAATAATACCGGTCCTCCTGCTCGTCGCATGGAACGTTTTCTCGAGACGCAACGCAACAGCCGGACTGCTCGTCGACGTGGTGTGGAGGATGAAAACGGCAAAAAGATGAAAGCCGGGGGAAAATACTGCTCCTCGCCTCGACGAGCCTCGCCGTTTATCTTCGGCAGCTCGTTGGATTAGGAGTGGCGACATGATTGATTCTCGTGGTGACTTGATCTTTTTTGCGCTTGCTGTACAAAAGAACTTCTTCTATGTGAGATCACTCCTGAAGGTATCGTAATTTCTACTGAGGTGGGTGCGTTGTACTAGCGTTGTATCATCTTTGTCCTAGGGAACAAACGTCAGTCCACCTGTGATTGAAAGCAACAATTCGGTATACGATTTTGCGCTCTACAACTTCTTGTGTGCTCAGATGTTGATGAAAAACGCATCGTACATTTACACCAAGCTCGATTTTTTTGGTTGTGTAGGTACGATGAAGGTACTTAAAACAACGAAATCAAGGGGCACGACGAGCACGAAAGCAAGAAGAGCAAGATGCACGACGAGCACGACTTCTACAGGACGAGGAGCATAAGGACGAAATTTTTGCACTCTTATAAATGCATTACAAATTTCCTCAGCGTGAGAAATTTGTAATGCGGATTTACCTTGAGAAAAAAATTTGTAATGCATGACTGCAATACGAGCGCGATACTTTTGCACAGTATAGGTTTGCGAGATTCTCGCGAGCGGAACGGTGATCGGGCGCACCCGGGCCCGGCCGATATCCAGGAAAAAACAACCATCCCCATCCATTTTATGCATCACAAACACAAGACTTCATACATGGTTTGCATGACAAATTGGATGGGGATGGGTTTTTTTCTGTGGATAGCCGAACGAAGCCGACTTCAAAGACTATCCGATCATGGCCGCGGATGAAACCGTGGGCACGATCGGCGTGCTAATTTACGCTGTGAAGAAGGCCGACACCTCGCGGGCCTCCCAAGCCGTCGGGTCCCGGACGAGCCTCCGCACGTATCAGACTGTCAGGATTGAAATCGACAAAGGTGAAATAACTTGCAATGCATAGATGCGATACCACTTGGGACTGGGAGCCCAATTGTTCAGCGGTGCATGATAAATTTCGACGTCATTAAAATCCAGTTTGTCATGCTGTTTAGCGAAAGCAGGCATCCTTTATCATGCTAGTTTAGAAGCAGCCCTATCCCAAACCCGAAGCTACAGGTTCACAATCGGCCTCACTTGCTGCAATCCCTGCAAGACAGTCACTTCGTGCCGTGCATTTTATGCATCACAGATTGTTTCAACTTTGTCGATTTCAATACTAACACACCCATAGCACGCCGGTCGCGGGTGGCAGTTCCTCGTCGAAGGGACTGGTGCTGCGCGTGGACAAAGTCGCGGAGATACCAACGGCGGCGTTGAGCAAAAAGCAGGGCGCACTCAGCATATGGACGAGTTCTCAAATGTTACATTTCCAACTCTTACACGAATTTGTATTGCAAGAATCGCAAAAGTGAAAGTCAAAGAACGGAGGTCGTTGCACCTGTAGCATTGCAAATTCCGCATGGATAATTTCGGTGCTGTTTAGCCTTTCCAAAATTTGTCATGCGAAGTAGCTTGATCGTGGCGAAGATGTTGATAGTGATTCTGCATGACAAGAAATCGCGTAGCATTTGAGAATGTAACGCTTGAGAACGCCATACAGCATCCGGGCGGGATACGGGACCGATCCGCAGACCTTCAAGTTGAGGACGCAGGAACAGGTTTTTTTTTATACATATGACAAGTCTACTGCTTCTTTTTTAATTATGTATCGCTATTGGTTGTGTAGAAGATGTGACTGTAAGTGTAAACCCTTGTTCAGACGCTGCAAGTATAAAATAAATCACTTTTTTTAACAGAAACCCAAAGTGCCGGACGGGCAGAAGACGGCGCGGGCGATTTTCCAGCAGAGTGTCCAGCTGGGAGAGGTGAGCACGACTTCTACAGGACGAGGAGCATAAGGACGAAATTTCGCTTGGTTATATGGGGAGGTACCTCTTCAATATGGGGAGGGGGGATTTTTCCTTGCGATATCTTGTTCTTCATCTTCCCCGCCTGCGCTTCCACCTCGCGACCATGCTCATGGAGGTTATGGAAGGGCCAGGTGAGGATAAGCAGGACCACGACCAGGAGCACGTCGCTTCTTGTTTTCAATAAATAAAATCAACCCTTTGCTCGCCTCTTATGGCCTGCGAGTAACTGTCTGACATATACAGCTAAAGAATCCTGAGAGCAAGTCCTTTGCGAAAACTCCTGAGAGCTTAGGCACTACAACAAGACCAAACACCACCCGTTTTAGCGGTGAACGACCAAGTGTAGGGAGTCGCACAGTATGAGTGAGTCCGAAAACTCACTGCTGCTGCGCTTCAGATAAGCATCACACTACCTCCTCATCCGTGTGAGCAGATCAACCTCCAAAGAGCCGCCAGTGCTGAACAACCCGCCTCACGTGCTCAACCTGACGTCAAACCGGATCCAAGAACCACAGCGCTACCAGGGGTCTCGCTGACTCTCGAACCGCCGGAGCGGAAGGAGAGGTATACCGACGCCACCGGGGGCCACAGGAAAACACGGAGTTATGCCCTGCGCCGCCAGTTGCCACCGCCTAGGCTTGGAGCCTTGCCTTTTCTTTTCTTTTATATGAGTTTTCTCCTTTCCAGCCCGGCGGGTGCTGGAAGGTGGCGCGTTTTTCTTTCTTTTACTGTTTTGCGCTCTTGAGTTTTTTTTTTTTTATTCTTTGGTCCCAATCTTGGCACCTCAAAGAATCTTTTAGGAGGTTGCGCGATAAAAGGAAGAAAGTCACTGGGGGTTTTCATCTTTGCAAAAGATCCGCCGGCCTTGCCAGCCCTAGTCTGCCCATTGGCCAAACGGGAAAAAAAAAAAAAAAGAACAAGCCCCACTCTCCCCCCCCGATGGACTAGATTCTTGCTTTCCTCAGAGTGGTGAGGACAGAAAGAATACTTTATGGCAACTACGGAAGATCATCAGAAAGAAAAGTAAGAATCTCGCAAAAGAAAAAGACACCGATGGCATCTCTCAGGCAAGAGCAAGAGCTGGACTGCCTTTAATACCTGGCTTTCACCTAGGCATTACAGACATTCTAGCGGAACATCAAGAGCTGGAGAGCTACATCTAGAGCTTCAATACAAAATCAAGAAAACGGCTCCTGGTGTTCATTTTGTTCCATTGCAAAAAATCCCGCTGCAGGTTGTATCGTTCATTTTCATCTTTAGGTGTGGGTTATAATCAATGCTCTTTTGTAAGTACAACATCATCTGCTGTGTGATCAAATAGATCAAGATCAAGAGTCAAAAAAACAAGCGGTGCAAGACAAAAGAATTTGCGGAACCGCAAACAGTGTGCAAAATGTCTGGGTTGTTTCTTCCGACATGAGAGTTGAGTTTTCAATAAATAAAATCAAGTATAGTTTCTTTGCCACTCACACCTTTTCAACTTGTGATGGGGGTGTTGACCACTCGCACTCTTGCAGAGGACGGGGTCTACTACCTTTATTTTTTGTATATGCATACGACTCCAGTCCACATTTCGAAAATGCAAGAAGAGAAACATCTCCAACGACCCACAGATGACCCTTCCATACAGGTTCAGGCCGCGCCGAGGGTGCTGCAGCTGGTAGGCTTCGGCGAGACTGTTTTGGTTGTGAAACAAGTCCGCCAACACCGCAGCATGCGGCAACGTCTTCCACGTCAAAAGCTGCTGACGGCGCGACATCATCTTCACCATAGCTTAATATTACTTTGCTCCGGTTCTTGCGGTTTCTTTCTTGATGCGTTCCTGCCAAGACTGAAAGCCGCTTGATATTCTTTTTCGGACTCGAGTACAAAAGCAACTACACTGGGTGCCGTAGTTCTTTGGTGGATTATACAGACAAGATGTTGAAGGACGTGAAGATGCGGTAGTTTATTTCCGTAGTACAAGTTCGCTATTCTTGCGTTTTTCTAAAAGCTTCTAACTCTGTAGTTGCTTTGATGTGGGTTTAGGTTTAGCTTAAGCTTTAGTGCATGCGTATAATAACTGTCTTCTAAACTGGTGGAGTGGAGGTCAAGTGGTGGGGACGATGGGTTTTGTACATCGTCTGACTCTGACTACAATGGGACTGGTCTGATTCATATCTTTATCTTCAATGAAGATCATATAGTGGGGTAGTAACTACTTGCTCCACCGGCACTGTCTGCTGCAAGCAAATCTGTCATGCAAGACCAAAGGCACAGGCATTTATACGAGTACGATACTTGTTTTGCAATCCATAGGTCTGTTGTGGTCGCTATGTAGGGGGAGGAGGATGAAGCAGAACCGCCGCCAAGGTTCAACCCCATGCCCATGCCGCCATGCGGCTGCTGGGAGGTTGTGCTAGAGTTGTTGCTCATGCTGTAGGTGTTTCCCGGCCGGTTATTTTTAAAACGAGAGGATGAGGAGGAAGCTCCTGCACCGGTACTGCTGTTCGTCGTGGACTGCGAACTTACCGTTCTGGCCAAGAGCCCGGTGGAGATTACGTCAAAATCATCGACATCGTCGTCGAAGGTGAAGGAGGTGTCAAATGGATTATGATTTCCTGGTGGACTCGCCGTGGCCGCCGAGTTTCGGAGTTTGGATTTCGAATTGTGACGTCTAGCTGCATTTCTTTGTTGGTGTTGTGAAGAAGTTGAAGTAGAAGAAGACACTCCGGGAGGGGAAAAGTCGTCCATTCACCGACTTTTGAAGTGCAGTATTCAGCTCGTGGTCACTAGTCACAGCCACACCGGAGCAGCTAGAGAATCTGCTCGGTTGGTGAAAGTGGAGTTTCTTGGCGGACTACTTTGATGTGATTGGTGACCGCCCATTGGCGCATTCGCGCATCAGCAGGGCGAAACTCTAATAACGAGACCACAACTTCTACAGGACGAGGACCATAAGGACGAAATTTTTATTTTAAATTTAATTTTACTTGTTGCTTATGCTTGTTTAGTTGTACAACAAAAAGCACAAACAAGAGCGCGCTACTCACGCAGCGGAAGTAAACGGGAGACGAGTAAAAGCTCGTGCTTATAATTTTCTTAGAGTCAGCGAGGCTACTAGGGAATTTTTACCACGTTAGTGTTACAATCAAAATGGGGTATTTTTTTTGGAAAGCTAAGTAATCTTCGTACTTCTGCAGTTCCGGGTGGTGCCCGAGAGCATGCTGCATCCTGTTACACCTGGTAGGTGCGGGGGGGAGTTGGCGTTGGGGGGGTAACAAAACTAGAAATACAAAAAATGAAGGAAGAAAAATACGCTATAAGCCACCTCGACAGGCAAAAAAGCATACGTTGAGAGCAGGACACGGTGGGGTTCTCATGCTGGGGTTAAAATGGTTTGAAGTGAAAAAAATGGTTCTGTAAAGAGATAGAGTTTTTATTTTTGTACTTTGTAACGATGAAAGCAATAATATTTTTACGAAACGGAAAAGCCTCAAACGTGGTTTAGCTTTAGCATTCATGGAAAGAAGCACCGTGCTGAAAGGTGAAGATCATCCTTACAGAGAGACTGTTGCCGAAGCATCATGCTGATACTGTGATGTGAAATGAAACTTACATGTGAATGAGCATCCTACTCCTCGACTACAGAAATGAAAAAGAAAAAGTCCTGCTGGGCGGTCTACTGGGAACTTCAACTTTTTTTCATGTCGTAGTTGTCCTACATTTTTTACAATAGATCTGATAAAAAAATTTCAATTTTCAATCTTGCATGCCCTCCTAACAACACCCGGGCGGCGCCGTTGTCGCCGGCGCCTCAGTCGCAACAGCGCCGTCGTCTTTCGGAGTTAGCGACTCTTGCGCCTTTGGCTCCGCAGTGGTAATCAGCTCGCCGATGCTTGTCTCCGTGGCCTTGGTGAAGCTGTTTTTGAAAAACACGGTTTTGTGCGCCTTGCCAACCCACAGCATCAAACCCGGGTACTTGTCGGTAGCAAACAGCAACTCGAGCAGCTCCGGGGCGTGTATGGAGTTCTCAAATGTTATATTCGCAGCTCCTGTTACATGAATTTGTAATGCAAAAGCACTATGATCATCCTCACGATCAAGCTACTCCGCATGACAAATTTGCGGAGGGCTAAATAGCACTCTAATCCGTCCCAAATCTGTAATGCAAAAGGCGCAATCTTCCTCCTTTCACTTTTGCCCTTCTTGCATCACAAATTCATGTAACAGTTGAGAATGTAACGTTTGAGAGCGCCATAGCGTGCAGCTGAAAGTTGTCTTCGCCGTTTTCCGCGAGCAGGCCCTTCGGGTTGGTGAAAGTCAGGAAAAACAACTTGTCGCTGAGCACGGTCTTGGGCGAGCTGGGGTACTGGTTCTCGAAGCACACCACCCTATGCAATACAAATTTCCCGCACATGTACAAAATGCATGACAAATTTGTCTAACTTTGAGTGTCAAGAAACTTGTCATGCTGACTAAGATTGAAGGTCAGTTTTGTCATGCAGAGACAGCATTTGTACGTGTACGGGAAATTTACTGTGGATACACCGCCCAGGGAAACACCGAGTCCTTGAACAGCGCCGGCATGTTCTTCCCAAACCCCCCGGGCGCGGACACCAGCATAAACGGCTTATGGAAGCGTCAGGATCGAAATCGACAAAGTTCAAATGAGTTGTCATGCATAAAATGCGTACGAGTTGTAACCCAGTTTCGAAGTGGCGCATGAGAAATTTGGGTAGAGCCGAAATCCAGTTTGTCATGCTGTTTGCGTAAGGAAGACGCCTTTTGTCATGCTACTTTAGCAGCTCAGTTTCTAGCACCCCTCAACAGGCTTAATACAATCTGCCTCACTTGCCTACTCTGCAAGACAGGCACTTTGTGGGTTGCATTTTATGCATGACAAAGCATTTCAACTTTTTCGATTTCGATTCTGACACACTCATACGGCTGGTCCGCTGGGTACTCGTCCGGGTTGCTGTTGTCGTTTTTACCGGTCATCCACCGCGCGCAGTTGGTCAAGTCGTTCTTCTTCAAATTTTCGTCGGTCAGCGTGTCAATAGCCAGCAGGTCCCGCACCTCGTTGTTGTACAGAACCCCGCCCTTTTCGAAGCAGTAGGGCTCCTTTTTATCGGAAACCGGGTGGCTTTCCGCTTCCACGTCCTGGATCAGCGCCCGGGCTTCGATGCTCAGGGTCGCTTTCGTTTCGGAGAAGTAGTAGGGCCAGCGGCTGGGCACGATCAAATCTTCGGGCGTGCAGTCGGGCGAGGGCGGGTGCTTCACTTGGTCCACCATCGACAGGCCTGCGCCGCACCACTGCAGCCCGCCCGGCGCCTCGCGCGAGGCGAAAGCCTCTTCCCACCCTTCCTTGGAAGGTTTTTCCACGTTCAGGTAGACGGCCGGATTGCCAAAGCGGTCCCGGTCCGGCCCCGCCGGGCAGTCCACCCAGTCCGCGCTCTGCGCGGTGCCCGGCGAGAGAGCGTTATGCCTTGCAAATATGTCTGGGTCTGGAAGATTTTTGCCAGGTTTGTCATGCATATTTTGCATGGCCCCTGATGCCTGTGATGCATGGCCTAGCATGATCACAGATTTTCAGAGGCCTTCCCGATGCCTATTCCGCATGAGAAATGCACAACTCTCCTCGTAGCACAAACTGGATTCCCATTGCTGGTCACGCAATACAAATTTTTTCTAGAATCCACAGACAGCATCACAAGTTTGCATCCTTCCAGACCCAGATCGATATTTGCATTTGATACGCGTTTTTCACGTACAAAGTGGTCGCACCCTTGCCCACCCACAGCACCATGGGGGCGTAGGAAGGCGGAAATCCCGCGTCGGCGGGAGGAGGAGGGTCAGTTTGTTCTTCCCCTGCTTCTTGTCCGTCAGTTGTTGAAGATCCTGCCACCACTGCTTGTTCCTCTTCCTCATTAGAAGTAGAAGTACTACTACTACTCCACGTGAGCAGCCGGTACAACTTCTCTGCCTCCTCGCCGTCGTCTTCCGCAGCCCGAAAGTTGTAGTTGTTCGTCGTGGAAACGAACGTGGTTTTCGGGTACTCCGAGGTGAAAAACATTTTGGATTTCTTCCAAATTTCCGTAAACACCTCCACTGGGGTGATCACCCAGTGCGGCTTAAACGGGCTCTTGTTTTCGAAGCAAACCACTGCCCACGGCGTTTCGTACTTCCGGATCTTGTCAAACTCGGAGGGGACAACCCCGCCCCCGTCCTCCTCTTCCTCGGGGAGGTCGTTCTCAAGGTCAACATTCTCGTCGCCCGCGGTAGAATTTGATGTTCCGTGGCCGGCATGTTGAAACCCCCCCGCCTTGGCCATGTTCTTGCCGCAATCCGCCCAGGATGCCTGCGGAATGTCTTCGTTCTCGTACTTGCCGCAGTGCTATGAGAGTGCACAGCTCCCCCTTTATTCCCTCATTTGAAAGGCATAAGCAGCAACACAAGTGCTGGCATACATGCAGCTTTTGCATGACAAATTCACGACCGATTCTAGTGCTGTTTCGACTTCCGAAATCTGTCATGCAACTAGTGCCAAAGAGAAAAGCGCGGATTTGGTGTTTTGCATGACAAATGAGGGGCCGCAGGGGGAGTTGTTGTGCATTGTCATAGGTGCTCCATGAAATGTCCGCAATTTTCGAAGCGGTTTGCCTTCAGGTTGGCGTCCGTGAGGTCCTCCAGATGAAGCAGCCCGGTTTTCACCTATGAATGTGCACAACTCCCCCTCCCCCTCATTTGTATTGCATGAACAGCAATACAAACACCACCGCACATGGAGCCTTTGCATGACAAATTCATGCGCCTAGTGTGGTACTGTTTGGGCTTCCGGAATCTGTCATGCAAACAGTACCACGCAGCAGCGCTTGGATTTGGTATTTTGCATGACAAATGAGGGAGACGAGGGGGGGCTGTGCAGTTTCATATCACTTCGCCGTCATACAAAATCCCCCCCTGCTCGAAGCAGTACGTCTTGCCGGGGCCGGTTTTCTTTTCCAGGGTCTGCAGCTTTCCGCTAGCGTCCGGGTAATGGATTTCATCGTACAAATAATCCGGCCAGTAGCTGTGCTGCGCCGACGGGTTGAAGGTAGCCACGTCCTCTTCGGTGCAGAAGGTCAGCTATCCCGTGCAAAAGTATCGTAGTAATTGCATTCATGCATTACAAATTTTTTTCTTAGGGTAAATTCGCATGACAAATTTCATTTCTCATGCTGGGGAAATTTGTAATGCATTTACACGAGTGCGATACTTTTGCAATGCATATCAGCCCTTTTCTGGCAACCCCGCTGGTCAAGAGATTTAGAAACGCGGTTTTGTCGATGACTTTCGTCGGTTTTTCCTGGTTGAGAAACACCTGCTCGTTCCGGTTTACAGTGGTAGTAGACGTCGTCGTGGTGCTCGTCGTGCTACTCACACACACGACGCTGTCCGGCTCGAGGACATACCCGGGATTGCACTTGTCGGCCTCGCACCCCGGCTCCCCGTTCTTGGGGCAGGGCCACCCGATTAGGTCGGCGCCAAACGCACAGTCGCAGTGGTTCAGTTGGCAAACCTTGTTCGTGTTTCCCGGGTCATTGGGCTCTGTGATCTCGTGCATCAAAGGGAAAAATCCCCCCTCCCCATATCAAAACGAAATTTCTGATGCTGGAACTGCGTACACAAATGAGATCTGTCTTGCTGTAAGGAATTGTGGCCAGATTCTCAGGCTGTTTAGGAGCGCACGAGTCTAGCTGTATAGCATAGGAAACGCCTGCCCTGTAGGCCAACCAGCATGACAAATCGCACCCATAATGCGGCTCATCCCTCAGCGCTTGCCTTCTTGCAAGACAAAAATGATTTGTGACCACAAATCTGCATCACAAATTTTCCCAAGGATGCCTTTTCAATAATGGGGAGGGGGGATTTTTCCTTGCGATATCGTGCGAGCCCTGGTCACACTGGCCCGGCTCGCACCCGGGGGTGGACAAATTTTCCGGGCAAAACTCCGCGCTCTGCAGCGGCACGCCGTTGAAGCACTTGCAGTAGTTGGCCACGCACTCCTTCGAGGCCACCTCCTTGTGCGTGCCGGGCTCTTCGCAGGTGTTCTCGACGCAAATGGCATTTCCATCGGGCACCCCTTCAATCTTGTAGCCCTTGTGGCAGAACTTACTTTCAGGCCAGCACCCAGGCGTGACCCCGTGCTCCGGGCACAGGGCACTGTGCTCTAATGGTAATCCGAACTCGCAGTAGCACTGGTTGAGCGCGCACAGCAGCACTTCTGGCGTTTCGCCGTTGTCATCAACCACCGTCGAGTTCTTCGTTGCCGCTTCGTCCACCAGGCTGCGAAATCCCGACCAGCAACCGCCGTTCTTGCAGCCAGGCGTGACGCCGTCCTCGGGGCAGCGGGTCGCCGACTGCAGGGGCTCGCCGTAGCTGCAGCGGCAGTGGTTTTCCACACACTCTGACTGCCTGGTCTCCTCGTTCACTTGGGACTTCCAGCCGGGGCCGTAGCCTTCGCTCGCCAGATTCACACAATCAAGCGGCGGGGGCGGTGTCGTGGTGTGGATCAGCGTGTAGGCCGCGGCGATGCGGGCGACGTCGGCGCTGGGCGGCGCCGGGATCGCGGCGTCGTCCTCGTGTACCAGCATGGACCGCAGCAGCTGTTTCATGAAGGTCCAGGTGTGGCGGCAATTTTTCTCAGGATCGTTTACGACGTAGCCATCCAGCAGTGTCTCACAGTCGTAGAACTTGTAGTAGTAATCGTCGTTTTCCACCACGTCGAAAGCCAAATCTGTTTCCGCTTTCTCCCGCAGGTTCTGCAAATCCAGCCGCCACTCCAGCCAAAACCGCCAGGAGTTCGCGCGCTGGTACCGGTGAAACCCCTGCGCGTTAGCGCGCTGCCGAGCTTCGATCTTGGTGCTGTAGAAGCGGGCCGCAGAGCCGAATTCGCAGAAATGTTCTTCAAAAAACCACTCTTTGGACGCGTATTTCAGCCGACAACCGTCGGCACTCTGAACCTCCGCGGAAGCCTCGTACGCTTCGCGGACGGCTGCGTTCTGATTCCCGTGTGACAAGGAGAGGCACCGGCTATCAACTGCAAATATGTCTGAGTCTGGAAGATTTCTAGATATGTCATGCATATTTTCCATGACCCATGATGACTGTGATGCTGGCCGTAGCATCACAGATTTTTAGAGCGCTTTGTCTTTGTGATACTGATACCTCTACCGCATGAGAAATGCCGTCTCCGCGTAGCACAAACTGGAGTCTTCTTGCTGGTCATGCAATGGAAATTTTAATTTTTTAGAATCGAGAGACAGCATTACAAGTTTAGAATGTTCCAGACCCAGACATATATTGCATTTGATACCGGTCCCCGCGGTCCAAGGTGAGATGCACCTGGAACCGGCGGAAAACGTGCTCGTGCAGGTAGTTGGTAACCACATAGTCACCACTTCTGTCGGTGTCTTTCAGGTAGTTATCAATCGAATCGGTGTCCGCATCACTGATCTTGGCCTCGACCTTTTGCATGAAGGGCGGGAACGCGGGGAGGGCTTGGCCAGCTTGGTCCCCGTCAGTGTCCTTTACCACGGGGCGCAGGACCTCTTCGAGGGTCTCGATGTGAATGGGGGTGACAGGGACGACGCGATCGGGCAGCGCGAGGCTGTATCAAATGTAAAAATGTCTGGGTCTGGAAGAATGCAACTTGTGATGCTGCGTTTCGATGTCTAAAAAATCTGTGTTGCATGAGCAGCAAAAGGAATCTAATTTTTGCTACGCGGAGAGGGCATTTGTCATGCGGAATGGGCATCAAGAATCCCTCAAAAAACCTGTGACGCTAGGGAATGCATTGCAGGCATCATGGGTCATGAGAAATATGCATGACAAATCTTGCATTCTTCCAGACCCAGACATTTTTGCATTTGATACCCACAGGGGGGCTTGCGGCTCCGCGGGGGTGTTCGTTGGCAGCCAGTGGTTGAATCCTGTGTCGAACTCGATCCCGAGCGCGGGCGGGTAGGCAGCTTCCTGCGCAGCACCTTCGTGGTTCACCAACATCGGGTAGAAGTCGCTCCTGGAACCGTAGCCCATCTGGCTGGTGCAATCGTCTAGCTCGGGTGGCAGAACAACATGGGTTTTCCAATGGTCCTCGCTGGAAATCCACTGGCCCTCCGAAGGCTTGTCGCACGTCGCCTTTAGGGCGTCCGTTCCGCTATCAACTGTAAAAGTGTCTGGGTCTGGAACATGCTGACACTTGTCATGCACGTTTTGCATGAGCCTTGATGTCTGTGATGCATGCCCTAGCATCACAGATTTATATTTTTTCAGAGCTTCTTGATGCCTATTCCGCATGACAAATGCCCGCTCCGCGTAGCAAAAATTACATTCCTTTTGGTACTCACGCAATACAGATTTTTCTGGAATCCAAATGCAGCATGACAAGTTGCATTCTTCCAGACCCAGACATTTTTACATTTGATATCCGCGGCAGTTGGACGTTTTCCACTCCCCGTTCGGGCGGTAGCGGTCGAGGTAGCCGTAGGTGTCGCACTGGCCAAGCAAGACCTGATATCAAATGTAAAAATGTCTGGGTCTGGAAGATTGCAACTTGTCATGCTAAATCTGCAGCATGCAAAAATCTGTGTTGCATGATTACCAAAAGTCGTCCAGTTTTGACCAAGTTGGGAGGTAGTTTCTCATGCAGGATAGGCATTAGAAAGGTCTCGCAGAACCTGTCATGCTAGGTCCTGCATTCCAGACCTCATGGGTCATGGAAAAGCAGCATGGCAAATCGCGCATTCTTCCAGACCCAGACATTTTTACATTTGATACCTGAGCCCGGTACTTGTTGAAAAACTCCACGGGAATGTTGCTCACCAGCATCCATCGCTGCAGGAAGTCGCAGCCTTTTCCGCGGCCCGTCAGGACCAGCTGCTTCTCTACGCGCCCCAGAAGCCGGCCAATCAGGACGTCGAAAACCTCAAAGGCGGTCTGTCCTATGGCGTTCTCAAATGTTACATCCTCAACTGCAAGGATACATGGTTTGTAATGCAAAATCACTATCAGAATCGACACGGTCAAGCCGCTTCGCATGGCAAATCCCCGAAGAGCCAAACAGGCCGAGAATCTTTGCCAGATCTGTCATACAAGACGCGCAAGGTGACCCCTTTCACTTTTGCCAGTCTTGCATCACAAATCCATGCAACAGTTGAGAATGTGACATTTGAGAACGCCATATGTCCTGAACTGGACTTGACGTGTCCCTTCAGGGCTTCGGCGTTGGACGTGTCGGCATTTCCCTCAGCGCCCGCCCACTTAAATTGCGAGGTGTCAACCACGTCGGCGGCAGCCGCAAAAAAGGGGACGAGCACGTGAAATCGTTGATACTGCTCCTCCTTCCCGTCCACTAACTCTCCGTCTTCCGTTTGCCCGTTGAGGTCCTCGAACTCAGTCGCAAATTCGCTGCACAGGTCCTCAGTTCTTGGCTTCACGTTGTCGCTGTACAGGCTTGGAACCACGACCAGAAGCCGCCCGATCGGCCCGCCCTCGTCGCGGAAGCCCACTTGATCATCAATATACCGGCTCACCGTGCGGTTCCAGTAGAGACTCTGCTCCGATTCGGGAGAGAGGAGGCCCTGATCAACGGTTGCGTAAGCCTGGATCTCCTGCGGGGCCTGGGGGACGAACTTACCCACGGTTCGCTCGCACTTCACGTTGTACTTGTAGTGCCACTGCAGTTTTTGTTTCTCCTTCAGCTTCTGCTGCTGTTCTAGGAAGGTCGTCGCGCTACTGGTACGGTCCTGGTCGTTCTCGTGGTCATATTTCGTGCCGTTCGTCATAATTTCCTCTACTCCGTTGAATATCTGACGGTCGCCGAGAGTGATCGGTCGGTGTCCTCGTGTGCTATTGCTCGGAAGAGCTGTGGCCGCGCCGCTCACTTCGTCAAGAAGCAGTAGAGAGTTGTGACCTACGTCCTCACTTGAAAGCAAGTTCCTCGAGTTCTGGTGCTGTCCCCTTGTTTTCGCGTGTAGTTTCAAGAGACTTTTAGAAGTAGTTGTACTCGTCCGCTGGAGTAAAGAACCTCCTGCTCCTCCTGCTCCGCGACCTGAAATTTTAATGCTTTTCCGTGAAGTGGTCTCGGATGTGTCCTCGTCTTCTTGCGCGACGAAATGCTTACTCTTCGTGGTCTTGCTTCGGAACGATGCTGCCGAACTCGCCGTGGTTCCTCCAGAAGTACTCTTCTGCAAAACTTTTTGATGGGTACTTGCAGGCGTAGTTTTCATTCCGGAGGTGGAAATTTTCTTTTTATCCATCACCTGCATCGCGGACACCAGCACGCCGGCGTTCCCCAAGATCAAGCTGATGCTGATGCTGTCAGCAGATGACTTCCATGTTGTAGTAGAAGTCGCCAGCAGTAGAGAAACCCGCACTAGGTGCTGTAGTTTCAGCTGCGTGCCGCGAACGGCGCTTCGACAGCACGTGGAGGTGCTGAGAGTAGTCGACATGGTTTTCGTTTTTGTTCTTTGCAATTGACTCAGTCGGGGTGGTGGAAGAACAAGAAACATGTAAGTAATTGAAACAGAACAAAAAACTCGTTGTGAAAGTGAAAAATTGGGTACCTGCTCCTAGTGGAGGTTACTATAGTAGACCTGTAGTAGAAGGGAATTTTCAACTGATTGACCAAAAAGTGAGGCAATCAGCACGAGCGCGTTGGAACGATTGGTAGAATTTCAACGACAGTTCTTGGCAACTTCTGTGCCTCTGCAAGAACCAAACAAAGAAACGAAGACCTGTTTAAGTATTTTATGACAGAACCACGACAAGCATTTCGTGCGACACTACTTGCACGAAGCTTTTTTGTTTCTTTGGTCATTTTGCTTTGAACGAAGATGAAGACGAGCAGGGCTGTATTGAATGAAAACAAGATGAGAAGCCTGGCGGCTTTTCCGTGACGGGTTGTTGCACGAAGGAAAAGGACGACAAACGTATGGCGAAGGACGACATGACGACTTTCATTTTTTACCATGTACTAACATAACACTTTCATTTCATTCTAACACACGATTCCTGATCGCTGCAATGACTTGGAACACATCAGTAGAACCGCACCTAAATTCAATTTAGAAATTGTCATGTCGCTTCTCAGAGTGAAAATTGTTTGTTCTCAAACATTCTCCACAACTCGTCGCTGTTATTCATTCACTTGCGTGACCCTTCCACAATCGAGACACTCGTAGCGAATGTAATCGCGGGCCATTTTGCCCGCTGGAACTTTCCCGAAGGTCCGCAAACAGCGGCCCACGCCGCAGGCCGGACAGGGGACGGTATCTTCGTAGTTGATTTTCTTTTTCGGCGAATCGTTTCCAAATAGCCCTTTCGATGCCTGTTCCAGCGCGACTTCCGGATTCTCCTCCAGCAGAAGGTATTCCAACGGGATTTCTCTGCCGAGAATCCTGTTTCGAAGGTCGTCTAGCGGTAATTTGTGCCAGCTGAGTTTCTGCTCCGTGCTGAAGGTCGATGGAGGGGGGGCGGAGCGCGTCGTTGAAGAGGTTCTTGTCGGGGCTAGGTTCGTCGCGTCATGATGATTTAGCGCAGGTTGTAGAGCTATGTTTTTAGCATCATGATCGCCCGCCCGACCAGTTGTATCTTTCGCCTCGTCGCTCTTCTTTGCCACCGAACTTGAGCTTGATGAGGGGGACGAGGAGGAGGAAAAAGACGAAGAGGCAACACTAACTGTTGGATTTTTCGAATTTGCAGTTGACAACACCGCCGAGAGCTTGTTTATTCCATCCTCCTTGCCTCCTGCTCCTGCCGTTACTGATGTCACACAAGAAGTACTACTAGAGCTGGCATTTTTGCCGCTACTCGACGATGCGGCTTCTGCGCTGGCTCCGATTCTGATTTCATCTCCAACTACAACTGCCGACGATGAAGCAGACCCCGAGCAAGGTCCCCGCGGTGGCGGGGGAGGTAGTGGTATCGCTACCCCTGCTGTTACCGGTACAACCGGAAGCGCGCCGCTTGCAGTAGTACTACTTCCACTAGAAGCTGATCTTCCCCCCGTCGGCACCCCCGTGAGGACTGCTGGAAGAGCCTGAAACCTCTTCACAATTCGCAGCACCGCCGCCTTCCTTGACGCAGCCGTCTTGCACTTCCGCTCCAGAAGCTCCACGAGCTCTTCCACGACGGGTTTCTTGATTGTTTCGAGATCGTCTTGCTGGCCCGCAAAAGCATCTTGTTGAGTCTGCGCAGTAGAAGATGTTGAACCAAATATCGTTTTCAGTTTTTCGATCCACGCGTCCGGCAGTTTTCCCCCGTCGTGCTGAATACTGACGGCGTTGTTTTTTCGTACGTTTTTCCCGCTTTTTTGCAATCGCTGCTCCAGGGAGGAGGGCTTCTTCTTGTTCGGGCCGGATTTGGCTTTGCTCGTCTTGCTCTTGGGCGGCATGATTGATGTTGAGGTCGTCGCTGTTCCTACGTGCAAGGTACAACCGGTCGTGCTATAGATCGACAATTCATTAGAAGTTTTAATCATTTCTGAATGAAAACTACTTCTACCCTCGCAAGTTGTAATGTACTCAGATTTTCTTGATTTCACAAAGAACGTAATGCGGCCTGGTGGCAATGGACATACTTTATAAATATTCAAAGAAGCACAAATACGAATAGTTGAACGTGATCGAGGATACCTCCAGCTTCACCACGACCGCAGCAATGCGGTAAAAGGGCCACGATGCTTTTTCTCAGATCGCACGACTTACATCAACGCTCGCCCAGCATCGAAGACGACTCAACGACAACTTCATCTGGGCATAAAAATATTTGGCGATCCTCCAGCTTCTAATTCGATCGCCTCTAAGTGCTAGAGGTCGCGGATCTTGCTCTTAGAAAAAGCTTCACAGACCCCTGCTGCTGCCCACTTTCGGTAAAAACCTGCCAAATGAGACCCGGCTTATCTGATAAATAGAGAAACAGGAAGGCGCTGTTGCTGATGATCTTTGAATTGACGTATATACAGTGTGACAGGAAACAAAGCCGCGACCTTCGAATCGATTTGTCAATGGCGAAGTTGTCAACAAACCGAGAGCAGGACAAGCTCAAAATAATTCGGGGCATTAACAGAAACATTTTTTTCGCTGCTGCTTTTTTGGATCATAATCAACGTCAAAGGTGTGGTGCTGTCGTAGATTGAATCAGAAAGAAAGGCTGTTGCTGTGTACTAAAGAAACTAGGCTGTGGAAATGGTATTGGTAAAAGATACAGGCATAATATCTGCTAATCGTCAAGTAGAAGAAGGTGAAGAAGGTGTAGCAAAGCGTAAAAGCTACTTGTACTTCCACCACCAGTTAAAGCTGCGGCTACATTGTTTTTGCTCCTCTGTCTACAAGTAGATAGCGAGCGTATGTGTTGGTATCAAGTGGAAGGAGCCGGCAGTAGTTACAGTGAAGATGCGACTAAGAATCTCGTTTATTCTAACTATAATAAAATTGTTTGAAAGATTGTGATTTTCCCAAACAAGCACGAACCGTGTTCACACGGTCCGCTTAATGCAGACCGCGTCCATCTTCCTCGTAAATTCCCCCTTCACCCGCGGAATACGGTTCGTTTCCAGCCCGACCGTTGGATCTGCCTTCCCCATTTCCTTCTTGTAGATGCTCGTGTAGGGGTTTTTGTCGTAGTTCCACCCGTTTTTGGTTTTCTCCGCGATGACCGAGTGTAAGTCTTTTGATACCTGATAGAGTTTGTGATGCGTGGTGCGGCGCACATCATTGAAATTCATTTTCATACCATCGCGAAATAAAATGCCATGGTTGTGATGCACAAGTACAGGAGGTGCGCATCACCACGACAAGCACATTAACGGAACCAAAATTTTCATACTTCGATCGGGTGCGATCCCTCGTAGAATTTTTCTACGGTCAGATTTGTCTTCACACCGTCGACACTCGCGACCGCTGGGGCCTGGTAGAAATACTGCGTTGAGGTGATGCATATGCCTTGCAAAAGTATCGTAATCGTACTGCTTGCAACTGTGCAACATGACAAATGTTGTCCTTCCGGTAAAACAGCATGACAAAGTCTAGTTCTCATGCTGAGAACATTTGTATATGCATTTATACGAGTACGATACTTTTGCAGAGAATAATGTAGGCCTTCTGCTTCAGGCCCTTTGTCGTGCTCATGTCCCCGCTGTGCCCGAAGAGCAGGTTTGCGTCCATGCCATTGTAGCGGATCAGGGGCTCCTTCTCCAGCTCGCGCAAAATCTCCCTATGCACTGCAAAAGCATCGCACTCGTAGCACTTATCGTAGCCATGCATTACAAGTCTCTGTCTTGAGGTACATCCGCATTACATATTCCATTTTTCATCATCCTGAGGAAATTTGTCATGCGATTTCTACTAACACGATACTTTTGCAATTCATACTCCTCCTCCGCAGACGAGACGTTCCCCGACGCCGGGGCCGTGGTGGTCTTGGAACCCCCGGTTTTGGCCTGCATGCTCTGCGCAAACTCCCTTGGGTCGCGGAAGGCGGACTGGGCGATGGAAGTTGGCGTGGGATAGGTCATCTTGCCCTTTGCAACCAGCTCCTTGCCAAACTGATCCTCATTGAAATTGTGGATCAGCACGCCCGGCCGGAAATCCGTCATGGTTTCAGATTTTTTCAATGAAGAACCGAAAAAAAAAACTACAACGATGTGGGGATCAGATCACATTTTTAGTGCCACCTCGCTCTGCTCGCACAAGGAGAGGTGGAAAACGAGAAAATTTCCGTTAGTGTAGTCTTCGTGTAGGAGGTACAACGTAGAGAGCACTCATGCTACTCGATTTCGACGAAGTAGCCGACGTGGTTCTTCATAATTTTCAGTCCTCACGTTCGATTGCGTTCCCCCCTCCCAAAGTTGAAACAACGACGTAATCCTAAAAATCCTACGACCCACGTCTTGCACTTATTCAATAACGTCAACAACTTCGTCTCATCTTCTTCATCCTACAACGACACCGATCATACTTACTACACGTACACAGAGGGCAAGGCCGGCCTACTACGCAAAAATCTCTCGACGAGAACCCAGAAGCAGAAACCCAGCTCAAAAATCTGTTAGTCTTAGTTTCTACTGCGATGACTTAAACTTCACCGACGGAGACGAAACAAGGCAGGGTATTACTGGACAACATGAGTACTACGAAGATACACCCAAACCAGAACAGCAGTTCTCCAAGCGTTTCTACTTTGACGCAGTGCAGCGCCTGGCCTTCGCGTTTGATTCAGTTTGATTTTTCGAAGTTCTGCAAATTTTTTTGTCGCTACTAGCTGCTTTAGTTTCCAATCGGATGGAAAGCAAAATCAATCCCGGATGGGGCTCCCATAGGTGTGATTGATCTTGGACGAGGAGGTCGTCGTGTAGTGTTGTTGCTGGGTAATTATATTTTTACCAGCGGAAGTGGATGTTGACCCTGCCGTGGCGTAACTACTGCTGTAGTCATGGTCCATATTAACACCGCCGGCCGGGGATACGACATCCGCTAAGGACGTTCTGTTCTCAAACCCTCCTGGATCGAGACTTTTCGAGCCACCCGCCGCAGAACTGCTATCAAAGTGGATGAAGTCGTCTCTTATCGTGAAGTACGTCAGGAAGTTCACAAACGCACACAGCAAGAAGCAGTCCAACGCCCTCCCGATCGCGACGTCCTTCCCGAGAACCTGCATGTAGTGGGCAACAATGATGGGCGCAAACCCCTTGCCCAAGTCGTCCGTCAACGTCACCAAGCCGCACACCGTGCCCCGGATCTGGCTGCCGTTGCAGTTTAGCAGTAAACCTTTCACCGTCGGCCCTGTGATCGCACCGAAACCCGCGAAAATTGCGAGAACGTAGATTAACAACTGCGTGGTCGTGTAGGCGGCGTTATTACTAGATGTTTCTCCGTTCTGTTTCCGATCGGTTAAGGAAACTAGAAACAGGATTCCGCGGAGGCAAAACCAGACGATGACCGCTGGAACGGAGGAAAGCAAAGCGAGGTTCCTCGGGTTGAATTTCGAGAAGTAGTTCGCGAGCCAGGACGAGAGAATGACCAGGACCATGCCAGACGCCTATGCATTGCAAAAGTATCGTACGGTACTAGTTGTAATCGCATTACAAATTGGCTCAGCATGACAAATGGAATTTGTCATGCTTTTTTGCCTTGGGATGGAGTTTTGTAAATGCATGACTGCGATTGCTACGAGTACGATACTTTTGCACAGGATAACACCATGAAGATCCCGATCACGTAGGTGGCTGATTTTAGTGGGTAGTTCAAATCGTGGTGCATGTAATCCAACACGTACACCTGTACCGTCGCCCAGGGCACGCACCCGGGGATGGACTGGAGCAGGCACAGGCTTGTCGTGGGGTTATTCGTTACGCCTCGGTAGAGTCGCTTGTGCAACTCCAGCTTCTTCCATTCTTCTTTCAGCTTGTTCGCTTGGCGTTGCTGGGAGGAAGGGGTGGAGGGTGGAACTATTGCATGATTTAGTCCCGCTGCTGCGTTGCTGGGAGATGTTGTTCCTGCTGTATGGTTGTGCTGATGGCGCCCGGACATGATGGGGGAGTGGTCCAGATTATCCATCTCGCCGGGGAAAGCGTTTTCAATGTCCGTATTACTGCCGGAGTTCGGGTATTGATGCGCGCCATTTGATGTTCCTGCACTGTGCTGTCGATTAGAAGTACCACCTCCGGCGCCCATGTCATCTCCCACAATCTCCGACGACCTAGATCGCTGCTTCGATGCGCTTCGGGAGAGTCTGGGTCTTTCCCGTTTCGGCTCTATCACCGACAAAACTGCGAAGACCGAGATCACCAAAGACGGCAACGCGATGAGAAAGAAGACGAAGCGCCACCCAGTTTGCGTCCCGATGATGCCGGAAAGGAAGGTGCCGATGCCAATCCCCGCGGCGGTTCCGGAGGCGACGAGGGTGCCGATGAAGGCTTTCCAGGAGGGCGGGAAAATGTCGGCGAGGACAGAGTAGATGATAGGGTAGGAACCGCCGACCTGTGAAAGCGTAGATCATGCTAATGTATGATTACAACTACAGGAGAAATGAAACAGCAGCTGTTCCTACTCCTGGGTAGCTTGTTGCACCTAATGACGTGAAGGCTAAGTAGGCAAAGTATCTTTTAAACCAATACCAATCAATCTATACACTGATCCCCGTCAAAATCCTCTGCGTCATGAAACAGTAGAAGCCAAACAGCCCGTTGGGAATGAAGATGGTCAACAGGCACGGTAAAGAGCCTACCCAAATGACCAGCACCAGTAATCGCACTCGCGGGTACACGTCGGCCATGGGGCCGATGAGCAAGGTTGCCAGCCCGCCGAGGATGAAGAACCCAAATTGCGCCTCACCACCCAGTTGCTGCAATTTCCGGTGGTCCACGCAACTGTCCTGCTGTTTTGTGTATCCTGTGCAAGAATATCGCACTCGTACTCGTAGTAATCGCAGTCATGCATTACAAATCTTTGCCCCAAGGTGAAACAGCATGACAAATTCCATTTGCCATGCTGAGCTAATTCGTAATGCGATTACCTCTACTAGTACGATGCTCCTTTTGCAATCCATATTGTGTCGTCCGGAAATTCCGCTTGGCACGTTTCCCGGAAAAAATCGTCCGCAATGTCGGACAAGTGCGGGCTGGCGAGGTTCTGATCCGCAGAAAGGAGAACGACGGAGAGGGTCAGCAACCCCGCGGAAAACCGCATGTACTTCGGGTTTCTGCGGTAAACGGAGTCGTCGGGGGAATCGTCGTCATTTGCTAGTTGTAGTGGTCCCCCACCTCCCGGACTTCTGTAGTCATCAACCGGCGTGGTTTGCATCAGCCGGCTCATCTGGCTATCAAATGCAAAAGTGTCTGGGTCTGGAAGGTTGGTTGGAACTTGTGATGCTAACTTTGGACTCTAAAAAAAAAAGTATTGCATGAGGACCAGCAAGAGGAGTCTAGTTTGTGCTACACGGGACGAGGGCGTTTGTCATGCGAAGTAGGCATCAGGAAGGCTTCTAAAAGTGTGTGATGGTAGGGCCTGCATCACACACAATCCTGGGCAATGCAAAACATGCATGACAAGTCTCAGAATCTTCCAGACCCAGACACTTTTGCATTCGATACTGGCTCTGCGTGTGGCTGTCATCGGAATACTGCAGCATCGACAGCATGTATCGCAAGAAAAAACTGCTTCCCTGTGAACTTGTGATGCAGAAAATGTATCTCACAGGTGTTTGTCTTGCTACACATGCAAGACAGTGGCTTTGTGCTGTGTTTTCCCTTCGGAGCGCTGCATGGCAAATTTTCTCTGCCATGTAGAACAAACAAACTTGTGATGCAAAACCTGCAAAATCCTTACAGTGAAACACTTTTTTCGTACGATAGCATGCCATTGGTCGGGGTGGACGCGCCGTGGAGGACGTTGGGGTCTGTTGTGGTTGCGATGTAGGGGGAAGATGAGGAAGCGGAACTACCGCCGCCAAGGTTCAACCCCATGCCCATGCCGCCGTGCGGCTGCTGAGAGGTTGTGCTAGAGTTGTTGCTCATGCTGTAGGTGTCTCTAGGCCGGTTATTTTTAAAACGAGAGAATGAGGAGGAAGCTCCTGCACCGGTACTGCTATTCGTCGTGGAAAGTGAGCTTACCGTCCTGGCTAAGAGACCGGTCGAGATCACGTCGAAATCATCGACATCGTCGTCGAAGGTGAAGGAGGTGTTAAATGGGTTATGATTTGTTCCTGATGGACTTGCCGTGGCCGCCGAGTTTCGGAGTTTGGACTTCGAATTGTGACGTCTAGCTGCATTTTTTTGTTGGTGTTGTGTTGAAGAAGTCGAAGTAGAAGAAGACACTCCGGGAGGGGAAAAGTCGTCCATTCACCGACTTTTGAAGTTCCGTATTCGGCTCGTCACCAGTAGCAGGCACGGCAGGAGCAGCTAGAGAATCTGCTCGGCTGGTGAAAGTGCAGCTTGGCGGACTACTTTGTGATTGCGATTGGGACCGCCGGTCGGCGCACGCATTCGCAGTTCACGTCGTACACGTTACACCTTCACCTATGGCATAATTATAATAATACAAAATCTGGTCCGGGCCTCCGTATAAATATAATCTATAGGAGGCCTCTACTAAAATAATTCTAAACGAATGTGCTTAGAAGGTCTCGTCTAGAAGCTTCGTGTAACAGATTCAACGCTTCCCCTGTATCTCTACGCCATACCGTCGCGCAGAATGTTACGCTGCACGCCCTGGCGAGCAGCAGAACAAAGCCGCGCATCAACTTCAGTGCGATTCTGATACAGAAAGCGTCGACAAGCTCGACTGCCCCTGTTTTCACGCCCGAAAACAGGGATCAACTCCTCGGCCATCACTTTCCGGCATGGCAAAAGTGATGGCAAAAAGCTTCCTGGCCATCCCTTTGCCTTCGCTCGGGCAAAAGTGATGGCCGGGAGCTCCTTGGCCATCACTTTTTGCCCTTGCTTTTCGCTCGGGCAAAAGTGGTGGCCAGAAGCTCCTCGGCCATCACTTTTTACTCGGGCATGGGGCACGGGCTCCTTGGCCGTCACTTTCGTTCCGGCCGGGCCAAAGTGGTGGCCAAGAGCGCCTCCTGGGTGGGCCATCGTTTCCGGTCGCCGGGCAAAGCGATGGCCCAGGGGTCCTTGGCCATCACTTCGCGGACGGGCGGCGCAAAAGTGACGGCCGCGAGCCCCTTGACCATCATTTTTGGCCATCACTTTGCCGGTCGGGTCCAGCAAAAGTAATAGGCAGGCGCTCCTCCTGGGCCACCATTTTCCGGCCCGCCGGGCCAAAGCGATGGCCAAAAGCCTCCCCTGGGCCATCACTTCCCGATCGGGCAAATGTGATGGCTGGCCAAGAGTTCCATGGCCATCAATTTTCGCTCGCTCAGGCAAAATTGGTGGCCAAGAAGAGCTCCTTGGATGGGCGCCGCTTTTGGACATCACTCTCCGGTCGGGCAAAAGTAACGGCAGGGAGACCCTTGGCCATCAATTTCCCTTCGGGCAACCAAAAGTGACGGCGCGGCCAGGAGCCCCTTGGCCGCCACTTTTCTTTCGGGCAAAAGTGAGGGCTGCGAGCTCCTTGGTTGCTTGGCCATCACCTTCCGGCCGGGCAAGAGTGAGGGCCAGGAGCCCCCTGGCCATCGCTTTCCGGTCGAGCAAACGTTACTTCCTGTCCCCCCCGGCAAAAATGGCGGCCAGGAGTTCCTTGGCCATCCATGACCTTCCGCCCGGGCGAGCAAGGTGATGGCCACCCAACAGCAGCTCCTCGGCCACTACTTTTGGCGGCCATCGCTTTGCTTCCGGTCGGGCAAAAGTGAGGGGCGAAAGCTCCTTGGCCATCACTTTCCGATCGGGCAAAAGTGGTGGCCGAGAGCTGCTTGGCCATCACTTTTGGCCATCGCTTTTCGCCCGGGCAAAAGTGATGGACAAGAGCTCCCCGGCCATCATTTTCCGGCCGAGCAAAAGTTGTGGCCAAGAACTTCGCAGCGATCACGTTTGGCCACCACTTTCCGGGCGGGCAAAAGCGATGGTCAGAAGCTCCTAGCCCAGCCGGGCGGGGCAAAAGTGACGGCGAAGGGCTCCTTGGCCATCACCTCCGGTCGAGCAAAGTTGAAACTAACTTTTGGCCATCACTTTCCGGCCGCCCGGGCAAAAGTGGTGGCCAAGAGCTTGGCCCCCACTTTCCGGTGGGCCCGCCGAGCAAAACAAAGTGGAGGCCAAGAGCACTTTCGGGACCGACGGACAAAAGTGATGGCCCGGGGCTCCTTGGCAATAACTTTTGGCCATCGCTTTCCGGCCGGGGCGGGCAAAAATGGTGGCCAAGAACTCCGCGGCGATCATTTTTTGCCACCAGTTTCCGGGCGGCCAAAAGTGATGGCCAAAAGCTCCGCACCTTGCCCGGCCGGGCTGGGCTGGCAAAAGTGACGGGCGGCGACGGGCTCCTTGGCCACCACCTCCGGTCGGGCAAAAGTGAAACTTTTGGCCATCACTTTCCGGCCGGGCAAAAGTGGTGGCCAGGAGTCGGGCGAAAATGATGGCCAGGAGCTGCTGGGGCATGCATCGCTTTCCGCTCGGGCAAAAGTGGCCACTTTTCGCTCGGGCCAAAGTAATGGCCAAGACCTCCCTGGCCACCGATCACTTTTGGCTGGCAATCGCTTTCCTGTCGGGCAAAAGGGATGGCCAAGAGCTCCCTGGCCACCCATCGCTTTCCGGCCTGGCAAAAGTGATGGCGAAGAACTCCTCGGGCGTCGCCTTTCGGCCGGGCACACATGATGGCCAAGAGCTCCCTGGCCGTCAAAGTGGCCATCGATCGCCTCTCGGCCGGGCAAAGGTGATGGCTGGCCAAGAGCCTCGCGGCCATCGCTTTTGTTTCGCTCGAGCGAAAGCGATTGTGGCTATCGCTTTCCGGTCGGGCAAGGGTGGTGGCCAAGAACTCCGCGGCCACCACTTTTTGCCATCGCTTTCCGGTCGGGCAAAAGTGATGGCCAGAAGCTCCCTGGCCATCACTTTTCGGCCGGGCAAAGAAAAACAATGGCGACAACTCCTTGGCCATCGCTTTAACTTTTGCCCATCACTTTCCGGATGGGCAAAAGTGGTGGCCAAGGGCTCTTTCCTTGGCCATTACTTTTGCCCAGCGCTTCCTTTCCTGTCGGGCAAAAGTGTTGGCCAGTAGTTCCGCTGCCACCGCTTTTCGCCCGGGCATGCGAAAGTCCTCGGCCATCACTTCCGGCCATCGCTTTCCGGTCGGGCAAAAATGATGACCATGAGCTCCCTGCTCATCCATTTCCGGTCGGGCAAAAATGATGGCCGAGAGCTCCGTGGCCAGCCATCGACTTTCGCTCGTTGGCCATCGCTTTCGTTCCGGGCGGGCAAAAGTGGTGGCCAAGAGCTCCCTGCGCGGGCCATCGCTTTTGGCCATCGCCTTCCGGCACGGTCGGGCGAAAGTGATGGCCAAGAGCTCCCTGGCCGTCATTTTCGGCCATCACTCAGCCACTTTCTTTCTTCCCGCGCGGGCAAAAGTGTTGGCCAAGAGCTCCGCGGCCACCACTTTCGGGTCGGGTCGCGCAAAAGTATTTGCCAAGTGCTCCATGGCCATCACTTTTGCTCATCACTTTCCGGTCGGGCAACCGAGCAAGAGTGATGGCCAAGAGCTTCCAGGCAGTCACCTTTTGCCACCTCTTTCGTTCCGGCCGGGCACGCTTTTGCCTCTCGGCTTCTGGTGCATGGCATGGGCGGGGGGGCGCGAGGCAAAACCGCGCGAACAAGCCCCCGGAAGCGTGAGTCTCATCCCCATCCAGGGGCGGGGGCTTTCTTTGCGCCGGCCGCCGAAGCCGCCCCAGAATAAGCTTCGCAACCGGCCCCCTTCGCTTTGCTTGCCGCGTGCGGCTAAAGGGCTGACGGCGGGCCGGCGTCCTGGACGCCGGACCGCAAAAGGCGTTAAAGCGGCGAGGCCGCTAGGGCAAGCGCAGGCGCGGCAACGATCTTCCTCGGGACAGGCAGCGCTATATATACTTTTCAACCTTCTAGCCGCATTCTACTCGACCCCACGCCAAACCTTCTAAACACATAACCACCTTTAGAATTATTTTTAAATCTACTAGCCCAGCGGGCGTCCTGGACGCCCGCGTCAAGAGGCTAGTATTAGTACTAAGTTCTTTGTGTTGTAGAAGATCACAAGCTATTCTGATATCAGCAAAACAGCTTCAAATTTCACTTTCTTCTTCTATCGTATCAAATAATAGGAAAAGCTAAGTTTTTTTTCTTGCACACAATGCATGCTCGGCCTGATACTGAATTTTTACCAAACACTGCAACAGAAACAATGAGGGACGATAATTGCTCGCATGTTTACGTGCCATATGGACCAGTGTGAGTAGGTCTTCAGACCAACGACCTGATCAGCTTGTGGTCGCTATTCATTATTTCCCTCAGGTGCTGATGTGATTTCCAAGTAACGACCTCCACTGGGGAAAACCTCCTCTCATCTCTGTCGACTGTGCCATCCCTGCTGATCCGAAAGAGCAAGAACCTCCTGCACGCGTCGATACAACTCATTCTGTGGATATGACATCAAACCTCAGCTAGCACTACGAACTCCTGAGCGAGATCGACTTGAAGGCAGACGGTGCGATGATCGAACTTTTTATCCTTCCATGCAAGCACCACCTCCGTCTCCGATATCGGATCTTAATTTTTCTGACACCGACGAGGTACTACTAGAGCATTCCCTAGACAACAACGAACTTCTCTCCATAGCACGACAAGACGCAAGACCAAGACAAATGGCAGTGCTTGTCGTGTGACACGTCACATCCGCAAGGAACGATCCCAATCAAAAATTTCCCTCCCGGAACACTGCTGTCCGTCGACGTGCGGGGGGGTGTCCGCCCGGGAAGCACAGAGCATTGTCGATTTTGCCGCACCAGACGAGAACGAAACATCTCAGTTTGCGTCTGTGAAGTTGAAGTTCTCTTGAATTGTAAAATTTATCCTCGCAGCCAAGATGTCTCGTTGGAAAAACATCAGGACCTAAAGGTGTATCAAGCTCTCGAATTTTGACGGATTGTAGAAGTAGACAGAACGACAAGAATCTCCACGGTGCCCATTGAAATTTCCGCCTGTTTCTTGACTCCGTTATCCAAATCCCGCTGGAAAATCGGATTAGGGTAATTCGTACTTCTGCAGTTGAACTGCTAAACATTAACATTCCTGAAGTGTAGTGAGCAGAGAGGAAAAACATCAGAGGGTAGAAAATCATAAAGGGAAAAAGCTCCGAAACAATGTGCGTTTTAAGTTTGTCATTAGGTTTTTGCTAAATATCGAAAGAAACAACTTTTCATTACTGACTCCATATTTAGTGTGCTGTATTCTACTGAAATTGCGAAAGCGAAACTGTGGCTTTGGTATAATTCCGGTGCTTGGGTTGGTACATAATATATTGAGGTGCGAATTTCAAGCTGCAAGTATCCATTCTAGTAACCATATTCAACAGCTGTGCTTAATACTAATTCTAGTTCCAGCAAATCAGCTCAGGAAAGCTGCGAAGGAGTTCAGATTTTTATCCTCCGACAAAACTGCTACTGCAACATTTAGAAATGATGCCCTAGTAGGTATCCGGCGTTTTCAGATCCGAAGCCGGGGCCAGGATATTCTCCATGGTCTTGCGCTTGGATTCCTGCTCTTTCGCAAAAACTTCCGCAGATTGGAGGTTACCTGATAATCATTTTCTTGCGCAGTCGGCATTACCAACTCGGCTGCTCATGTACTTTCACGCATCACAAAAATTTTCTGGTATTCTATTGACGTAATTACAACGTTATGCATGACTACAAAAATTCACCGTATACCTATCTTGTAGGTGGTTCCGATGACATTTGCGGATTCCTTACGCGGGACCCACCCAGAGTACCCCGGAATGGAGGCAACCGGCTTCGGCGGGATGTCCAGCACACCCAGGCGCTTGCGCTCCTGTTTCAGGTTTGGTAAATTTCATTTTCATATTCTTGTCATGCACATCCGCGCATTAGAAACTCGTTTTCTCATGCGAAATAAAACGCAAAACATTATTGACATACCTCGCCCATTTTCATGCTGGTTGCGTAGTGGTATTCTGCCAAGCGCATTTCTCTGTTTGCCGCCGCGGAGTACTCGTTCTCCTTTTCCTCTCCTGCGATTCTCTGCAGATCCGCCTCCGTTTGCTGCTTCAAAACGAGCGTGCCCTGTTTCGAAGAAGAGTTTTTGATTGATGTTTTGCTGCGAAAGATCAGAAATATTAACTACGCTTTCTTTCACTTTCTCATGCGGCGCTGATGTGCACCAGAAAAGAAGTACTATACCGCCAATCCCGCGTTAAAACGCGCGGTACCACCATCTGGCTTTGCGGGCTTGAAAAGCCGTCCGGAAGACTGACTCAAAAAAGTCAGACTCTGCTGGGACATCTTTTGATCTTATTTCCGACCGACGAGAGTGTTCTCCTTCGACTCTCGGGTTGAGCTAGTTGCTATCGAAAAAAGCGGGCAAGAAGGTTGTGACGTTTCGGTACAGAGGATTCAACAGGTTTCAATAAACATGCGCTTCGATATTGATATGAAGGGTACTGCATGGTAAGATGGGGAAATGTGAAGAAATCGACGTGTCAGTTGTGGTGTTCAAGCCCGACATGACGTCGAAGCGAAGTGCGGTGGATAACAGCTACAATGCTCTCGTTGCTCGAAATCAAAAAGATTTCATCAATCTCTCTATGTTCCTCTCGTTTCGACTCTCTCAAGTTCTGCATGTTCTATGCTTTTTCGCATCCCCTGATGACGTAGTGCTGATTGTACTTCTGCTATGTTTTGGTCTCGTTCTAAGGGTGAATCAATTCGATCTCTCTACTGACACGAAGTGTTCGAAAGAACATACTCTTTCATTCAGTTGACTTTTGATTCGTTGTATGCAAGGAGCTGCATGCATCGTCGCCGCGACGATCGACTAAATACAAGGGTGTAATCCCAGCAAGACGTGTAGGCTCTTTTTTCTCATAGGATGCATCGTGGTCTTCCAAACGACCACTATCCAGCACCCAGTAAGATACTTGCAGCTAAATCCGCGTTCCCCTTGGCCTGCTTCAACGCACCAGCACACTGTGCCTTGGGAAACCCGAGGTTCATGAGGTCCTTGATTTTCTCGTCGTCGGTCTTTTGTGCTGGCTGCGCGGCGGGTGAAGGCTCTTGCTGATCGTCGGCGCTGAGCACCTAAGGTGGGATTTTCCATAGGCTGTTCAAGTTCAACAATCTTGATCTTCGCCTCCCCGCATGACAAATACAAATTTCTCATGCAGTGAAAATATCTAGTAGAACATTATACCGCTTCCATCGCGTCCTGCAAGTTACTGTTCCCCGTTGCCTATGCACTGCAAAAGTATCGCACTCGTACTGATTGCAGTCATGCATCACAAATCTCCTAGCTTAGGTAAAGCAGCATCACAAATTTCGCTTTTCTTCTTGCCAAAGTAAAAGTTTCAGTTTGTGATGCAATTTATACTAACTGTAACTAGTACGATACTTTTGCAATGCATATTGCTATACAAGCCTTTTTTGCTGCGTCCTCGGAGAATCCCATCGCGACCAGCTGCGACACCATCGCAGGGTCGGCAGTTGTTGGTCTTTTACTCACTGGTGCATTATTCGCCGTTGTTGCCGAGGTCCGATTTGTGTTCTGTGATGCTGTCAGACCAGCTGCAGTTGCTGGCGGTGGTGCTGGACCACCTGCTGATGCTGACTTTGCGCCGGAAGCAGATGCTCTGCTCGCAGTTGACGCGCCTATTGTGGAAGCAGCTGGCGCTGGTGACTGTGATGCTGGAATGGTGGCATTCTTGCCTTCCGAGGTGGAAGAGCTGCTCAGTCGGCCAGAAGACGTGACGTTATTACTTGCGGGTGGCGGTTTTTTCACCTGGTGTTGAGTGTTGTCATGCCCATTCAGGCATCAGCAGCGGGATGCGTTATGCATGGAACCGATAGTACGATATTGAAGAGAATAGAATGATCTGTGGACTAAAGTGAGTCATCTACAGCTCTTTCTATTTGTACGTCATCCGCCAGCACTGCCCCCTCTTCCTCTATTCCCTGGTCCCCTTCGGTAAGTGGCGTCAACAACGGCATGTCTCGCTCCGTCGCGAGATGTACCTCGTCGCTGTCGCCCGGATCTCTGGCGAAGGGTTGCGTACCTGCCATGTCGTGCAGATCCACTATGGAGTTCTCAAACGTTACATTCTCAACTGTTACATGAATTTGTGATGCAACAATTGGAAAAGTGGAAGGGGAAAGGTTGCACCTGTAGCATTACAAATTCCGCACAGACTTAGGTGCGGTTTAGGCCTTCCCAAATTTGTCATGCGGAGCAGCTTCATCATCATCATGTAGTGGACACCCGCACCCAGCGCCACAGGTCAAGGATCCCCTCCCCGGGGGGTGGGCGAGGAAGCACTTTCGGCGACCTCATCATACAAAAGCCGAGCGCTACCACGGCAAGTCGCCCCAATAAAAGTGCCAACCAGTCGGGAGCTACCCACCACACCTGATCAGTACAGCCCGGCCAGCTAGCCGAGCGCGACAGCCCAACATACAGAACGATCCAGGACCCGACCCATTTTACGCCATACGTTTTTGCTCTCACGGAAGAGACGACGTACCCCTTTGGGCTAAGGGGCGAGACTCTCCCTTAAGCCGCAACCCCACCCGGACAGGGGAGGCTGGACCATTTGTGCCTTACCTGCGGCACGGACGAAAAAGGCAAGTGCGCGGACCACAGATGTCAAACCATTGGAGCAGCTTGATCGTGAGGATTGTGATGGTGCTTTTGCATGACAAATCATGTAACAGTTGAGAATGTAACAGTTGAGAGCCCCATATCGACCATCAAGCGGTTGCACTGGTCCACACACGTGGTCTGCATCTGCAGCTGGTTGCCCATTTTAAATGGATTTATTTTGCACGGGTGCAAACTGAGTCACGGAGTAGTACAAGTAGTCACCCACTAGTTCCCGCTGATGAGACTGATGCTTGTGCTTCCACAACTAAAACGATGCCTTCCAGTTGCCCGACCGGAGTGCGCTTCTCAACAGTCTTTGGCTTTCTACCCCGCAGCGCCACACTCATTTGCAACAAGGGCTGAGCCAATCCTACTCTAACTTCGTCCAGGTTCCTCTTCCTTGCGCCGAAGTAGATATGGATGTGTTGCCTTCAAATTATCTACCTCGCGTTTGGATGTGTGTCCCCTCTTTCTCTCAGCAAACCTCTCTCCTGCAGTCGTTTTTGAACAAAAGGCTCGGAGAGACATCAATAGACAGAGGTGTCAGCCAGGCCGTGTTGCAAACCGGCACTTCCACTTTCCGTGGTCCTCATTCACACTGATGGTGATGGTCCCTCTAACTTTGAAAAACAAAAACTGATTTTTTTCAATAACGATAATTGGAAGAACGAACTCAAATGTTCTACGTGCTTTTACCTTCGTCGTCAGTCTAGTTCTGCTACGGGCTCCTGCAAAAAAGAAAGAACGTCCGGTCTCTTCGTGCACTGCACGACAAACTGGCCTCAGAAACTACAGCGGAAGTAGTACTTAGAACAACTACTTCCTGCGTTTCAGGCCGCCGCGGTCCCAGGAATTTCTCGATCTTAGTGGAGCATAATTCATCTGAAGACACCGCATATGAAGAATGAACGTAAGTGCGACCGCCGAGCAAGCTGCACTTCTGGCGCTGTCCGCGAAGGAGAATAAGACCTCCAGGACGAACAACAGCTCGTCTCGCCAGACAAACAAAAACTTGTGAAGAAAAGAACTAAATCAACATATATTTTTGCGTACTAGACAGGAAAGTGAGGAAGTCTCAAAGTCAGCTACACCACGACTACACCAGCTCATTTCCATCCACATGACTTCCTCATGCTCGCTCCTGCCCTTCATCCCGCCCGGTACTGTAGCTCTGGCGGTCGCTGTTCTGCGCCCATTACATTTACACGACCACCTCCGAACCCGGATGCAGTAGTTCCCGCACCTGCTGTGCCCCCGTTTTGCGGCGTGCAATTGTTCGAGGCCACGCTGTTTGGGACGGAGGAAGAAACCTGCAGCTCAAAGGTCACTTCGTCCTTCTTCCTCTTCCTTGCCTTCAAATCATTTCCCTCGCGTTTGGAAGTATTTCGTCCCCTTATTCTCTCAGCAAACATCAACTCTCCTGCTGCAGCGGTTTTTGAACAAAAGGCTCGGAGAGACATCAATAGACAGAAGTGTCAGCCAGGCCGTGTTGCAAACCGGCACTTCCACTTTCCGTGGTCCTCATTCACACTGATGGTGATGGTCCCTCTAACTTTGAAAAACAAAAACTGATTTTTTTCAATAACGATAATTGGAAGAACGAACTCAAATGTCCTACGTGCTTTTAGTACCTTGTCGTCAGTCTAGTACTAGTTCTGCTACGGGCTCCTGCAAAAAAGAAAGAACGTCCGGTCTCTTCGTGCACTGCACGACAAACTGGCCTCTGAAACTACAGCGGAAGCACTTAGAGTTAGAACAGAAACTACTCCCTGCGTTTCAGACCCTCGCGGTCCCACGAATTTCTCCATCTTAGTGGAGCATAATTCTGAAGACACCGCATATGAAGAATGAAGGCAACAAGTTCTACCGCCGAGCAAGCTGCAGCTCTGTCTGCGAAGGAGAATAAGACCTGCACGAACAACAGCTCGTCTCGCCAGACAAACAAAAACTTGTGAAGAAAAGAACTAAATCAACATATATTTTTGCGTACTAGACAGGAAAGTGAGGAAGTCTCAATAAAGTTATCTAAACCACGACTACAGCCTATTTCCATGCTGCAGATGATTTCGTCATGCTCGCTCCTGCCCTTCATCCCGCCCGATACTGTAGTTCCGGCGGTCGCTGTTCCGCGCCCATTACATATACACGACCACCTCCGAACCCCGCTGCAGTAGTTCCTGCACCTGTTGTGCCCCCGTTTATCAAATGTAAAAATGTCTGGGTCTGGAAGAATGCAACCTGTGATGCTGCATTTGGATTCCAGAAAAATCTGTATTGCATGAGTACCAAAAGGAATGTAATCTTTGCTACGCGGAGACGGCATCTGTCATGCGGAATAGGCATCAAGAAGCTCTCAAAAAATCTGTGATGCTAGGGCATGCATCACAGACATCAGGGCTCACGCAAAACGTGCATGACAAGTGTCACTATCTTCCAGACCCAGACACTTTTACAGTTGATACCGTTTTGCGGCGTGCAATTGTTCGAAGCCACGCTGTTCGGCACGGAGGACGAAACTTGTAGCTCAAAAGCCGCGTTGAGGTCATCCTCATTCTGTTTTGTCCCTGCTTGTTGTTGTTCCCTCCCGGCGTAGGTAGAATCGTCGTGTGAGGATGATGTTGAACTACTACTGCTGGAAGTTCTTGTCCCGTGGCTTTTATCGCTCCTCCGATCCACATCCAGTATCTCTTGTTCGTCAAACAGCCTGTGGTTGAGGCGTGACGTCGTGAAGGAACTAGTACCGGCCGAAGATGGTTTACTGTTTGTACTGTTCCGATTTTCAACCTGATTTTCGGACGATCTGCAGCTACTGTAGTTTTGCTGTAGTTCATCTCCTGCACCAACAACATGAACATATCCGGGAGAATTATACAGCGCGTTGCTATAATTTTCCTCCGATGCGGAAATTCTTGCTGCGTTGTAATGGTCGTAATCCGAGTCGAGCGGAGAGGATTCAATATTGCCGTTACAAATCCCGGCTTCGTCTTCAACACGACCTTGTTCGTACAGTAAACCCGCTTCTAAATCCTGAAAGGCGCGTATCGGGTCGTTGATTTCGTCATCTTCGTGGTCCTTGTAACTGGAAATCAAGGTCGTGCTCGAAGTCGACGATATAACCCGCTCAGCTGTTACAATCTCAAACGTTACAATAGAGTCTGAAACTTGTGTTGCAAGAAGTGCATTATCTAGCCAACTCTCATAGAATTGCGCATGACAAGTTTCGGAGCTCCGAACCGCACTAGAATCTGGCGAAATTTGTATTGCAGAAAGTGCAACGCTCTGCGAGTCTGTCATGCTCATCATGCAACACAAATCCCAGATTCTATTGTAACGCTTGAGATTGTAACGTTTGAGGAGGTCATAGACGAGCCGCCCTTTTTCTTCAAATTGTGCCACATCTGTTTGAAGAAGGAACTGCTGGACGATGATCTAGCAACTGTAAAAATGTCTGGGTCTGGAAGATTCTGACACTCGTCATGCAGGTTTTGCATGAGCCATGATGTCCGTGATGCATACCCTAGCAATATAGATTTTTTCAGGGCTTCTTGATGCCTATTCCGCATGACAAATGCCTTCTCAGAGTAGCAAAAATTGCATTCCCCTTGCTACTCATGCAATACAGATTTTTTTGGAATCCAAATGCAGCATCACAAGTTCCAATCTTCCAGACCCAGACACTTTTGCAATCCATATGATCTGGGTTGTTGTAGCAATAGCAAATTCTTTGATAAAGAAGACGGCCCTCGTGGTCCCGCTGTTGACATCGGACTTGCGATTATTTGTCTCTCGACGTCCTCTCCAATGTTGATCCCCGTTTGAATCACCCTGGTGTCCACTCTGCTATCCGGCGAGGGGCTCGGCGACGGAGAAATCGACGGCTGTCGCATTTTCGCGTGAATATCTCGGCCGAAAGTTGATTTCGAGAGGAACTGTTTCGGTCTGGGCGGCTTGTAAAACGTACAGTCTGCATCGTTTGTTGTTGACATGCGGGGGATTCCGTAGTTATCTTCATCTTGATCATCTTCTGGACTGGAATTCAAAACTCTTGTAGAAGTGGTTCGGCGATTATTTGAAGATGATCTACCACGGCTGCTCCTGTCCGTTCCAAATGGCGACCCTCGCGGCCAAGAGCTCACCGTCGATGTGCTGACACGGTTTAAAGATTATGCATTGCAAAACAAGTAACGCACTAGTATAACTTGCATTACAAATTTCGGCAAGAAGAAAAGTGGAATTTGTAATGCTGTTTGACCTTAGGAGGAACATTTGTCATGCAGTTTTGCAATCAGTACGACTACGAGTACGATACTTTTGCACAGCATAAAGAGGATGAACTGGTGAAAGAGTTTGCTTTCCTATTCGCAAACACGTTCGCTTTCTGTTCCGCCAACAGCTTTATGAAATGCAAATATGTCTGGGTCTGGAAGGTTGGAACTTGTGCTGCTACCTTTGGACTCTACATAAAATCTGTATTGCATGAACATCAAAAGAGGCGTAATTTGTGCTACGCGGAGAGGTCATTTCTCATGCGGAATGAGCATCAGAAAGCCCTCGCAAAATCTCTGATGCTAGGGCATGCATCACAAACCTCATGGGTCATGCAAAATCTGCATGACAAACTCCTGCATTCTTCCAGACCCAGACATTTTTGCAGTTGATAAGCTTTTCTTGCAGCAGGTACCGCTGGTTGCTGACCGCAGAGTCGGTCGGCGAGGGTGTGCGGCCGTGGCGGGTAATGGTAGTAGTACCAGTTGTCCCAGTCGTCGTGGTCCTGCTGGTAGTTGTTCCGAAGGCAAAAGCGGCTGAACCCGCTGTATTTGTAGTCGAGGTTGACTTGGACTTACTCAACATTCCCCCACCACCGCCGGAAAGCACAGAGTTTGCGATTTCCGTTGCTCGTGCGGCGAAGTTGGTGAAGGAATTTCGCTGTTTTAAGAGTCCAGAACAACTGCTCTCGTCCTTCACGACACCCTCCGCGTGTTTGATTTGGGCCTCGTCAAAGAACACCGCGGTCGTTGAGGAAGTAGGGTGCTGGTCGTGACTTTTCCGCAGAGAGCTGGTCGATGTACTCTATGAACTGCAAAAGTATCGTACTCGTATAAATGCATCACAAATTTTCTCAGCACGAGAAATAAAATTTGTAATGCAGATCTGCCTTGGGAACAAGATTTGTAATGCAAGACTTGCATTTATACGAGTACGATACTTTTGCACAGGATATACTCCCGGGCCACGTGACCCTGGCCGGGAAATTCAAGCCGATGTTGGCGAAAAAAGATTTGCTTCTCGGTCGCATTCCGGTTGCGGAGGAGGAACCACCATGCCCGTCGGAGGTTGACGTGGTGATCCTGATTTGGTTATCCTGTGCAAAAGTATCGTACTCGTTGTATAGCAATAATCGTTCGTTCGTTGTGGATCGGCTCTGCCGACCGGGTAACCCAACGCCTTGCATACAAATGACCGACTTAGGCGAACCCCGTTACGGGACGGGGTTACAATAATGCATTGCAAATCTTTTCCCTAAGGTAAATCAGCATTGCAAATTTTATTATTATTTCTCATGCTGAGGAAATCCAAATCTGTATTGCATTTATACGAGTGCGATACTTTTGCACTGCATATTGGTGGTGATCCTGATGACGTCCTTGCCCGTCAACATCTCGTCCGGGACTTGCCCTACGAAAAAAATCCGAATCCGACAAAACTATCGTACGAAAAAAGTGTTTCACTGTAAGGATTTTGGAGATTTTGCATCACAAGTTTGTTCTACATGACAGAGAAAATTTACGATGCAAAGCTCCAAAGGGAAAACACAGCGAAGCATCCACTGTCTTGCATGTGTCCCATGACAAACAGCTGTGAGATGCATTTTCTGCATTACAAGTTTAATACAGTGAAACAGTTTTTTCTGGCGATAAAAACAGACTCGCCTTCATCGTCCGACACCCGTCGTTCCTCCGACCGATTCCGCTGAAACCGGGGGGAGATGATGTCCGGGTCGTTTAACAGCCAGGAGGTCAGCGAAACGCGCGGCGGGTCGTCCGGGATGGCGATTTTGGTGATGGAAGAAAACTCGCTGATCGGGCTGGCGTTTTTGGTGCCGAGCCTGCTTCTGGAGGTAGACCGAGACGTGCGGACAGACCGGTTGGAGTAGAGGCTGCCGGCTGTACGGCGGGAGGAGGAGAGCAGGGCGACCTGGTGGGTTTTGCTTTTGTAATTTTTTCCTTCTGCATGACGATGCATGAACAGGGTCTTTGCAAGACCAAGATGAAACAAGACTCATGAAACAAAAACAACGAGTAGAATCATACCATCTCTGCGCCCTCTGGAAAAGGTTGTGATATTGCTCCCAAGACCGCTAGTTGTACCACGTTCGTCGTGGGCACAATTCGCACGGTCACCTCCACGAAGCCGGTTCCATTTTTCTTTTCTTTTTCGAGTCCCGTCTCCTGACGATCGAGCGCGACTGTGTTTCTCTTTCTTGTGTTCCGTGCTACAAATCAATGGCCGTAGCGTGCTTCATTCAATTCATGGAAAATGAAATCGATGCGCGCCCATAAAAGGCAGAAGTGTGGCTTCACAAAAGGCAAAAAAAGGGATACTCAGAGAAAATTTTTGCGCAAACTCAAAGAACACAAACGTGAAACAAAGCGCAACTCAATGTCATCTCACTGCTCACCGTCTCACTCACAAGACCAAAGCTCTCAAAAGAATCACACGACCCAACATGCAGACCACAAATTTCACTCTTCTCTCCCTTTTGCTCGGCGGAAATGGAAAACAAAACTAGACAAAACCGTTGGCACCGCTCACCAATTGTTTATGTAGTAGTCTGATTCCATTGGTCGGATTCCATTAGTCTGATTCCGTCTACTAAGTCTGATTCCCTCTCATCTTACCATATAATTTATACCGAAGTTCAGATGACAACAACTACAAGCATTTCCTTTTATTTTATTTTGGAGCACATCACATGTAATATTCTGCGCAGAAATAATGTTGATCTTTTTCTTGCTTTATCCGGCGACCGAAGAAAGTACTAGAACTGAATTCTGGTTCATTCAGTTCTCCTGTAGCTTTGACCGAGAGATGAAAACGACCGCTACCAATCGATCGAGAGGTGCTGGTGGCGTCTTCAACTCAACCAAAAATGCAAGAGGAACAGAAGTTCGCCCCGCAGTCAGTCTTCCGCACGACCGGCAACATATAGCACAACAACGCGAGAAGTTGTTCTAGTACTTCACCAGTAGATAGATGCTGTCGCGAAACAAGTCTGGATTTCCACCTGCCTGCTCCGGTCGCAAATTCAGACTCACCAGCCGGTTGATGTCGCTAACCTGCATTCATCCGCCCCTACTTGGAGAAACAAACACCAAATCAGTGTGGTCTAGCAGGTACTACATCGACCAGGCGCACCAGTCGAGGCAATGGCAATGCCAATAGATATGCATGTAACTATATCAATATTTAGCCTAGTATAGAAAAGTAAATAAGTTGCTCGCGATGAAATTATGCCTTTCTATTATTATTATCGAAGCCACAGGTGATGCCGACCACTGTGCACAAACATCGCACGCACAAGGGGCCCATTGGATCTCAGTGCATGGTAGGATCTGTCACGGCAGGATCTCTCGCACCCGGAGTAGGTGCTCTTTCGGTCCCTCTCTCCTATCCCTAGGAGTGCCCTCACGGCTCGGAGGCGCGTCGGACGTAGTGCCTCGCGAACACCAACACCTCCCCACGACTGCCGTTGATTTTCGTCCGATTTGGAATTGCGCTGCGTAGCCACAGCAAGCATTTGCATGTCTGGGGGCGCTCAACTCGTGGGCGGTTGTGCGCCGCCAGTGTGTTGCTGTGTGGCCGTTTCAGTGGTGCCACAGGGCTCGCCTGTCGTGGCGCGCTCTTCATATTACCGACCAACCGGGTGGCCGCGCACTATCAACGGTCGGCGCTATAATTCTCGGTATGGGCTTGGCCGAGCTCGGATAAGGGGCGGCATCCGGGAGGGTGGGGTGGCCAGCCATCTGGGTGGCTGCGCTCCCCTAACGGTAGCGCAGCTGCGCTCGTCGGCGGTGCCACTCGGCTTGCTGCCCGGTCGTGTCCCGCGGTCGCGCGAGGTGCAGCCGCGGCACCCGAGTGGCAGGACACAATCAGCACAGCGGCGGTGTGCCTTTTTGTTGCGAGCCTGCGAAGTAGCGCAAGCGCATGGGCCAGGGAGCTGCTTGCTGCTCTCCGCAGAACAACAAGGCCTGCGCGTATATATGGTCTTCTACTAGGTGACATCATGAGAGGCGTCGGCCCTCATTCACTGGGGCCACTCTTTCAACCTACCAGATCTACTAACCGCTTGCCCTGATAAGCATGCGGCCTGCTTCTCCCCACGTTACGACCGGGAGATCTCCTCAGGCGACGGCCTTCACAGGAGGTAAATTATGCCTTTCTAGACGAGCTTGCTCCAACTCATCCTCACAGCCTGAAAGCCTCGCTGGCGAGAACAACAACAAAAAGAGCTCGGCCTGGGGGCAGTCGGAGCATTATTTGCGTCAAGAAAGAGGTAAATCGCCCAACTACAAAATTTCGTTTGCAAGTTGTAATCTGCACAAAATTATAGCTCTGCGCTTGCCAACTTGTCAAACTTCAAGAATAGTAAATGTGTCTACTGACACTACTACGTAGCAACCCTAAAATGACAACAGATCCTCGGACGCGGCACTAGAGATAGCTCCTGCTACGTACTGGCGCTACGAAGATGAGGCTGTTGCGTCTTTATAGGCGTATGAAAGATAACTTGGCTGCCTTATTCCTTTTTCTTGAAGATTAAAGCTGTTGCTCTACCCAATCTATAGTCATGGCGTCAAAAGAACACGTGTAGCAAGGCAGATGTAGGTAAATCCTTTTTCCAGATCATGCACAATGTAGGTAAATAAAAGTAGATGTAAAGTAGTACGTGAGGAGGCTCCTTCAGTCTTCGGCGTAAGGCTTCATATACATATTGCTCCTGTAGCTTGGAATCTACTAGCAGAGTAGAGTCCTTGTTTATGTTCCTTTCCAGACAGTTCGGATTCTAAGCACCATGATCGGGTGCTGTGCGCTTCCGCTTTCTCTCATTTTTTCAATATCTTTCAGACGAGACGTGCCCGGCAATTTGATTTATGTGCCCGCGCTACCCATAATTGGCAGGCCAAACTTATTGATTTCCCGACCAGCAGGCACGATGCCACTGCGCAAACGGCGTCCACACATTCCAGCACCATGCCGGGACCTTGATCGCACCCGGTTCCATACCCGCGTCATCCCCTTCTTTGCGGCAGAACAGAAAGCGGCCGGGAAACGAGTAGTCCGGGTACGTCCACACGTAGCATTGGTTCCCCTGACTATCAACTGCGCGCTCGCAGTCGCGCGCCTTTTTCGGGATCCCGCCGAAAAACGAGCCGCGGAAACCGAACGCAAACGCCGAGGCGAGGTAGTGCCCTCGCGTGACCGTTTCATCAAACTCGCGGCAGTCGTTCACCTGCAAAGATTCAGACGTAGACGTGGGCACCGGCTTCGGCATTGTACCATCATCGTCAACCTCTTGCTCCTTCTTCGTCTTGTGCACCAGGGTGGACACCATCACTCCCGTCACCCCCAGCGGGGAAATGAAACCGCCGGCATATTTTTCGCCGCCAAGAACCAGGAAGGTCGCGGCCATGGAGAGCATTTTGTTGGTCTTCATTGTCAAGAAGCGCGTTTTTTTTTTTTAATTCGTGCTCGAATTTTTGATCTTGCGTAGGAGCGCGAGGAAGAGGTGGATTCTTCTCTACTACTACTACTACTACTACCAAATTTGAGTTATATTCTATCTATCGAATCAGAATAGAAAAGCGGGCAACGCTGAACGCGGGGGTTCGTTAGGTTTCTCCTGTAGTTTTTCGCAGACACGATTGGTGTTCTTCTGCTTGCAAGTATGTTTCTCCAAGTAGAACTGCGCCGAGGCGACAAGCAGTAGCAACACTGTCGCTAGACGGGCACCAGCACGGCGAGACTCTACTACACGACGACCGAGAGTGGACTGAGTATCAGATTACAGACAGTGCTGAGAGGCAGTTGTTAATTTTTACTAGTTTCGAAATTCATTAAACCCGACATAGCTGACACGCCAGACCGAAGTTTCCAAGTTGGGTCGAACTTCGAGCAGCAGCTGTTTCGGACAACAAATCAAGCTACTCGACAGGTTGTAGGAAGCGCGACTCCTGGGCGTATAACCGACTTGAGATGTTGAGGACCGAGTTATTCGGAGTTCGCTTCTTGTGATATGAGAGCACCACGTTCGTCGACCGATTCGGAGTCCGCTTCTCCTGATTCTATCCATAAGCTTGATTCTAGTGCCTTGATTCTACTCATTATTCTGATTGATTCTACTATACCGATTCCACTTGTGGTCTGATTCCATTAGTCTGATTCCGTTTGCTAAGTCTGATTCCCTCCCTTACCATTTTTTATGCCAGTCCTGTAGTGTATTTAACAGAAAGTGAATCAATCTAGTGGGTGCTAGTCTGGTGTCATATTAATTTCAAAAGCAACATCCACGACGTCGACGCCGAACAGTGACTCGCGAGCAACACGATCTCTTCTGCAGCACCGGCAGCGCTACATACTTCTGACTACTCGTATTTATTTGGCTGTGGAGATACTATACGTAAGGTTGGAATCGCAGCTGCGGAAGGTGGAGCTCTGCTTCATCCACAACTTCTCGACAGACGACCCATCATGATCTTTATCATCTTCAAGCTCCTTCTACAAGAAATTCCGTGCGTGTACTTTTTGTGGCTTTGAACGAACTGCATTGTTCTTGATGCACGCCAGTAAGCTATCTTGATCTTGCTCCTCTTCTCCGATTTCTTGATCTTGAACGCCATCATGCGTTCCACTACTTTCTCGCTCCAATCCTCGTGTTCGCCCACTTCTGCCTTCTTCCCTCACCCCAGCTCCCCCGTCCGCCACACGGCCAAAAGTGCTGGCCGTTCCCATCGTCATCCCAATCGCCGGTAAAATCATCCCGAGACCCATCCCACTCGTGGCTAATGGGTGGATGTTCTGGTACCGGTCGTGGGCGAGCAAGTCGCTCGCCGCGCAGTTCAAGTGCTCGTACGCCCTACTGCCGCCGGACTGCACGCGGGAGATCTGCGCCGCTTGCTCGATCAGCATATGGGACTCTCAAGCGTTACATTCTCAACTGTTACGTGATTTGTCATGCAAATTTACCACCAAGATCGCCGCGATTAAGCTGCTTCGCATGGCAAATCTTCGAAAGGCTAAACAGCATCAAATCTGTGCCAAATCTGTAATGCATAAGGCGCAATCTTCCCCCTTTCGCTTATTTTACCGCTCTTGCATTACAAATTCATGTAACAGTTGAGAATGTAACACTTGCAAACGCCATACAGCATCCGGGTGTCGTGCACTTTCGCGTCCATGGTGGTCGCGTCGGAGATCAGAGACTGGAACCACGCTAAAATCGAGGACACCATGAAGGAAAGCCCCGAGGTCGCCTCCGCATTGATGTTGCAAATCGCCCGGTTTACCAGCTGCACGGTGTCCACGTCGAGAGCGACTTTGGAGGAGGATTCCGCTTTTTTCAAGTGTTCTAGCGCGTGTTTTAGGTGGAATATGGGAGTGTCAGGATTGAAATCAACAATAAAGTTGAAATAGTATGGCTTGGGCAAAACGTTTATTTCGAGAAAGTTCAAAAATTTTTGTATGCATATTCTGCATGTAGTTAGTGTACGCATTGATTATTAATAATGGAGGATTAACTTGCATGATTGGTTGATTAGCATGACAGAAATGATAGGATAACTAATCTGATATAGCTAGTTAACCATAAGCTATGTAGCATTGTGGATTCGTGTGGGAACGGTCGCCAAACTCGAGCGGACTCCTCCTCCTCCTCATCGCCAGTTCGGATAGCTGTTTCTGCGGTTTCTCCATCCCAAGCCACCAAATGAGAGGCAACTGAAGGCACGACGTGCATGAACAGAGCGACCTTGTGCGAATGTGAACGTCCATGCTGTGCCTGTGAGTAGAGTTTTGAAATAAGATGTTGCGTAGCATGTTCCTGATAGAACAGAATCAATCTAGAAAACATATTGAGAAACAGAAAGAACAAATGACGTAAGCTCTAACGTGAGAAAGAGATGTTTTTTTTTCCAGAGAAAGCGCGAGGGCTCACCGATAATTTGTTGCTTTCCCGGGTACAATGCACGAAAGAAAGAGCGTAGTTGTGATCAGATATCTTCTTGTCATCTTTTCATCTTTCGTCTTTGTTTTTGCTGGTTCAAATGCGTCTTTCCAAAACACAACCGTAGGGCGAATGATTAAGACGACAACACAGACTAATAAACGAGTGCTACCACAAAATGCGGCTGGTAGCGACGGGTCTCTTATGGCTCGGAGGGCCTACCTCTCCAATGACTCCGTGCACGACTGTCGACTTGGTTTCCCTGGGGACCACTGCGACGTGTTCGGTGAACAGCATGGTCGTTGCCGCGTCCGGTAACGGGAAAGACGACCCCAATGGTTTCGAGGACCGGTTCCGTAACTCCCTCCGCAACCTGGACCAGGGCGCGTTGCAGATGCGGACTCGTTTGATGCAGGAGCGGTTGGAGATGCTCGAAGCCATCCAGAATGGCAGTGTCATTCTATGAAAAGCAAACCTCTCTCTGATCATCCTACGTGTAGTTCTTTTGTCATGCTGGGGATGTTGAGTTTGTGTCTTGCAAGAACATCAAAAGGGCATGACGAGAGAGGTTTTTCCATAGCATAACTCTTGAACGACTTGCCCAACGCCCCCCTCGAACGCGGCATTGGCAGTACTTCGAGATCTACTCCTTCGAATACATTCCTGCTTTTTGTTTGCTCTGTAGGATGTTACTTGAACTGCAGCATTGATCTATATTTGCATGACAAGTCTGTATGTGCATTCGATTCAGCACTGTGCGTGTCCCTCAGTGTTGCAGTTCTTATATACATCCCACAACGCAAACAAAAACAGGCTGGCACCAGATTGGGGTTTCTGAGTGGTGTCGTCTCCTCAGCTGCATCGGTGGAATTCGTCTGTCTGTCTTACAAGCCCGTATTGTGGATGTCTCCCAAATTGAGTGGTTGTTCGAACAGTTGGGTCTGTCCTTTCAGTGGCGGGTATAATTCTAACGCTGGTTTTTTGTCATGCAGAAAGGACGTTTTGATCATGCGGATACAGTGCTTTCCATTCTACCCACACATACACATTTGCACCAGCAAGAGGCACAGTCTTTGCGTTGAGTACGGGCTTGTCAGTACTAATCCATACAAAAATGACAAACAGATTCCCCGCGTCGATCGCCACCGTTCTCTGCGTATTTGCGCCCAGTTCTTGATCAACGAGCGCTCCCGCCAGGAGTGGCCCCGCCTGATTCAGATGTTGCCCTCCAAGCAGCAGCTCGACCAGAAGAAGTTGATGTCCATGCTCCCGCAGATGTTCGGTCCGCAGCCCCTCGCCCTCGGAAACGGTGCCTCTTCCAGCAGTTCCTCCGCGATTCCGATGGGGTATGCGCCCGCCACTCCGCATTCGCCGACGATGAGCCAGGTATCGATGTTTTCATATGATGAGAGTGATGTTTTTTCGTGTGTGAGACGACGTAATCTTTCCAATATTCGAAAACAGCAAAACTTCGCGCCGCAGGACTACTCGACGCAGGTCCCCACTGGTTCCGGCTCGCACGCGCAGTCCATGTGCGAGCAGTTCATCTTGAGCATGCAGTCGAACGGGAACACGCAACCCGTGACGCAGCCGAACATGAACGGCCCCATCATCGCTCCGCCGCCCCCGGCTCCCACTTACACGTCCTCATCGTCGCCCCCGCCGACGATCTTTGACACCATGCCCCCCCAGGTACCGCCGCCTGGTACGACATGGGAGGTCGACGACGAAGGTGACACTGACGTCTACCAGGCCTCTGCCATCGCGGGTCACGGATTGGGCGTGCCCACGACCACCACGTCCTCCACCACCGACTTTTTCTCCCAGTTCTCTTCGGTGCAGGTCGTGCGCATGGAGTACACCCCGGCGGCCATTGCCGCGGAGCAGGAGGATGCGACCGCGGAGGATTCCGCGCCGAGTGATCAGGTGCGAATAGATGTTTCTTTGTATGGCAGTCGGTTATCCGCGTTGGTATGCTTCTGTAATGCGAAAGCCATGCTTTACCACCGGCGCATGATCATGTTGCCCGTGAGCGCCGTTTTTGGTTGAGCTTAATCTTAATGAGCCTGTACATGTATTCGCACAGGAACAAGGACTCATGATCGAGGACCCGGACTACTACGCCGAATTCGCGGAGGAGGACATCGCGAAGGCCAAGAAGATCCGGCGGGTCGAGGATGAGATCGCGGCCAAGGCGCAAGCCAAGTCCAAATCGAAGGCGAAGCCCAAGGCCAAGCCGATCCCGCCGAAGAAGCAGGTGTTCGCACCGAAGAAGATGCCCCGCTAGATGTGAGGACCTGTTTTTACGTTTTGTAGAAGCAGTCGACTCAGATAGTGACTCGCTTTTGGAAATTTACAACAACGATTTACAACACCAAGAACTTCACAGCTTTGAAATTGCTTTACTTTAGTGAAGAGGAAGCGCACTCACGAAACACTACTACCATTGATTTATTAGTTGACGCGGCTGTGCGCAAGATTACTACTGTTTCGGTCTCACAGAACTTACACTGCCCTTCGGGGTTTTTGGCGATACAAAACACCGCCCATACTAAAAACAATTACGAACTTCGACTGAAGAATACAAATTTTATGCAAAATAAATGCTGTCTTCGATGTCTTTCTTCGTGTTTTATGTAGAGCGACTATCTCGGAGTACTGTTTGACGAGTTTACCTCTAATAGCATGCGCCGTAGTTCTTATTTGTCTTTCGACAGTAAGACACAGAGATCTTCCGGCCTCTTAGTGCCAATTTCCATTGTCAGCGATACAACGACGAGTCACAGGCTAGCAAGCAATGGAAGAGAAAGCAACACTGCTGATGCTTTTGTCATAGTACATGAACATACATACATGGGACGAGTGTCATAGAAGTGCAAGCTGTTGACTATGTGCTCCCCCGAGTAAACTTGTAAGTGGACTAAGTGGACAGAAGCAATGGCAAAAATGAAAAAGCACTGACGTAGAACGAAAGTACCTTTGTGCTCATCTGCTGTTCTGCACGTGATTGAACTGAAAACACAAGTCTACGCGGAATCGGTGTGGTATTATGTCGCGTCGAAAAAGAAGCACTACTCCGCCCGCAACGTCGGTTTTGATTATTTGAAGCGCGGGTCTCTGGGTGGGTTGTCGGTTGAATGATTTCTATTTGATGTAGATGCGCGCGCACGAATAGAAGAAGTAGTTGATATCCAAGGGGCGAGTGAAGCGCAAACCTGAGTGACTCCGAAATTCCACCTACAGGCTCGCTTCACCTCGTAAGAGAGCTTCACCGTAATAGGAAACTCATGTAAACACCGCACACAGAGAGAAGTTGTAGTAGAGACCGAACAGGATGAATCTGAACGGCGACAAGGCCGTCGTGAGCGGCCTTTTGGACCGTAACCAGGTCCAGGAGCGCGTGGAGAACCAGAAGTCGAAGACGAAGCGGTGGGATCACGTAGATCTCGACGGAGTTACCGGTCTTCCGATTTTCTGTATTCGCGGACTCTACCCGAGCCAGGGTGGAGTTGGTGCTTACCAGCACTCGATACCGTTGCGTCTGCGGCAACACCACCTCGTAGCGGACGCAGAGACGTTCACGCCCAAGGCTACCGCGAAGATGGTGGTATAGTTTGAATATCGCGTCTTGGGTCGTTGTCATGCAGCTATTGCGATGAAGATCATGACGCTCTACTTCATGTTGTGACTGCAATGGTAACCCGTTCTCCAAAAACAGACACACCTCCTTTACTACCGCAAGATGGGTATGCACAACGCCGAGTGGACTCAGCTTATTCACGGGTGCGATTTCCGCCACATCATCGCGAATCTTCAGCACGGGAACATGGAGGACAAAGTGGAGGAGCTGCAGAACTGGTCGAAAAGCAAGCTCTTCAAGTACCGCATGGCAAACCTGGTGGAGAACAAGAAAAAAGAGAAGGTAATACACGGTGGAAGTGCTTCACTTAGTTGCTCTTGTAGCGACAGCACTATCATGCAGGAGTAGATCACTACTCCGTCCGATTTAAACACAGCGTGCATTTTACCACAATGACATCTTCAATAAAAACAAACTTTTAATGCCAGAAACTCTTCTTGATCGAGCATGGCGAATTCTGCGTCGCGGAGCGTATGCGATTCCGGAAACGGACTGGAGCGCATAAGGACATCACCGCATTTACGGGCTGTGATATGAAGCCGCACGGACGCGGCCGGTATTTCCTCCACGATTTCGCCGCCCAACAGAAAACGAAATGCTGCGGCACATTCGTATTAATTTTGTTTCATGTGACCACGTGCTCTTCTCATGCAGGCCTGGTTCCTGATGTCATGTGTCGAGTCTTCTTCTCCAAAAAACTTTCTCAGGTGCAATACACCGACATTGCGGAAGTTGCACCGCTGGCGCACGACGACGCCATCCGCCAGAAAGCGCTTCCACTGCGGAGGTGCAACACGGACTTGACGAACCCCTCGATTGAGCACGACGCTTCCGCACTGTCGGCTTTGAGTTTTCTCATGCACCTGTGCGAACTTTACGGTCAGGATGCTACTCAGAAGATGTACACTCCGGCCGATACGCACTGGACGGACGTGGCGCTGGATCACTGGGGCGACGGCGACCTACAGCGGAATAAAATCCACATCTTCCCCATCATGGCATGTGACCAGGGCAGCCCGGAGGTGCGGTGCGCGCAAATCATCTTCACCATGCTGCAAGGCCACTACACCTTCGGACCCGCGCATTTTAGTAGTAATAGGGTGAAGAACTGCTGTCCCGAGGCGCGGGTGATTGCTGCCATGATCCGCAAGATGGAGCGTGGTCCATTTGGGACCTGCGAAAATCAGGGGAAGCTGAAAGGCGCTCTCGCATTTGCGCAGCAAGAATCAGTGCATCTCAAGGAGGACGCGAAAAAGCGACCACACGCTGATCAGCTGGTCGATGCGATGGACGCGGCGGATCTGGAAGAGGCGCTGAAGATGATCAGTATTTTTTGCTGCTGCTTTC